ATGATTATAATGTTTAGACTTTATGTCAATGTCCAGACTGTATGCCAACCTCTCTAGTATGTGATTACACTAGATTTCATTATGATACATGTACTTAATTGAAAACTTACATATAAAATATCTTAAGTCCTATATTCTAGTAATAAATGAATTAGAATGTCACCTAACATTTGATGATGGTATGAATTTATTGATTTGGTGTCTATCAATACATGTTTCTGACTTAATGCTGCAAAATGATAAAATTCACCACATCCACTTTCTTCAATTTTCTAGGGGTAGGGCACTATAAAGTCAAATTAAAATTACAAAATAGTACTTCATAACTAAAATAGATGTATTACAATACCACACATAGCTTAGAAATGTTTTTAGAATACTACTATGAGCTGTTAAAGCTGTCATATTGTGCTTGAAGCTACAAATATAAAATTGGCAAGACAAAAATTGCGTATCTTTTTCCTGTTTTTTGTATTTTTCTGAGACCAATAAGGGTATCAACCCATAACTTTAGGATAGTATTCATATTTGTACTAGCAATGTATGGTGTACAACTCAGAACAATAGCTCATATATCCTTTGAGTTATGAACTAGTTTCATAGTACCCCCTAGAATATTTTCCTAGGGGGGTCAAAATGCCAAAATTTAGTGTCGTGACCACCCCGTTGAGCTGTCATCTTTTAATATCTTTATCAGCATGAAAAACTGATCTAGTAAAAATAGGTCTGTTGCTTTTTCTAAAAAATGCCTCAAAAACTTGAATTATTTGAATTGGAACCTGTCTAATATGTGTAGAATATGCATTTAGATTTGTTACTTGGAGAGGCACACAGAAGCAAACTCACTGGAGACATTGATAGTAATCAGGATTGAGAGTAAATGGTAAATACACGGGGCATTGTACCCGGGGCATTGTATTCTTCGATTTCAAATATATGATTCAGATTCGGAGAGTTTTTCTAATCCCGGGTTTCTAATCAAATTATTACTCATATAGTGATGCAAGACAACAATACACATCATATTCTGTTTTTGAACATTATTACCTTAATTATTTTGGGAACATGAGACATCAACCGGCGATATAGATATTGACAACGTGCAGATGTAAAGTACATGGTCATCATCCATCCTCGCGTGATGCATATGTATGTCATTGTCGCCATTTAGTATGTACACTTAAAGTATATGAGTCAAAACGATTTTCAAAATATAATTTACACTGAGTCAAGATGCTAGAAAAGCATCTTTATTTCAGATTTCATTTTCCCATGGCTTTACAAATCTGAGAACTGATAAGTTACATTGCGAATACGCTGTCTGGTTGCTGTATTTGTTAAAATAACATCCGAACTAGACGACATGTATAAATAATCCAATTTGCTTTGATATCATAACATATACAATATATATTATATATTTGTTTTCAGACATATCTTATTACAATTATTATACAAGTATTAGCCCCAACTCTGATCATGATAACTCACCCCCCCCCCCTCCACTCCATGTGATGCCTTTCAATTCAATTTTTTCATAAATGACATAGAACCTGAAATGTGCGCCCTGAAATGTGTGTTGCGTCTGCAAATGCATCTAGGCACCAGTCGACGACAAAATCAAACTGGGAAACGAGTATGGGAGGAGGGGGGATGAGCATTAACATAATCAGATTTTAGGATGCATTTGCAAATTGTATTTGAAATTCGCATGGGAAGGAAAAGAAGGAAAATGGGTCTTAAAATCTGACACTCACTCATGGAAATAGTATGATGCCTGAAAACAAGTACGGTATATGGAATCAAAAAATCTTGCCTCTAGACTATCCCCCCGCCTCTATTTCAGCCAAAATACACACACTCATGGCTTGTAGCTAAATTATCAATCATCATTAGTGAATTTGAATTTTCACTGGTAATAGCAACAGGTCTGTCAACTGTCCCGCAATTTGCGTATTTGTCACGCATTTGCTGAAGAATTTGAAGTCAAGCCAGTTATTTTTGCGTGACAGAAAATGTCACGCAAATACGCATTTTACCTGGTAATTGTCAAGCAAAAATATTTCTTTAGAAAATTTTCTAAAAAAGATCGTCTACACAGCAAAAATACGAACGACGGGAAAAAAACGTACGCATTTCGTACGGACTTTTCACGCGAATTACGGATATGTCACGCATTCCGTTCAAAATATTTCGTACCTACCCCCCCCCCCCACCCCGTTGATGGATGTTCGAAACGCGAGCGTAGCGGGCGCGAAAAATTTGAGGTGTTCAAAATTTGGCAAGATGTAATAAAATTTAAACCAAGGTGTTCAAAATTTGGATTAAGGTGTTCAGATTTGGACCAAGGTGTCCACATTTTGAGGGGAGGTGTTCAACATTTCCAAGTCACTCATGTTAGGTGTTCCCAAGTTGACAGGCCTGTAGCAATTATAACAATAGCAATTATCCTTTCAATAGTTTTAGCAAGAGAGTTCATCTGTTGCCTCTTTTATCATCTGAACTCCAGAGTAAACGATAACCATGTATAAGGAATTCTCTATCCCCGATAAAGCTTCATCAATAATCGCAAAATAATAAACTCAATATTATAATATCATATGACAGTTCAAATCGTGAGAAATTATGGTGGCGACGGAGTGGTAGAGCGATGACAAAATGCCTGGCGAGAAGCCGTGCAGTTTAGGGGTTTGGATACCATATACTGTACATGTACATTATTTTGACTAAATACAGTTTTATCTACCTTGCGTTACTTTTAAGTTAACCTCCGGGTCATGGGTATTCTGAGGCACGCCTCTCTAGCGAAAGCCCGGAGTTTTAGCCATGCAGTATGACGCAGGCCCGTAGCTAGGATTTGCCATGTGAGGTTCACTTCTTGAAAAAAAAGTGAAAAAAGGGATTTTACTTGTGCCAAATTTGGTATAAAAATGGCCGAAATCACTTAAAAAGTGTTCAGAATGGTGAAAACCGCATGCTTTTGAAAGATTTTTTGCCGGGGGGGGGGGTAAATCGAACCCCCCTGGATATGTGCCAGTGACGGGCCTGATATCTAGAAGGCGCTTGATAATGATCAGGGGTGCCGGGTAAACAAATTCTTATTCCCCATCGAACATGAATACAATTACATGGAAATGAAGGGCTGACGCAAGTGAAGTTAATTTGTTGTTGTATCATATTGGCTAAATCATAAGTAAATAAGTCCAGAAATACATGGACAAAATGTAATCAGAAAGGTGGACTAATTGGTATTATTTGTTTTGATTAATGATTATACATAACTAAAACGCTATGTTAGATGTCTGTAATCCCCCCCCCCCCCTCTCACCAAGGGCTATGCATTGTTTCAAGTGATATAAAAAACTTTCGTAGAACATTGATACCTGTACTACGTATTTCGTACTTTCGCACATTAACAATTTATCACAAAATGTCATGTTGACCTCGATTTGACCCTTTTGACCTACCTTTTGAAAACAATACTTTTTGGAGCGCTAATTGAATATTAAAGGGTTACAAAATACCAACAATATTGAAAACAGATAAGTAATAATAAATTGCCGGGGGAATTCCAAATATCCAAATCCCTCCACCATTGCGACTATGTGTTATAATGGGCTTTTAATTGAAAGTCTGTTATAAAAAGGTTGCAGACATTAGGCTCTTTAAAAGTATGTCATATTGCTATTTATATACCATTTGTCTTCTTAATAGCTTCTTAAGCATCAAATATCAAATCACAATAGTCCAGGGAAAAAATAATTGTGAATAATGGCAAAATGTTCATTCTTAATTTAATGAAATTCACTTTTGGATACTAGTACAGGTACTTTTGAAAGTATATTATTTGTTTGATTGAAAAAATTGAAATATTGTTTTTTTTATCTTAACATGGATTTCTTAAAGAATTTTGTGATAAATGTTAGTAACAATAGCAATCAATAATTTGTAAATTATGTGCAGGATATGTAATCCGGGATATGCACACAGTGTATCAATCCTGTATGTATCCAGGCGTCAGGATTCATACAGGATTGGCACACTGCGAGCTTATCCTGTATGAATCCAGGAGGGAGGATTCATACTGGATTTCTACCTGCTCCAATCCTGTATAAATCCTGACGCGTGGATACGTATAGGATATGTACATTGTGTGCCAATCCTGTATGTATCCAGGCATCAGGATTCATACAGGATTGGCACACTGCGAGCGTATCCTGTATGAATCCAGGAGCAGGATTTATACTGGATTCCTACATTCACAAATCCTGTATAAATCCTGACACAGGATACGTACAGGATATGTACATTGTGTGCCAATCCTGTATGTATCCAGGCATCAGGATTCATACAGGATTGGCACACTGCGAGCGTATCCTGTATGAATCCAGATGCAGGATTCATACAGGATTCCTACACGCGCCAATCCTGCATAAATCCTGACACAGGATATGTACAGGATATGTACATTGTGTGCCAATCCTGTATATATCCAGGCATCAGGATTCATACAGGATTGGCACATTGCGAGCGTATCCTGTATGAATCCAGATGCAGGATTCATACTGGATTCCTACACGCGCCAATCCTGTATAAATCCTGACACAGGATATGTACAGGATATGTACATTCGGTGCCAATCCTGTATGTATCCAGGCATCAGGATTCATACAGGTTTGGCACACTGGGTGCATATCCTGTATGTATCCTGACGTCAGGATTCGTTGTATTCGTACACATTTTTTGCTGTGATACTGCCATCTTTATATCAGCCAAGTGCTTATAATTATTCTTTGTATGGCTTACTAACCCAGTATATGTCTCTGAGTGACCTGATGTATCAAATCAGGTTGGATTGTACACTCCCCCTCTAAGTTTGGAAACACCGACTATCTATATTATGATTTATCAATTTAGAAAATGATCAACAATGACAAATACTGAATATCCCATGGCCATAAGATGATTACTGTATAATAAATTTGCATGACTAATTGCAGGTTGGCGACTACACGTTATCTGTGAAATTTAATGGAAAAGTTCGACATTTTCCAATAGAAACAACACAAGACTCCAAGTATTATATCGGGAAGCACAATTTCAAAGACTTGGCCGGAATAGTGAGATATTATCAAAGTAAACCTCTATTTTATGACGATAAAAAGATGGCGGTGATGCTAGGGAAACCTTTCAAAATGTCATCCTCCTAAGCGTCACATAAATCTCATCCTCCCTCGCAGGTGTCCAGAATCCGTACCTCCTTCTTCCCCCCTGCTATAACCAATTTGGAAGCGCCCGATTTAATTGAATCACGTGATCTAGTTATGCGCAATGACTTGATTTCTGGAGCAGTGTTGCGACAGCCAATGAGATTGCGAGTTCTTAATCGGGGAAATGCTAACTGCTTATCGCAGGGGGTAAAACGAAAGAATATATTCTGGATTTTGAAGCCCTGTGATCGGAGGATGTCAAAATGTCTTATTGATAAAATCTATCTTATTTATCAAACCAAGTGCTGGACAATTATCTATGTGGCTGCTGGTAATTTCAAGGTCACACGTTTCAATGTCAAGGTCAAAGTACCTTTACATGTCAACAATAATGAAAAGCTAAGATGAAAAATGAGCGAGCGTCTCACTACAAAGGATTTTAAAGAACTTTCACGATTCAGCCTAGTTCTTGCCAACTGGCTTCAGAAATGGGCAATTTATAGACACTGACACTGGACGAAAAGACATGTATGGCAAAACTCAGTAGCTCAATACTTATTGGACCAAACCATGACAGCTGAACCCCGGGAACTATGGTAGAAGAAAGAACTATATGCATTAAGTTTAGCGACGCGTATAGGCTACCCTGTGCGCAGAGTCTAGTTATTGAAGATTAGACGGAGCTCTCTTTTAAGAAGAGAAGTCGAACGAATGCAAAGGGTACTTATAGGCCTATCCACAAACGCTAAATGTGAAATTAGTGGTAGTATTAAAAATATTAATGTGCAATGTTATATTTGAATTATAATTTTCTACCTCTACTTGATTCTGTAATTACATCATTAATTATCTTATATAGGCTATAACTAATAAATATGTTAAGAAAATGTATGTTTTTGTTCATAATTCTATAATCTGGTCCAAAGCCTATAGTGCGAATATGTCGTATACTGGCTGGCAACTACCATTGCTTTGATGAAATCTTTAGGTTAACTAAATCTGATAAAAGGTCCGTCCAGATTGATAATAATATAAAAAGTAGTACAACAGTATTTTGGTTAAAATATGACCTAATCAAATATGGTGGATTTTCATATTTTTTAATTTCGCAGATTTTGACTTAATTTCCCCATTTCACACTGTCTCAGATGGACAATTAATCTTGATATTTAATTTTTAAATCTCAACTGTTTTGCCAGTTTAAGTTCTATTTTTAATGAACGCACTAATGTCTCCCTGTGATTTATAATAAATGCAATGCATTGCAATAAGTGCGGTACATTACAATTAATACAGAGTATGTTATTCATCATTGGAGACGTCAGATTCTGATCCAGATTGTTCCGGTGTGGCAGGATTCAGTAAAAGTTTAGGCGGTGCTAGGAGGGTGCTCTTCACGATTGCCTCATCTGTAGATGTAGAATCAGCTGCCAGGGCAGCTGCAGCACGTTTGGAACGCAATCGCTCCATAAATGGGTTGACAGCAGGTGCCGCATTTTCAGGGTCATTCGATTCAGTTGGACTTGGACTAATGCGCTTCTTAGGCTTAAACGCGTCAATTATCCAGAGCAGTTTGGATACTTTTTCAGGTGCTTTGATCTCAACTTCTTCAGCAGAGGATGACGTTCCTTCTTCCACTTTCGCCGACTCAATAGCACGTAAACGTTCCAATCGATCGTTCTCTTCTTGCTCAGAAATTTTTAATCTAGCATATTCTGAAGATCTTATATTCGTCGGACGCGATGTTATACCAGGCGCTAACTGGACCACATTTCTAACTTCGTCCAAATCCGACATTCGATCCTCATCGTGATCATCTCCAGCTGAAGAAGTATCTTTGTCCAAACCTCTTCCCTTAGCGTCATAATCATCAACATTAATTAAGACAGTTTTGGGACGTGCTCCCGTTCCATTTTCTGATTTATCCTTTGGAACTACGACGGTTTCATGCATATCGTTGCTGTGCTTATGCGATACCAAATCATTGAGAAATTTAAGCCGCGACTGTCGGCTATCAAACTCACAGTACTTCCTCTGTAATTTTGTCATTCCCTTTCGGATTTTCGACATTAAAAGTACCGGCTCTTCGTAAGCGAAACATTTCCTTAGAGTCTGTTCAGATTGAATATCTAAGCCAATATTACCGATCTCCGCCTTCTGAGTAAAGTTAATGTAACTAGGATGACCAATCGGTACGCACGTGAGTACATCAATATCATCCATGCATCGATCGGTTGGAGGTTTGGGTCGATAAAACATCGAATGACGGATTTGATCGGCGGGAATCTTTTGGGTGTTCTCCAACTGAGAGCTATAGCCGTATCCAAATCGACCGTATGCAAAACAGAATTCGGCATCTATAGTCCCTATAGCCTTGTCCCTACGTTTTAAACCATATGTTTCAGCTACAAACAAGTTCTTAACAATATCGTACAAATGGAGCTCGACCTTAGCAATGATGCGCTGAATCTGTTTCCCCTCGAAACATACCAGGCTAATAAGTATACGGTTTGAGAGATCTCGTCTGTTGGTGTCAATTTTGAGCGAAAAATGTTTTAATTCGTCCAGCGCGTGCTGATGTTTGCCGAGCATGTTTGGAATGACACTTGTCTGTTTTATATCGTCTCCGACTTGAATCTTGAAGTACATATTCGGATTGGGAGGGGGAGCATGTGGAGATCTTTTGTGAAATACATCCGTTTCTAACACCGCTGTCTTCAATTTACATTGTTTGAGGTGTATCGCTAGAATCCCGCGTGGTCTAGCTGTTCCTATCTTTATATTTTCTAAATGCTTGTCCTCGAGAACGACTGGTTCCGATTTCAGTCCAATATGTGAGTGTTGATGAAATGACTCCGTTGGTATTTCCGTCGCCATTTTGAATAAAAACAGCTTCTGTTTGTCTACGTAATAAAAGGAAAATGGCGGGAAGAATAATTGCATTGGTATCCTCACCCAACCTAAACTTTGGCATGAATAGGCCTATTGCTGACAAGAAGGCATGGGCGTATTTGAAGTTGGCTGGATACCGTATCTGTTATATTTTTGCAATTTAAGAAGAATTGAAAAATATCCTAGACGATTTAGAATTCTTGGGTAAAAACTATCTAGAACATATTTGGACGTGATGGGAAGGAGGTACAGGTAAACGGGGTAAAACTAAGAAATTCTCCATCTAAAATGTCACTCGACTTTTTGGCAATTAAAAGTCCCTGCCTGCATTTAGTAGTCATATATTGTCATGTGCATAATTTTGAAACCATATCCTAATTATTTCACAAACCCTTTGTTGATTCTGCCATAGTTTCCAATTTGTAAACAGCATTTAGCCTTTTTAATTGGGAACTTTTTTGAAATTTCCAAAATGGCTGCCATGTGATTCCAGAGTTAACATGAGTGTGACGTGACATCACAGTTGTTCGTTCCTAGGTAACAACAAGATCACAATTGCTCGTTTCTAGATAGCAACAAGATTTTTGATAAAATGGCACAGAATTACCCTGATTAACACCCTTAAAATCCGATTTTCAAAGAATATATTTTGAGAAACAATAAAAGGTAAGTGGAATAAATTAGAAGATGGTTTCAAGTTACCACAGAAGTCAATTTGAAACTCAAGAATGCTTTCTTTGACTCATAATCACAAAAAGTCGAGTGACATTTTAGATGGAGAATTTCTTAATTAAGATTGGTTCAAACATGAACTTCTAACGAAGTCCATGGTTCAAACAGGACTACGGACGGGCTTGAACATCTTGGAAGCTGCACGCTGTACGCCCGGGGCTGAACGCATCGATCGTGATGAGTTAAACAGGCATTTGAACTTCTATAACAAAATGCGGACAAAATTAACGTATTGTCTAGACTGTATATGAAAGAACTAGGATCGGATAGCAATTCGGAACGGACACACATGTAACACCCCAGTCACATTTCCCACGGCCGCCGTGCGGTCTATCATTTCTGCGGCCAGTAGCTGTTCTACGCTCGCCGTAGAATTTCTGCGCTCTCATAAATAATACTTTTTTTCATTTTATTTACATCAAGACAATTTATAAATGTTATTCATAGTGCTAGGATGTAATATCAAATGAAAAGTGATCGTGAAACATTGACATACGGAGGCCGCAAGGCGAGCGTAGTTTTCCTACGCTCGCCGCAGAAATATACTGATTTAATTGATCTGCGGTCGACGTAAGGCCGCCGTACGACAAATGTGACTGGGGTGTTAGCTAGGTTTTTGGCTAATATAAGGATGGGAGCAGTTAGAATTCTATCATGGACACAGGTTGATTGCCATGACCTCTTTATTTAAAAAATACAGTGTAGTCTGTGTATATGAATCGTATTCACCTCGATCATACCCAATGTCTACGTTTTTAGGAAGACGCCCGGGAAGACGTAGGTTTTGTGATCTGTCTGGTGTTATTAACACATAACAATGTTGGCAAATATTTGACAAGCGCACATTTTCCTCTTATTCAGATGGATCTGTGTCATGATGTACAATGGCGTAGCGTGGGTATTCTATGAGTGTACGCCACGAGTGAGTGAAGCGAACGAGCTTTGAGGGGGTGGGGGTTCTTTCCCCCAAGGGAACTTGAAAAAATTAGATTGCATTTGAAGTGTCTGGTGCGTTTTAAAATACGAAATTCCGACTACGAAAAAATAATATGGATTAATAAAATGTTAGGTATTACTTCAGAGTATCAAACGTGGGTCATTTCAATATCAAAAATTCACTTTTCTCTAAATTTTGAGAGTACGCTCTGGCGTTTTATGCGTATATGATGCTACGCCACTGATGTACACTGCCGTGTTGGCTCATAGTTCGCATGAATACTTAGGGGCAGACACTGAGTCTCGGGTATACAGTAAAATAAAGTTTCTTGTGTTTTACATCTATCTTGTTTTGTTACATCTTATTCACTCATTTGCATGAGTAAGTAGCTAAGATAGTAAAAGTATATTTACATGTATACACTAGGCATTACCAACATAAGTACACTGGGGGATTTTTAAACATTTTATAACGTATGCCAAGGCCTCGGGGAAGATATGTACAGCGAGGGACTGCATGGATGCACGATAGGGCTAAAACAGATAGTTTTACAGAGAAATATTAATTGATAGAAAAAATTAAAACCCAAAATTAGCTACACGATGGAGAATGGTGAGCACACACGGCTATGTGACAACAACTTTACCACAACACAGAGTAGTTAATCTGTCATTAAAACTAGCTATAATTCACCGTGAAGTATTATCAAAGTGCGTTTAAAAGTTTAACAATCTTAATGACACAAAACAGCAAGTCATACAAGTTCAAGGTACTCCTGAATCGACCATGAGTTTAAAGTAAAATTTTATTCAGGCCCGTAGCCATGGGGGGGGGGGGGGGCTTAGATGGATTCGAGCGAACCTCCCCCTGGCCCAAAAAATCGTTTGAAATCATGCAGTTTTTCAACATTCTGAGCACTTTTAAGTGATTTTGGCCATTTTTGGACCAAAATTTTCACGAGTGAACCCCCCCTGGAATTTTTCAAAAAGTGATCCCCCTTGACAAATTCTGGCTACAGGCCTATTATTCGTCCTTAGATTTGTGTCTGGTCTGTCAAAAGCATATAATTTGACGCCTAAACCATAAAGACTCTCTGCAATCAAACATTGTATTGATTGTTGGTTTCGAAGAAATCCTAACTTCCGTATCCGAGCTGAAGCCAGCATTTTTAAAAAGTAAATAAGATTTAACAAAAGAAGTAATCACTTAACACAGTTAACTTTTGAAAGAGGATTTTATAATATTGAAAATGTTATTCTGGTGATTAAATTTAAAGTTCGGCATGACCGGATTCACGATGTTTATCCGAGAAAGCCGAGAGTTATCAGTCTCGTTGGGAAACGGTTTGGGGAATATCGCAAGACAGCTTGCATAGATGCACAAACGTATATATTAACAATAAATATAAGTGTATAGCCTAGTATGTCACCACCAGAAGTGTAGTCGTATTTTTGTTGTGTTTGGCGGTCGGTGTCTGAAACAAATGGCAAGTGGTGACATTCTGCATGTCAATCCTATTCATCGTATTGTTATCATCGTATGATCTGTAAAATGAAGCCCTTTGATTGGTCAGTTCTTGTGCTGTACCAATCTGTATTGCTACTGAGACTGTCCCCATTGATCATCCATAGCAATACAGAAAATATTGGTACGGAGGCGGGAACATTCTCGATAGCAATATAGAGAACGCAGAATAATTCTCAGGGATAATCTCCTGAGTAAAATGTATTGGCCCAAGATCACACGATAAAAACGTTATCAAATGATTTGAAGTGTAATACAGGATATATTCTGTCTCGATATTCTGTATTGGCACTCGACTTCGTCTCGTTCCAATACAGAATTTCTCGAGCAGGATATATCCTGTATTGCACTTCAAATCATTCAATAACTTATATTATCGTATGATCTGTAAAATGAAGCCCTCTGATTGGTCAGTTCTTGTGCTGTACCAATCTGTTTTGCTACTGAGATTGTCCCCGTTGATCAGCTCCGTAGCAATACAGAAAATATTTGTACGGAGGGGACAATCTCAGTAGCAATACAGAGGATCACACGATAAAAACGTTATTGAATGATATGAAGTGCAATACAGGATATATTCTGTCTCGATATTCTGTATTGGTACTCGACTTCGTCTCGCTCCAATACGGAATTTCTCGAGCAGAATATATCCTGTATTGCACTTCAAATCATTCAATAACTTATAGCATTGAGATAACTCGATTTGGATAACTAAAAGAGATTTGTTTTAAACCATTGTGGGATCCACAGTCTCCACTTTCCCTTAGAATATATAGTTTTAGATAAAGATAAATCAGGATGTTATTAAAGCCTGATGTGAGGTAAAGATTGTTGACGTCACCTCTTCTGACTCTGCAGAAATAAGTATTTAATGTACACACGCATCCATTAAAATTGCGAACGACATTTTGTATATTCTACCAATCGAGTACCAATAAAAAATGACCTCACTCTGTAAATGGCGACAGGAAGTCATACCCCACCCCACATAGAATTATTTGCACAAAATGTGTAGATGATCAAAAAATTATTCAAATCCCTCTTAAACATTTGATTGGATAGTATAAACAAAATTGATTGGACGTATTACAGTTTTGAACGTGATAGACTGCAGACAGTTTAACACAAGGTTAGATTTAGGCTAACGTCTCGGTTCATGTACAGCTGAAGCCAACATGTAACCACGGAAATTAAATGACACAAGGTGAGATTTAGGCTAACGTCTCGGTTCACGGACAGCTGAAGCCAAAATGTAACCACGGAAATTAAATAGCAGTCTGATAATGAGACTTATCACTAATACACACAGATACATTTTAGAGAACAAAGCATAGTCTTAAGTTGTAATAAAAACAAGTATTTATAAATTTTATCCTTCTTGGAATTCTAACTTAAAATTCGGGAACACCACAATTGAGGTACCGGAAAAATAAAACGCCAAAAATTTATCGGATAGGATGGACGGATAAAAAGTAATAGAAACATTGATGATATGGATCACATGGATATGGGGCATAAGGATATGGGTCACATGGATATGCAGCATAAGGATATGGGTCACATGGATATGGGGCATAAGGATATGGGTCACATGGATATGCAGCATAAGGATATGGGCCACATGGATATGGGTGCTATGGGACACGGAGATATGGATATGTCCGGAATGGTGAGTGAAATGTATCACGTTAATTAATACAATTATATTGTAGTTAGTTAATTTGTCGGTAATTTTAAAAGTTGTTAATTAATTAGTTAATTGACGTACTGGTTATATGTTCTATCATAATTGTTTATTGAAAAGCAGTGGGGGTGGGGGTCTTGGGAAGCCCCCAGCTGTTCTGGGCTACGGAAGCGTTGGAACTCTTGCCCGACTATTCTCAAAATTCAACTATTTCGAGTTTTATAATCTTGCTTCAAGACCCTGGACCCCCCCCCCCCCTATCTACTCACAGCAAAGTAGATAAGGTAGTCCAGGGTACCAAAGTACAATTGGGAGAATAAGAAGTTGCATTCCTAGTATGTATTTCGCACTGATTTACGATGAAAATGCGCTGTTTTGTCTTATGATAAATCAGAGCCTCTCACAATTCAAGCTTTGGATAAAGAAAGACTCTGATAAATTATTGTTATTATTATTTATTTATTATTTATTTACTATAAAAAGTATGTACAGAAAAAACTACATGTAATACACAGTGACACCATAGGCATATATTATCATAAATCAGTTTGGATATCGCTGTTTGTTCCACGGTGCAAGATTCGCACATCAGGGGATCTGTTTTCCCCAGGTGGGTACCATGCTTATTGATACAAATAAAAAGAGGGTATTTTTGCACGAGGCAACATATACACACGTATATCAATACATGTGGTTTTGTTAATTCATTCAAGCATTAATAAGATATGGCAACATTGAAAATCAACAGGGTTTTGGCGAGTGGCTTAACATACTATTTTGTTTTTTCAAAAGCTAAATAAATAAAATATTCTTTAGGGGCTTCATAGCACGAGTGATTACATACATTGACATGTAGTACATTATACTTAAGTAGCTTAAGTATTATGCAAATATTGCCAAGGTAGGCCTCTTAATGTACAAAAGTTAAAAGAGAAAATATTTATATATATAATAATTATATTGCAGCAAAAAAAATAATGGTGCACTGCATTATTTTTGTGCTGAAATAGCCTGTGCACTGTGCAGTGCACCATTATTTTTTATGCTGCAATATAATTGCAAATAGGGATATTATGTTGCATCAAAGATATAATATTGTAGATCGGAGGCTATATCTTTTGGCTATAATTTCGGGGAAAAGTTGCTCATAGTAGATCTGATTATATCATCAAAAATAGTCCTGATTCAAGACTGTGGACCCCCCCCCGCCCCCTCATCTACTTCACAAACTTGAGATGTGTAGTGGGGGCTCACAAGGGCCTGAAGCTAGACTCCATCAAAAGCTTGAATTATCATTTCATTAGCCACTGCCACGTAGCTTTTTCAAAAACTGAATTGAAAATGTACTTATTTGAATTCGTTAACCCATTTCGAATTCATACAATTATACTTATTTATTTTTAGTAAGTAAACACTTCATTATGAGTTCTATTTAAAGCGTTATTTTTATAAGTTTTGAATTGTTTTTCAGCAAACCCACTTCACCTTCGACATTGGTTTCAGAATACTCGCTGAAGCGTTGCTCGTCGACGATTTAAAAAGTAAGAAAACATTAATATACATCGTCATTTTATTCTCATTACATCCGGGCATTATATCTAGTAATAACAGATGATAATATACACCCTCCGTAGACAGTCTACCCCTAAAGATCGGTGTGGATAAGCTCGATCCACACCGATTGTTTATGGGTAGCACATATCCGATGAAAGTGTTTTCTATTTTTTGTAAAATGCCATAGAAAGTTTATGACTTTAAAATTGCAATAGTAAGTTGTATCGATAGCTGATCTCGATCACCAATACTGAATGAAGGCTGTAAACGGTGTATTAAAGCGGCAATTTCAAATTCTTTGCTTTGGTGAGAGGCAAGGGAGAGGTGATTAATGTTTAGTGCGTCGCCAAAAAATGGAGTACACAAAGATCGCCACAATTTCCTTAATATAAGGTACATGTATCATCTACACATGTATAAATATGATTTAGTACACAGCATGCTTTAGTTCGTGAAATATTACGAATTCAAATTCAAAAATGACCAAAGATGAGTGAAAAACTCCACCACGCGCACAAAAATCCGTATTGATTATTGATGTATAGCACTGTTAATATAGATGTCGTCGCAACAAAAACGTATCCTCATACACTACAAAGAATTAGGAGTGAATAACCTTTCTTCTTTCAGTAAAGATGTCATTCCCACAACTAGCTAGATATAAAAATATAATTCTACACTCTTCACAAAATGTTGTTTAACCCGATCTACACTCCCCTACAAATGTCGGTTAACTCCATCCAGTAGACTCCCCTTCAAATGTCGGTTAACATCCAGTACACTCCCCTTCAAATGTTGGTTAACCCCATCCAGTACACTCCCCTACAAATGTGGTAAACCCCATCTACACTCCCCTACAAATGTCCGTTAACATCCAGTACATTTCCCTTCAAATGTTGGTTAACCCCATTCAGTACACTCCCCTTCAAATGTCGGTTAACATCCAGTACACTCCCCTTCAAATGTTGGTTAACCCCATCCAGTACACTCCCCTACAAATGTGGTTAACCCCATCTACACTCCCCTACAAATGTCAGTTAACATCCAGTTCATTCCCCTTCAAATGTTGGTTGACCACTACACTCCCCTGCAAATGTCAGTTAACATCCAGTACACTCCCCTACAAATGTTGGTTAACCCCATCCAGTACACTCCCCTTCATATGTTGGTTAACATCCAGTACACTCCCCTTCAAATGTTGGTTAACCCGATCCAGTACACTCCCCTTCAAATATTGGTTAACCCCATCCAGTACACTCCCCTACAAATGTGGTTAACCCCATCTACACTCCCCTACAAATGTCAGTTAACATCCACTTCACTCCCCTTTAAATGTTTGTTAACCCCATCCAGTACACTCCCCTACAAATGTGGTTAACCCCATCCAGTACACTCCCCTTCAAATGTCAGTTAACACCCACTACATGTACACTCCCCTTCAAATGTTGGTTAACCCCATCAAGTACACTCCCCTTCAAATGTCAGTTAACATCATCTACACTCCCCTTCAAATGTTGGTTAACCCCATCCAGTACACTCCCCTACAAATGTGGTTAACCCCATCTACACTCCCCTACAAATGTCAGTTAACATCCAGTTCATTCCCCTTCAAATGTTGGTTGACCACTACACTCCCCTACAAATGTTGGTTAACCCCCAGTGCACTCCCCTCCAAATGTTGGTTAACGCCATCCAGTACACTCCCCTTCATATGTTGGTTAACATCCAGTACACTCCCCTTCAAATGTTGGTTAACCCGATCCAGTACACTCCCCTTCAAATATTGGTTAACCCCATCCAGTACACTCCCCTACAAATGTGGTTAACCCCATCTACACTCCCCTACAAATGTCAGTTAACATCCACTTCACTCCCCTTTAAATGTTTGTTAACCCCATCCAGTACACTCCCCTACAAATGTGGTTAACCCCATCCAGTACACTCCCCTTCAAATGTCAGTTAACATCCACTACATGTACACTCCCCTTCAAATGTTGGTTAACCCCATCAAGTACACTCCCCTTCAAATGTCAGTTAACATCATCTACACTCCCCTTCAAATGTTGGTTAACCCCATCCAGTACACTCCCCTTCAAATGTCAGTTAACATCCACTACACTCCCCTTCAAATGTTGGTTAACCCCATCCAGTACATTCCCCTTCAAATGTCAGTTAACATCCACTTCACTCCCCTTCAAATGTTTTTTTTAAGGTTATTTTATTTCCATAAGCATAGGTAATGTACAATCTTTCATCAAGTAACATGGAAAAACAAGCCTAAGTTTACACATTATTGGCTTGTGGAGATACAATTTATACAGTGGAATATTTTACATGTACAATAGTAATAATAATTACAATAACATAATGAAGTGTTTAGATATGATGAAGATGAAATGAGATGACAGATGATAGTTTGAAAATTTGGCAAGGTAGCTGTTGTCACAAGATTTTGTTAATAAATTCAGACGATAATTCTATGAGTGTGGAATTAAGCTTTGGAGAAAGATTTTTATCACCAAAGAGAATCATATCTACCTTGTCATGTTTACATTTGCTGGAGAAAAGTTTTAGATCAGGGTCAGCATGTTGAGAGACACTTTGGAGAAAGGTTTGTCGGGCATCATGTGTTTGAGGGCAATCAAGTAAATAGTGTACCTTTGTTTGGTTTCGAAATCCGCATGGGCAACTTGGATCTCTAAAGTTTTCAAAATTGTGCCGAAAGAAATCAGAGCGGAAAGAAAGATCACATCTCATTCGATTAAGTTTTATTTCCAAAGATCTCTTAATATTCAGATGAGTTTGTCAAAACAGAGATTAATTTTGAATTTTCAAAGGATTGATTATATGATCTTTTGAACTGCGACTTAGTTTCTTTCTTTTTGATTTTTTCTGGAATGGATATCCATGTTTTTATAGGGGATATTGCAGGTGAATTTTTGAATTTTACTGATGAAGAGGCAGGAATAATGTATTGACGCTGAGTTCTTAAACCCGTTCTATAAGCTGGGTTCAAAAAAGGTGTGTAGATATTCTGCACATAGGTGGGGACCATTTCTCTATGAACTTTGAACATTAAGATTGCTTTCTTTTCCTGTCTACGTTCAAGTAGCGATTTCCATCCTAAGGTTTGTAAGACCTTCTCAAAATTAGATCCACTAATAGCACCCGAAACTAAAAGTGCAGCTCGATAATGGATTCTATTAAGCTTTTCAATATGAACCCTTGAAGAGGAATCAATAAAGAGTGAACCTTGCTCAAGATGAGGAAGAATGAATGATGTATACATTGTCTCCAAGGAAAAGAAGAGGGTTGAGCATTTTACTAGTTTTTAAAACAATTCCATTTATATGTTCCTCAAAGTTAAGATGCTCATCGAGTATGACTCCCAGGTGTTTGTGGCTATTGACTCTCTGAATTTTGTTATTATTTAGGAGAAGAGGTTGATAGTTTCGTAATTTTGCTCTTGGCTTTTTAAAGATTGCCTCCCTTGTTTTGCTAGGTTTAAATTTCATTTTCCATTTATCTGACCATAATTGTATTCTATTTAGATCTGATTGGAGCTTATTGTGAGAGAGTTCAGTGTTTTCATTGTAGGACACTTGGGCATAAATTGAAGTGTCATCTGCATAAATGAAACATGTTGAGTCAAGAATATCCGGAAGGTCATTTATATACATTAAGAAGAAGATTGGTCCAAGAATGGATCCCTGAGGAACTCCAGAGTTTATATATCCCATTTCAGACCAGCAAGATAAATTTGAGTTAACTTTTGTTCGTACTCTACGATCCTTTAAGTATGAAGAGAAAAGACTTAAAATATTTTCACCAAAACCATATGATTTTATTTTGTGAAGTAATAGTTCATGTGGAATTTTGTCAAACGCTGATTCGATATCCAAAAATAGCGATCTTACATCTTTATTATCTTCAAAAGATGTCATTATATAATTAGTAATGCTAAGAAGTTGGTATTCTACACTATGTCCAGGCAGAAATCCAGATTGGTTTTTGAAAAGCAAATGGTTTTCTGTTAAGTGTTTAAGCATTTTCTGATGTATTATTCGTTCACAAAGTTTACCCATTGTATTTAACAGAGTAATTGGTCTATAGTTTGATGAATCAGTCTTAGCGCCTTTGTTTTTGAATATTGGAATAATAACCCCATCTTTCCAGGGTTTCGGAAATTTGTTTTCGTCAAAAATACGGTTAAATAATTTAGACATTGGGGCATCAACTGAGTCAGCCACAAGATTCAACATTTTGTTTGTAATGCCATCTGGGCCCTCAGCTTTTGAGATATCAAGTTGTCTCAAAAATTTGCAAACATCCACTCTGTCAGTGAATAATGTATTTATTTGGATATTTGATCTAGCTGGAAATACAGGTAAGTCATTGAGATTAAAATTAAAGTCATGGTGAAATTTTTTTAAAAAATTGATTGAAGACAATTTGCCTTTTGTTCATCTGTCTTGGCAGCATTCATCAAGTTGTTAGAAAATAGGGCAGGTATCTCAGATACAAATCGTTTGCCTAAAAGTTGTTTTATCGTAAGCCAATAAATTTATCATTTTTTTCCTGTACTTGGAGACTATTGCATATATCATTTTCATATGTCATTTTTGCATTTTCTATCAAATTTCGAACTACACCTTTCTGCTCCGAAAGTTCATCTATATGTTTTTTATCATTTGAAATTTTACATTTTTTATATAACTTGTCGCGCTTGTTTATTGCCTTTTTTATGTCAGAGTTAAACCATGGCATATCATTTGATTTTGTCCGCTTTTCTTTACATGGTATGAAAGCCTTAAATATGCTAAGTAATTTTTCAGTAAAGTTTTGGGTTGCAGAGTCAATATCCCCAGAGTAAATTACATGATCCCACTCAAAAGTAGAAATATTTTGATTAAGCCTCTGCACGTCACAATATTTATACTGCCAAACCTTTTTCGAATTAACTTTTTTGATGTTTGCCTTGCTAATGTCTACATTGGTCAAAACTGCGGAATGGTCACTGCCTCCTATAGGTGGTAAAACCTCACTATGCAAGATTTTACTCGGAGCATCAGTAAAAACTAAATCGAGACAAGACTTGGATGTTAAGGTTACTCTAGTAGGTTCATGAATGAGTTCATTAAATGCAAAATCACTCATTGTGTCAAAAAGTGCTATACCGGAAGGGGTATCATGATCTTTATCGTAAAAAAGTTTACATTTTGCATTAAAATCTCCATTTAGGAGAATCATGTCATACCGATCTTCTACTCTGATCTTTTGCAGAGTAGATTTTAATCTACTGTTAAATTGATGTATTTCTTCTTTTGATACCAATGAAGGAGAATTATAACATGAACCTATTAAAATGCGCTTGTGGTTTATCACTAACTCGACCCATACAATTAACCCCATCCAGTAAACTCCCCTTCAAATGTTGGTTAACATCCAGTACACTCCCCTTCAAATGTTGGTTAACCCCATCCAGTACACTCCCCTTCAAATGTTGGTTAACCCCATCCAGTACACTCCCCTACAAATGTCGGTTCACCTCTACCCTCCCCCAACTATTCCATCTCTAAGCTTCTCTAAATGCTTTCACGTGAGTCCAATGTTTCAGACATAACACAATCCATCAAATATCTAAAATAGCAATATGTGCGAAAACAATAAAATAAATAGTTTGTACGGGATTGTATACATTCCAAAATTCATTAGGAAAAAGCACAATCGACAACGTTTAAACAAGAAAAAACTGTGAATTTTGCCTAAATTAAAGCTTGTGTCTCGCCTGTCTTTAAAAACTGGCTACGACTCTAGGCGCCATGTGTTCGAATGATTAAGTATAGCTATCTACCATAGTTAGTTGTTATTGTGTATTTATTTCAGAATTTATTGGAGTCTGTTTCTTGTTCGGGATGTTTGGGTTTATATACGAGATGTCAAAGTCCGTTGGACTAACGCTATCACTAAAACAAAACTCCAACCATAAAAGGTCGGTTATACTTTATGTTTTTTTGTTTTTGTTTTTACAATCTGTTTTCTGTTTCCCTGTACATGAAAATTTGAGAATAAGAAATAGAATAAATCAGACTAAATTTTCTTTTATTTGTCTTTCTTTATTAAAATCTATGAAATGTTCAACGATCGATGAATGCAATTATCAACGCGAATACCTCTTTTTCAAGAAGACTCCACCCCCGATTCAACCTGCCCATGTGCTAAAATATCAATGTAAATACCTCATTTTTCCAGGAAGTTCCACGCCCGATTGAGCCTACATGCGCTGCAGACGTTATTGTTCATATCACAAATGTCCCTGGCCTATCTCTTAATGATGGCGATCATGACGTATAACGTCTTTCTCGTACTCAGCGTCATACTAGGCAGCGGATTGGGGTATTTTACGCACAGAATCTCGGGCAACGCAATCCAACACCGAAATGAAAGGAGGAGGTCGGTAATGGATACAAAAAGACAGAGTTTATTGATTGTTTATGATAAGGATGGACGGGCACGTTGTCATAGTGATCACGAAATAGAGGAGTACGAATACGTGACGTCTTTGTGAGACGATATGTTGTACCAAGAGAGAGGGATACCTCAGAATTCATACATAAACCCATGGAGGATCGGCTCCCAGAATCCAATCTCGATGTTTCCCACAATATAAATTTCCAATGTTGTAATTGTCTGACAATAAACTGGCTATGAAATCATTATCAGCAGTCCAAAAGATATATTTGAGCTAATATCTTGATCACTTCTTATGCGTTTTAACATTTTCTGTTCTGCAATAAGACCAAAACTCGCGATTTTAAATCTAAAGTGAAAAATGGCCTACTGAATTTTGTTATCATGACATCCTTCATGGTCGGGCGTATTCATCAAAGATTTGTTTAATAATTTTATGTGAACCGAACGGAACGAAAGAATATCGAGATTGCATTCTGGGATCCAATCATCCATGATATGAACCTATCTCCTTGAAAAGAGTATATATCCTCCTCTTCTTGTACAAATATTTAAAGAATTATTTATTTTCTATTCACCTTTGTGTATATAATTTCCAAACTCAAATAATATGAAGAAAGTGTATATATTAGAACTATATATTTTAGTATGGAATTATTTTCATTACTTAACACGTATATGATGCTTACAAAATAGATGTCACTGGCTCTCACTAAACGTAAAGGCTAAAAAATAAAATTGCAAAAACCGTCATGATCGTAGCCAAGCTACACTAGCCAGACATGATGCAGTGTCTCACCAAAATTATACAGATATAGATGATAATTCAAACGTTTTCCAATAGAAACTCTGAAAATTATGACATTATGATGCCTAGTGTAATAAAATCCTGGTTATGCCCCTGGACGCTCTTCCTGAACGTGTACAACTGACCAACCAATGCATTCATTTGTTTACCATCTTAAGATTAAGTTTTTCAGGAAGATGCAGGGGCGGATCCAGGAACCAACAAAGGGGGGGCCCAAATTTCAGGTCAGAGAAAAAACGTCCGCGCTTGCGCGGAAAAAAATTTTGGGCCCCTAAAATCCAAAAGTGGGCCCAAATTTTGAAATTTTGAGGCCCATTTTCTTCAAAATTTGGCCTGAAATTAACAAATAAGGCCTTAAAAGACCCAGTAATGACCAAAAAGGCCCACTTTTTGGGGCCTGAAGGCCTTGTTTGGCCCAAAAAATTTTTTGGGCCCAATTTTTTTTTTCTGGGCCCACCCAAGGGGGGGGGCCCGGGCCCCTGGGCCCCCCCTAATCCGCCAGTGAGATGGTATGATCTCTGGGATCAGGAAATATCAGGAAGAGAAGGAATGATATATTCTTGTTTTGAATATCATCGATGCAATATATTTTTGAGATTTTTTAATAAATATTGTAAGAAGCGTAATACATAAATGATAATAGATTTTGTGTTTTTCTTCATTTTCTGCTGAGAGCTTCATTTGGGAATTTTTAATTTAGCTTGGAGCACATATTGGGTTTCCTTATATTTCTTGGTAAATTAAAGCTAGCTTGTTAAAAATAATATTTCTACTATTCTATTCAATATTTTCTAGTCTCTGGTGAATGACGACGGTGAGGGGTTCGGCAATATTTGTTTTATGAATGAAATAAAAAATATTACCAGAATTAAATCTTACATATTCAAGAAATCAAATTCACTATGTTGGCGACATTGATAACGTCGAAAAACGTTTTACGTCGAAATAAACCGATGAACTTCATTCTCCAAACTGAAAATGGTGCTTTACGTCTCTTGGGTATAGAGCTCGTCTCGTGAATTATGGCATCAGCCTCTATTATTTTCTCTTGCGTTTACAGATAAAGGGATGAGAATCCGTTTGGCCAGAAAAACATCAAGCTCTGGTGCATTTATCTAATAGCTAAAGGCAATAAACGTGCAAGTGTTTTCGATGTAAATGCCTAATTACATTGACAAATTGATAACAGGGAAAGTATTCGTTGCTATGGTGCTCTGTCTGACCATAATAAGTGATACACAAGATCAGATCGAGATAATCCTCTCCTTATTGTCTCGACAGACTATTTATATACATCTAATTAATCCCTTATGTCCAGTTGTTTTCCTCTTTTAATCAACCGAGTCCTTATTTAGCAACGGTTCAATTTCCCAAAGAGGATATTGCGTCAATGGAACGTGCGATTATTTCTAATTAATAATGGATCACTGGAAATTAATGGCAAACGTGACTCGTATCAAAAGTTTGATAGGCTATAGTCTAGCTTTTGAGAAAAGAGGGAATTACCCAGAATTCAAAGATGAACCTCTCGGCATGTAAAGATGAATCTCTACCCAGCCCAGTGTTCAAATAATCTTTCAAGTCTGGGTTGTTTTCCCTTCTTGCCGAGAAGCCTAGAATGTTCAGTGGTGAAGGGTTATATTTATCGGTTATTTTATGGCCATTTCGAAGAAACTCAAGTTGCGTATATGATCTGGCTCTTTCCAGTCTAGCTACTTTTAGGGGCTCATATGGTAGCCAAAGGTGGGCCCGTCAGTGAGCAAATTTGAACCACATTATTTACCTGGGGAAACATGTCAGATTTAATGATTTGGAACTTTGACGCCCAAAAAGCGACCATTAAGGATAGCTTTTCTAGGTTTTATACCCCCCGAGGTTATTTTCGAGGGGGTCTCAACTGTTTCTTAATAACTTTAAAAATATTAAAGATATGTGTCTGAAACTTGCAGGGTGTCTTCCTGGGGTCAACACATAGCTGTATTGACAGTTTAGGATTATTTGGAATAACGGTTGCTATAGCAACCAAGAAAATGTGTTTCCGAACTGGCAATTTACAGCAATTTTGGCCTGTAGCAACCTGGTTGAAGTTAGATATCTTTTCTATTGATGAATTTTCACATTGTTAATTGGTTTCAAAAACACACTACAACTGTATTCTTTCATTTTATTGCAGATTAGAATTGACACCATTAGCATTAAAGGTCCATAATCGTACATAATGAACCCACCCCCCAAAGTCCATAAAAAGTGGGCGTGGCACCAGACATGTACCAGTTTGTAATTCATAAGTTTAAACACCAAATAAATAATGTTGATATTTATGTTACCATGTTTCCAGTGGTAGTTGAAGAAGTTCTTTTAAAAAACTAGATATATTACCATGGAAACCATATATTTATGTTGCCATAGCAACAGAACTATGGTAATGAAATAGCCAATAATTAGATCGAAGCCCTCATGCATGTGGTCCCATATATACAAAAATCAAATGTCCTGTATCTCTCAACGATCTTAAAATCTTCCTTAGGTTAACACAGAGCTGTATTGAAACTTTGGGATTATTTGGAGTAATGGTTGCTATAGCAACCAAGAAAATGTGTTTCCGAGCTGGACAATCTATGGCATTTTTGCCCCACTGCAACTTGGTTGGAGTTTGATATTTTTTCTAGTAATAAAATTTTCACGTTGATAATTGGTTCCAAAAACACACTACAGCTGTATTGTTTCATTTTATTGCAGATTAGAATGACACCATTAGTATGAAAGGTCCATAATCATACATGGATGAACCCCCCCCCCCCCCCCCAAGTCTATAAGAAGTGGGCGTGGCACCAGACATGTACCACTTTGTAATTCATGAGTATAAAAACCCAATAAATAATGTTGATATTTATGTTACCATGTTTCCAGTGGTAGTTGAAGAAGTTCTCCTAAAAATATAATCATATAATAAATATACATGTATATATAATATCATATATGAATATATTATCATGGAAACCATACATTTATGTTGCCATAGAAACAACTTTGGTCTGTTAATGCAAGGCTTAATGAAATTATTGTTGATTTAACTATTCATTTGGCCATTTAGAGAAAACAACAAATGTATGAGTAAACTATATTGGCTGATAATATATCCTAGTAGTTTACATTCTTTGTAGTTCACATTTGTATGAGCTACTATTCTAGTATATCTGACACATCTCTATTCTATAGTGATACTTTTACATTTGCTTGCAGAATGTGATAGGCCCCAGAGTGATGGCACTCAGGAGACTGTATATGATATTAAATGAAGCTTGAAAAAGAGATAAGTAATACAGCATACTATGACCCTGTCATTTAACCAACAGATGAAGCTTTAAAGTTCTGAAACCAGTCTATTTCAGTTCTCCTCAGTCCTTTGTGAAAACTTCACCTATATAATTTTGAACCTCATATGTGGGTTCTGACTCTTCTGGATCTGTCATAGCTGGCCTCATCACATCAACAAGATCTTGTCGTAAAATATTTGATGTGCACCAGTCTAGTTCTAGTACACAAGATAAATTATTTTTCAACCCATTGCCTCTGGGAGATGAGAGTTCAGGCTTGTGTTGCAGACAAACTCTTCAATTACAGCCTGTGTTTCAGTTGTAATATTTGTAGATGACCCAATAGATTAATTGAATGCATCTTGGTATTTCTGGCTATTTCATAGCAGAGTCGGGGGCCTGGTTTTTCCTCGTTGAACAAATGCACTAACACAATAACAACCTTTGAGAATGGTGTATCATCAAGACTAGAAAATCTGTGTCTGGGGAACGTACAATAATGTTCTTTGACTGAACAAAACGTCTTCACATGTATTCATCTTGGTGTTTGCTTCTTCTTGTGTTGACAGTAGATTGTTATCAACATATGATCGGACATTTAGACCATCACTAGTGAGAATTTTGCATGTATTCCCACATGTAAAGCATACTTTTCTGTTCTTCAGCTTGGCTGAATACTTATCTGTTTGCCACTCGCAAAGGATAAGTTGGGACTTGTTTTGGCTGTTGCTCAAAAATTCATACCAATTCTAAGGGATTTGGTCCTTGGATCATGAAGGGTTTTGATGTTCCTCTTCTTATTCTCTCTGGTTCTTTTATTGAATCTATTTATTTGATAGCTGTCAGTTAAGAAATCTACCCTCTCTGACTTCGGTGGTAGCATGTCAAACACTTGCTCTGCCAGTTCTTCAAAGGTGGATAGATGTTGCACTAAGCTGTGATGTCATAGCATTACCATCATATATGTAGAATGATTCATCTTTTGCTGGTCTTGAAGGGTGATTTTGGAGATTCTCAAGAGCATTTAGGAGTGTTGCTTTTGCTGCCTTCGCTGGCAGACCATCATCATACTCTAAAACTTTCTTGCTCACTTGAGATATAAGAACGAACTGTCAAAAAATATTCCTTTCAGCTCTGAACTTGTTGTCAGATGTTTTCAGGATGTCCTTCTCGATAGTCAAAAATGTCTTCATCTTTATTCTTTTCACTGGATCTTGAAAACTTTTGGTGTCACTCACAAGTCTTTCAAATTTTTCAAATTCCACCTTAACCCAAGGTCTCTCAATAGCCTTTCTTTCTCTTGGTTTGTATGCTTGAGGTTAGCAAGCATGACATATTGTGCTGTTAGATATAGCTATAGCATAGTTGGGCTGGTCCATTGCGAAAAATAGTGGACGTAGGTCTTGTAGACACTAAACAGAGTAAGTGGAGGTCAAAATATATATGTCATGATATAGGGACAGAAAATATTGGCATTTTGAAAGTTACCTTTTTTGTCTCTTTTACAACACACAATTCGAAGACAATTTATGGGGGAAAGAAAAGTTGAAAAATGGTCAAAGAATCCATTTGAAAAAGCACTACTTTGGACTTAGTCATTTTTACTGGTCTTTAACTTTTCTACACAAAACTTAATGTACTGCAATGAATGATTTTTATGTAGCCATTTTCAAAACAAGTTACTTTGCTTTTTCAAGAAGAATGAATGACTTTTTAGGTAGGTGTTTTAAAAAATTCATCCACTTTTCGCTTAGAAAAGTTAAAGTTCGATAAAGTTACTTTTTAAGGCAAAATAACGTGTTTTGAAAATGTCTACTGCATACATAAAATTCATCCACTTTTCGTGGAGAAAACTTGAAGTTCAGTAAATGTCAATATTTTCTGTGATATGCTTTACTTTTTCAACTTTTCTTTCTCCCATGAATTGTCTTCGAATTGTGTCTTGTAAAAAAGACAAAAAAGGTAACTTTCAAAATGCCAATATTTTCTGTCCCTATATCTTGACACAAGCTTATCTCTTTTTCAAGCTTCATTTAATATCATATGCAGTCTTCTGAGTGACATCACTCTGGGGCCTATCACATTCTGCAAGCAAATGTAAAAGTATCACTATAGAATAGAGATGTGTCAGATATACTAGAATAGTAGCTCATACAAATGTGAACTACAAAGAATGTAAACTACTAGGATATATATTCAGCCAATATAGTTTACTCATACATTTGTTGTTTTCTCTAAATGGCCAAATGAATAGTCAAATGAACAATAATTTCATTAGGCCTTGTGTTAACAGACCAAAGATGTTTCTATGGCAACATAAATGTATGGTTTCCATGATAATATTTATATATGATATTATATATATACATGTATATTTATTATATGATTATATTTTTAGGAGAACTTCTTCAACTACCACTGGAAACATGGTAACATAAATATCAACATTATTCATTGGGTTTTTATACTCATGAATTACAAAGTGGTACATGTCTGGTGCCACGCCCATTTCTTATAGACTTTGGGGGGGGGGTCATTCATGTATGATTATGGACCTTTCATACTAATGAGGCCATTCTAATCTGCAGTAAAATGAAAGAATACAGTTGTAGTGTGTTTTTGAAACCAATTATCAATGTGAAAATTCATCACTAGAAAAAATATCAAACTCCAACCAAGTTGCAGTGGGGCAAAATTGCCATAAATTGTCCAGTTCGGAAACACATTTTCTTGGTTGCTATAGCAACCATTACTCCAAATAATCCCAAAGTTTCAATACAGCTCTGTGTTGACCCCAGGAAGGTTTTAAGATCTTTGAGAGATACAGGACATTTGATTTTTGTATATATGGGACCACATGCATGAGGGCTTCGCTCTAATTATTGGCTATTTCATTACCATAGTTCTGTTGCTATGGCAACATAAATATATGGTTTCCATGGTAATATATCTAGTTTTTTAAAAGAACTTCTTCAACTACCACTGGAAACATGGTAACATAAATATCAACATTATTTATTGGGTGTTTAAACTTATGAATTACAAACTGGTACATGTCTGGTGCCACGCCCACTTTTTATGGACTTTGGGGGGTGGGTTCATTATGTACGATTATGGACCTTTAATGCTATTGGTGTCAATTCTAATCTGCAATAAAATGAAAGAATACAGTTGTAGTGTGTTTTTGAAACCAATTAACAATGTGAAAATTCATCAATAAAAAAAATATCTAACTTTAACCAGGTTGCTACAGGCCAAAATTGCTGTAAATTGCCAGTTCGGAAACACATTTTCTTGGTTGCTATAGCAACCGTTATTCCAAATTATCCTAAACTTTCAATACAGCTAAGTGTTGACCCAAGGAAAGTACCCTGCACGTTTCAGACACATATCTTTAATATTTTTAAAGTTATTAAGAAAGAGTTGAGACCCCCTCGAAAATAACCTCGGGGGGTATAAAACCTAGAAAAGCTATCCATAATGGTCGCTTTTTGGGCGTCAAAGTTCCAAATCCTTAAATCTAACATGTTTCCCAAGATAAATAATGTGGTTCAAATTTGCTCACTGACGGGCCCACCTTTGGCTACCATATGAGCCCCTATTTAGATATAATTGTGTTTCTGTGCAGTGTTTTCTCAATTTTTATTTTTCTAAATCTCCAGCCATTTTCTCATTTATAGGCCTATTCCCCTCCCACCTCCTATACTTGCATATTACGTATGATATTCTCCTGTCTTGTTTAAGTGGGGAGGATGAAGCGGAGCACAGGCTCTGGTGGAACCGGGGAAGGGGAGGCTTGGGGGAGGGCTTTCAGAAATTTTCAAACTCTACTTTCATCCCCCCCCCTCTGGCTACGGACCCAGACATCGAACAATGTTCACCTATTGCATATGTATCACTTCTATGTATAAATGGAATCATTGAGAAGACTTTCAGCGTAAACAGTTGGCAACGACCGATCGGTTGATTACAGTAAGCGTCCTTCAAGCCTCGCTATCGTCTAGGTCAGCTTGACTGAAAAACAATTTTGACTTAGTTTTTCAATTAGATGGGTTTCCCCTCTAAACCTGTTCCTTGTTATTAAGTACATTTGACTCACGGGGTTCATTGACCTATTTTTAAGATGAATTGAAGATATAACAGCCCCCCCCCCACCCCCTCAAAACGAAAAGATAAAGGGGTACATCTATAAAAAGTAACATTGGAGATAACCCCTATCTTTGATATGAATTGACGCAAACCTTTCCAAGATCTCAGATTGGTCAATTCAGATGACGCAATCCTTGAAGCGACGCCCTTCATCCATCCTTCATTCAAAGGGCTTCATTTATTCTGTAATGATGTGAATACCCTTGGACCCTGGATGCCCTTCATTTTCATTGTCTGGCCACCTAAAGAGATTAGCATTACCCAAGGACGTCCTTGCCTTACCTAATCAGCATTTCATTATAATCTGACATCAGTGTTACTAGGTCTCACTGGCGGATCTGAGATGGGCTAAAAGGCCAAAAAAGGCCTTGATGCCCCAAATAGTGGGCCTTTTTATCATTACTGGGCCTTCTAAGGCCTTACTTTTTAATTTTAGGACAAATTTTGAAGAAAATGGGCCTCAAAATTTGGGCCCACTTTTTGGTTTTAGGGGCCCAATTTTTTTTCTCGCACCAGAAATGTGGCCAGAAAAGTATTTCAAACACGTGCGTTTGTTAGTTAACTTCTCGTTATGTGTAACGTCGTCAGTGTCTAATTTACTTGGACATCTTAAGGCACGTGTGTTGGTATGTTACAGACCCGTCACGTGGTCTTAACATACGTTTCACTTTAAAAAAGAAAAGTATTTCAAACACGTGCGTTATTATCTAACGTCTCTTTTGGCTATATTCATGATATTCAAACGTCGTCAATCTCCAATTCAACCGGGATATCTTAAGGCACGTTTGCTGGCATGTGACAGACCCGTCACGAGGTCTAAACGCACGCCTCTCTTTAAAAAAGAAAAGTATTTCAAACACGTGCGTTGTTATTTAACGTCTCTTCAGGCTATATTTAACGTCGTCAATCTCCAATTCACCGGGACATCTCATATTAAGGCACGTTTGCTGGTTTGTGACATACCCGTCACGAGGTTTTGACGCACGCTTAAGAATATCAATTATGTAACAGTCAAGGCTATTGAACAGAGATTTCCTCATTGTAATATGCGCCACCTCTCTTGTGATTTCTTTAAGTGGCACTCTAAAGCGTTAGATAGCATAGGAATATCCTCATTTCACCAGAATTAACGACAAAACGTCTTAGTTTAGTCATACATCCGGTTCATAAATTCACATTAGCAAGTGAGGTTACATCGACTAAGCTGTGAGACGTGACACAAAACCGTGGAATGCTAGACACGTGGACCTATGTCATTGAGTTATTAAGCTTATACAGAACATTGTGACATTTACTAGTATTTGATTTTCGAAACAAGCCTTTGATATGACGAAATTCGATTCTAAAAATATGTCGCATTTTCTATTTATATTTTGATGACTTAATACTGTAGGCCTACATTTTAATCCCAATTGCTCAATACCGCGTTCTCGATGTTGCAAGTCTCTGATCATCCTTGATCCAAGGGTATTTCACTTCTTTCCTGAATTGAGTAATAAATGAAGTCTTTTGAATGAAGGATGGTCTCTGATAAGGCTGAATAATTTAGTTTTACACTTCCCATTAAAGATTTGGCAACCCTAACTCCAAGTTGTAGTGTTATACATTAGTAAGCCTATATACCAATAAAACCCTTGGGGTCGAAATATAATTTTCAAGTTTCAAATCTTGAGTGCATCAGATTTCACGACAAAAAATCGCCATAAATAGGCAACGCGTACTGGAAATAGGCGATTTTGCCAAACTTTTCTAGGGGAGTGTACAAGAAGCTACAATAATTTGTTCATCCCATTTTCTCCAAACGCCTCTGTATTGCTGTGTAACAATGAATTAACCATTCGTGATCGTGTTTTACCGTACCATTCATTCATTACAATGATAAAATATATGCCCCCTGATCAAAGTCACATTCACCAGCAGACGACATCCGACCACAAATGACGTCAACGGATCGATAGCAATTGCAATATCCAATGATAACCAATCACAAGCCGGTTGGTGGGAATTCCGGAAATTACGACATCTACTTCTATCTCGCAATATTCTTGATGATTCTAGAAATTACCACATAATATATCAGTCGGTCTGTATATTTCATACGATGGGTTACTAGGCTATATAAGGACGCGGTTAAGTAGTGATTCAAATAAAAACAGGAAAGCAAGCAAACTAAAAACCGAACGTGCTATTGGAACAGAACACAGTACGAGATATTGATACGAAGTGGACAAGCATTTACAGCTAAACATAGAGGAATATAAACTTAAAGTGATAAAAACTTAGAGGAATAAATATATTAATTGAAGGTAAAATTATATTTTAGTTCATCTCTCTTTTAAATTAATCTTAGTGTTAACCAAATTCAAATCTGTTATTTCTAAAATATAGGATTAAGCTAATGTAAGTTTTCATCCATCTCTCTAATTCTAAGCATTGTATAGAACTTGAGGTGCAAATGTCGAGTCGGATCATCAACAAACCTTAGTTTGTCGACTAAGATTATCTTGAGGATACATTTCGGTTCATTGTCGTTCTAACCTCTAAATACGGTACTAAACTATACATCATTGCTTCAAATCATATGTTACATCTATAATTGATGATACGTAACATTAAAGAGTTTTTGACTTTTAATTACCTAGTTACTTTTTGTGTTTTGAAAAGAAGATGTCAGCACTAGCGACACAGACTGTAAGGGCAGCAAGTAGGAGTCCTCAACTAAAGAGGGCGCTGTGTGATAGGGTGTGTAACCTTACAATGAGAGCCCCCTTTTGTCACAGGGGAGAAGCGGGCGTTGTAATAATAGGAGACACCAGAATGGGAGTTGATGACGGTAAGCCATACTCATTGCTATTTATTCAAATATATATATTTCTATAAACAGTGGACACGTTTTGAACTTTTGACCGCCACCCCCACCCCACAAGGCATAAGAGGGCCAAATAAAAGTAGAACAAAATGTGTTACTAAACATAATATAGTATCAAGGTAGACAAGGCGAATTGTTTTGGTAGGGATATATCGGTGATGTTCAATCATTCATTTATTAAAGTACAATGTTGATTCATTGCCAAGTTCAGGAACAGAGATTACAGGGTGGGCCAAAAGAACCCCCGAATCAGCAATTCAAAAATATACCTTACATCATACAAATATATAGTATATTTAGACCAAGGATATTAGTATGTACCGAAGTATCAAGAATTAATTCACCTTTGATATGTTTTACCTTTAATGATAGCGCCTAAGCATAAGAATAACTATTTCATTGATATTAAGGGGTGGCGATTTTGTAGTCCACCCTGTATATCATCAATGGAACAACCTTTCTGGTAACCTTCAGCTCGCCATTCGAGTAAATTATTACCCTAATATAGAACATATCGATTGCAACCAGTTCAAAGATAAAAGTACATGACCGGACAAGAAGTAAAAGTACAGAATACCCTTCACTTGACCGTCAAAATGATCATGCCAAGGACATTTTTGAATATTTAGCTTTTCCATTATCATTCATGGCACAAATGTAATTTACCGGAGAGAAATCTGGTTCCAATTAGCTGTTGAAAAATAAGAGATATTTCAGGAGGAATAACGTTAATTAGATATCTTATTAGTAATTACAAGTATCAATAAATTGGCCGTTTTATGATTTATATGATATTTTAAGGGCCTATTATTGGATGGACAGTGTTATTCTTAATCGTATTTTTCTCTATAGAATTTATATTAATTTTGTAATGTTTTTCATAATTAATATGTTATTCTGTATTATTCAGGGGCCCACGCAACAATAATAACACCTCATGGTAGTTCTGAGGACATTCGTATTCAGGAACCATCGCAACAATCATCAAACTACATAAGGGACGATGTCAGCCCTATGCGTAATATAGAAAATGATACACGCCCACCTAAATCAAAAAATACGATGCAGAAAGTGAAATCTAATATTAAAAGTAAGTTTTAATTATGTATCTATTTAGTAATTTTTGGTTTGACATATTTGTTTGACTTGAATGAGCTCTTAAACAGAAGTTTTTTTTTCATTTATTCATTTATCATTCATGCATTCATTTTCTTATCTAATTATCATTGATTTGATATATTTTTAATTCAAACACTAAATGACATACACACTCATAAAAAAAGTTTGTTACCTTTTCATTTATCATTTAAAATTATTTTTTTTCATTTATTTATCTATCTATTTATTTTGTAATTTCAAGCATTGACATAAATGACATACACTCTAATAGAATGGTTTATTTATTTATTTCATTTATTTTTTCATTTATATATTTATTATTGGTTTGACATGTCATTTTAAGCATTGACATAAATGATATACACAAGGTCGAGTTTATGATAACTTGATGATATGATATTATTCAATTAAGTTTTTTAAAATACCCAGACTAAACAGGCTTTCAACAATGGTCAAATAGGGGATTTGGTTTTGCCAATCTTGTTTTGCCAATCTTTTTGAGGGGAGTGTAGGGCCAATGTCAATATTTTGAGTATAATATCGTGAACGAATGCCAGAACATTGTGACTTTCCGGAGTACATATGGCATGTTTATGGTGTTTTAATTATCAAACGTAAATAGGCTTCATCACGTGGTACAGCAGAAAAATTTGGATTACCGTACATTTGGAGAAAGTGTATGCGTAATATACAGTTGTTTGATTTATATATTTTCAGGTTGGATGCAGGTTCCAAAATGACCTAGGTGCAACATAGTTTATTCGAATACAAAGAAGGACTTTGAACTCGATTTTAATAGTCCCAGGTCACAAAGTCCGCATACATTGGTGCTCAACAATTGCAGTAGAATGGCAAATAAAGCCTCAATAAGAAAATATGAGAAAGATTAGGGTATTGCGAATGCGCAACTATGTCGGACCTGGTGTACAATGACACTGGCTGATGACAATCATTCATAACATTTCCGATAATTACCGATAATGGCCGACAGAAACGTGAAGGTTATGGACGAGATCAGATCTAAATTGACAAAAAAAGATCACCAGATATTTTGCTGTAATCACCGACATATATTTGGACATATCATTGCCAGTTAACAATTTAACAATATATTACCTCTGATCGCGTAATAATACCTCTAAACGTGTATCAATTTTTGACCAGTTATCAAATATTTAATCAGAAATTTTACAATTCGCTCATCCTTTGTCAAGCGTATCAAACAGTTCGAATGATGTGAACAATTTTACAATTAGAAATATCTTCACATTAATTTTAAACGAAAAACCATTTGGCATTTGGAATTTAAAGACTGTCTGCAATATAATCTCAATATAAGCCCAATGGTGTGATAAAATATCGGCACCTGGTCACATTATCATTCCTGTTCAGAATTAAGCATGATGACGTGAATTCGTTAATAATTTAAATAAAACATGCATGTGTTTTTGTAAATGCATCTCTCTGGTAATGCATTAACTCGAGTGCATTTACTTCAGAGACTAAAATAATTTATTTTCGACGTTTCTCACCGAGTATCCTACCAGCTGTAACACGAATATTTTCAAAAATGGACGTTTGTCGTAAATACTATAACTGTGAACATCCATTTTTAAAAGTATTTTTGATAATTATATTGTATATTTATTGTCTCATTTATATGAGAGAATACATTTTAGTATAAAGCTGGTAGGATAACTGGTGAAACGTCGAAAATAAATTATGTTAGTCTCTGAATTAAATGAACTCGAGTAGATTCATATTGTTGTTTGGTGTAAGAATTCTGATCAGAATTTAATGCCAAAGAACTCCAGTGAATATTGATATTTCAAAGAATCTCTCTCAATTATCAAAAATACAAGCAGTATTTAATAATATTTAACATTTAAACACTATTTAAACACAATATTTAACACTTCACTCAATGCTAAATGATCTGAAAAATGTTTTTTAAAGTGTACCTATTTATTGTGTTTGTATTATTTATATGTGTATGTATGTGCGATTGTATGACTGTATTTATTGTGAGATAATAAAATAAAATGACGAAAAAAAATAAACGAAATTCTTGTTTTTTAATCAACAGTTGGTTGGTTTGTTGATCGGTGAGAACATGTGATGTCACAGTGAGAAGTCACATCGACCAGATCGCATTCTCTCCCGGAGGAGAAGCCTCTCAGAGTTGATATTTCTCCTTGCTAAATCCCGAATGTCTCCCATATCCTTGCCTAGATATGTGCCCACTCCCTCCAATATTTTACTTGCTTCCATCTTACCCTCATCCATCCTACTTGTTTCCTCCAGGGACGTAGCCAGGGGGGGGGGTCGCAGGTTTCGGGCGACCCCCCCCCTGGCAAAAAATTCTTTCAAAATCATGCAGTTTTTCACTTTGAGCACTTTTCAAGTGATTTTAGCCATATTTGGGCCAAAATTGTCAAATGGGAACCCCCCTGGAAATTTTTGAAAACTTCCCCCCCCCCCTTGGCAAATCCTGGCTACAGGCCTGCTCTCGATTCCTCTATTACACAAGAGATTCAAGTAGAGTAGCACGTAGGTTATCGCAAACAATTTTAGACGATCTTAACTTGAATCATAAATATTTTCTGATCATGAACATGGGTGTATCTTAAAGACCCACTCATTATCTCCAAGGAAATATATACAAAGATAATTGAGTTAATCAGACTAAGTGATATTAAAGGGGCAATGAACCAATCAACATTATTCTTTTTCAAAAATATTGACCTAATTTTACTAAGAATGCAGCCTTTTATCATAATGTTGAATGCATAATTAGAATGTGCTTTAAGTCATGTTCTATTTCCTATAAGGAAAATTATATTCCCCAAGGGACTAAAAGATAGTGATTTTGGACATTATGACATTATTATCATTACATATATTTATCTTTAAGATAACGAATTGATCGAAAGGATATCCTGTCTTCATGGTCAGAAAATATTCATAATCCAAGATAACCGTCTGAAACTGTTTGCGATAACCTACATTAACCTTCAAAAACCCATTCTTTTAAATTTTGAACCCTAAAATAGAATGTCCATATACAAGCATCTTTATGTACGGTTAGTTTTGGAAACGTTTATCCCCGGGGAAATTGGCCAGAAGTGACGCCCAATTCGCAAGGCTGCATTTAAGATTCGCCAATGACAATGTATCAGTGAGGAGGTCTTGTTAACGCTTATATGTAAACGAACTTATGAAGAATATAAACGTTGGAATAAAAAATACATTGCGATGATAAAATAGAAGCCCGATTTCATAAAGAAAGGTCCATCGCGCGATCTGAAGGTGTTTCCTATGAATATCGAAGTTACAGCCGTTTGTTTCCGAAGGGCCAGGATGAAATATCATACTGTCACCGAGAAGTGAATACCATTTTCATGAACGGGATTGGAAGGTGAATACGATTTTCGCGAGCGGGATCGGACGGAACAATACGATTTTCTCAATATCAAAAATATTCCCGGGTGTTATTCACCGGGTAGTGTAGTAGTATCATGGGATAAATGGGGTTTATCCGATGGATACTAAATACTGTATATATGGGGATATAACGACACAAGATAAGTGCACAGAAAATAAAATGAAAAAATTAGAAAAGAATTGAAAGACAACTTTTAGGTCAAATTATTTTAAGTACGTACAAAAATAGCGACCATAGAATAAATATGATATCCTTTTCCCGGGCTATCATTTTTATCCACTCTTGGGTATAGTCGATCTCCACTCATTCGCTGCGCTCACTCGTGGAGATGGGCGACGTCCACTTATGGATAAAAATGGTATCCTCAAAATTGATAGGATATCCTTTATGTATCCATTTGGTAACTTCGCCAGCCATAATTTCTTTTTTCCTCCACTAGTGAATACTATGGAACAATGTCTATGACCCTTATCACGTTTACTTGTTTTCTTCTTAAAACATAACTATACTATAAAAATAGGAAAATAAACACATTTTGGACATTATTTATAGCCATGTTGATCGGGATTGCATTGTGTAAGTGTAATATAAACAAGAACAAAATAAAGCAAAATGTAGTAAACAAATAAATTCGGGTTTTGCAATGAACTACATGGATAAATAACAATGTGGTTCGTTGCACGACATGAACACAGCTTCAAATACAGTGTGGTTCACTAAAGATATTACAAGTATAAAAATTAAAAATGTCAATATTTTTTATAATTTTGGCGTTTACTCTAAAATATACTTAAGTTCTTGAAGAGTAGGCTCTCTTGATTAATTTTACGCAAGCAGATGCAAAATCCGTCCATGGTTGACTAGACTGCGCAGGACAGAATTTATGTGAAATCTGACTTGCGCCAACTTCTCATCAGTGGTTGAACATGTCATGCCTTTCCTGGACGACATTCCAAAATTCCAACGCCAGCAGAATGGTCTTTTTATGTTGAGGCGATTACACGTTTGCGTGGATAAGCACGCCGGTCATGTTACGAAAGACAGATAGGAAAATTGCAGACTGAATCAGTAAAATGTCAATCTTTAACTGTGAATAAAATCAAATGAGTAAGGGATGGTTTCTCTTTGTCCTTTGTGCTTAATAACCACTGAGAAATTGGCGCAAGTCAGATTTTACATGAGTCAATGAAATCTGTGCTGTGTAGTCAACCATGGAAGGATTTTAAATCTGCTGGTGTCAAATTAAATTAACTGAGAGCTTTCTCTTTAAGAATTCAATTTATATTTTAGGGTAAACGCCAAAATTTTAAAACACATTGACCACTTTGTACTTGTAACATTTTTTATTTTTTATTGAGACACTCTGTATAGTATGCGTCCGGTGGTGTACTTTAAAGGGTGACGCATATCGTTTAGCAAATCGAACGCTCGTTTCTGGTGTTGCTCACCGTTTAGTATAAAAGGCCCGATCCCGGAATAATACTCAAGGGTTCACAGGTTCGATGTCGTTGTGTCAACACCTCTAACTGTTATATAGCATAAGTATATTGTAGATCGTCACACATTTATAAAAGGGTGATTTTTATTTTGACAAATCAATTCCAAATTTATGGGTGAAGTTTCAGGATCTTCTATTTGTGTATAATAAGGAAAAATTGGCATCTAAATTTCCCCATAACGTAATAGCACACAGCTTGGCATATGAAATATCCTGCAAATGAAACAAAGCAGTTCTAAAACAAGGATTTATATTGGCTGTTGTACATGTACTGTTTGAACGCAATCACTCCATGGATAACGTTTTAAAAATCATTATAAACGGATTACTTTATCTCAAAGACAATTTCAATAAACTGGATTTTACAGAACTCCCCTTATTTCTTAAAAATGGACTGATCCAGTTGATTCGTCTGGAGCCGCTATATTGTTTTTATACGGGATGCTTATCGGAACCCTTTAAGGTGCCATGGAAGTTAACAGGAAATGACAAAACAGGAAGTGACAAAGCCATGCTGGATTTTGAAAATTTTTTGAAGCAAGATATCAGAGTTCTGTTTGGACCTCTAGTCAGTTTTACTAGTTCCACATATCATTTACATGACTGGGAACACAATGGAAATGGTCAGAATGACCATAAAAATGATGAAATAACCTTTTCAGCCCTCTGAAAATGTGACTGAAAAATAGCTAAAAGTAGGTGCTCAGGAAAGGTCACTGAACAGAATCTTTCGATTTTTTCAGAAAACGTGTCCAATATATTGTTCTAAATGATACAATCTTTGAAATTTTAAAAAATTGTCTGGAACAATAATGGCTGTAGTAAAAAGGTAAATCGATCGATTTTCAATTCATTTTTTTTAATTTTTTTCTTTTTCTAAGAATGATATCAAATTTTTTTAAATTGTACCATTTTAAGCAATATATTGGGCAGATTTTCTGAAAAAGTCAAAAGATTTTGTTCAGTGACCTTTCCTGGGCACCTACTCTTAGCTGTTTTTCAGGCACATTTTCAGAGGGCTGAAAAGGTTATTTCATCATGTTTATGGTCATTCTGACCATTTCCGTTGTGTTCCCGGTCATGTAAATGATATGTGGAACTAGTTAAACTGACTGGAGGTCCAAACAGAACTCTGTTATCTTGGTTCAAAAAATTTTCAAAATCCAGCATGGCTTTGTCACTTCCTGTTTTGTCATTTCCTGTTAACTCCCATAGCACCTTAAGACGAATATTGAATGTTTAAGGCTTGAACGAACCGAAGGCAAGGTATTTGGGCTAAACAGACAATTTATATGAAAGAAATATTCTTCACTCATGTGTTGCAGAAAAATAGCCTGTCCGAGTGTAAAAGGTAATATCCTAGCGTTAATGTTTTACCTGGGCCAAGAATGCCAGTAATATAATGAAATATAGATACATCTTATTTAAGGCAGGCCCGTAGCCAGGATTTGCCAAGGGGGGTTCAATTTTCAAAAATTTCCAGGGGGGGTTCACATTTGACAATTTTGCCCCAAATATGGCTAAAATCATTTGAAAAGTGCTCAAAATGGTGAAAAACTGCATGATTTTGAAAGAATTTTTGGCCAGGGGGGAGTTCGCCCGAACCCTGCAACCCCCCCTGGCTACGGGCCTGTTAAGGTAAAGCTCATGTGTTAGCATACATCAGTTCAAACAACATTCATGACAATATATCAAGTAAAGGTCACTTCACCTGCCTTAAAGGAAACATATTTTGTCATCATCAACTCAAAATATCAAAACAACAGCTAGTAAGTTAAGACAACATGTTAATTGTTTACTTAAGTCAAAATATAGTGTTAACGATGGAGTAACCTTATGCTGTGTCAATAAATCCAAATTTTCCAAAACGGTGGAATTTTTGGGACATCTTTAGCAAACAAGGTATTTTATATAACCGAAGGAGCATGTCAAGGATAAATTATGTGTTATTGTTTGTGATATGAGGGGAAGTCAGAACATTTAGCCTTCACCATAATGGAGCAGGCCTGTAGCCAGGGGATGTCCCAAAGATTCTTCAGGCCCGTAGCCAGAGGGGGGGGGGGGGGGGTTCGACCCAAAAATTCTTTCAAAATCATGTAGTTTTCGCAATTCTGAGCATTTAATTTCATGTGATTTTTGGCCAAATTTGTCAAAGGAACCCCCCTATAATTTTTCTGAAAAGTGAACCCCCCTTGGCAAAACCATTATTGTGCATCTATTTATTGTTTTATTTGGTAAATCCAGTGTATCGGAATTTTAATATATTAATTACTCATAAGAATATGTATTACATTTATTTATTACAATATAACATGGGTATAATGGGTATGGGTTTCAATAAGTTGAAAGCCCATGAATATACCAACCTAAATTAGATTCAAATGTCTCTGGTTCAAACCACTAATAGCCAAAATGATACAGCACCATGTACTAAAATCAGAAATATTAACCAATCAAAATCGAGCATATCTGATATGCTAATCAGTCAAGTATCTTCCTATAAATAGTAGCTTTAACATGCTGTGCCTATTGGATTTTTTGCACAGTCACAGATAAAAAAATATCTAAAACAATTCAAATTTCATTATTGTTTCTATATAAATATGATGTAATTCAACATACATCAAGTTCTCTCTTCATTTTTGTCCCTAGAATTTAATTGTGTTGATTCTGTTGTTTGATTTAACTGCAATACCGGTTGTGCCATGGATTGTGTTGGTTGTGCCATGGATTGTGTTGGTTGTGCCATGGATTGTGTTGGTTGTTCCACAGATTGCGCTGGTTGAGAATCCATATATCTTTCCACATAGTGCAAAATTTCAAACAAAACCTGAAAATACAAATACATTATAAATATGATTAATAAGTTATTAACTCAGTAAAACCCTCTCTAGAAAGCCCTTGACAAAAACATTGATGAGATCTGTATCGTTCAATAGAACATTATTACCCATAATTCCATCAGGTTATCTTTACTGTCTTAGGCACAGACTCTGACCCAGGTCACATTTGCTCTGATTCATCGGCCGGCGCTCGGTCGATTGAGTATTTTGTTCAAAATTATATACAGTTTTGACCAGAATACTCAATCGGCCGGGCGCCAGCCGATGAATCGAGCAAATGTGACCCAGGTATAAGTACAATTGAGATTACATTATTGATGCTAATAAAATCTGGTGTAGCTAAAATCAGAATGATGTCAAATGTAGCCTTTTTGGGAGAACACAAAGGCCCAAAAATATGATATAAAATGTATACAGTAACTTGTCACCTAGTTTACTGACTTGTTAATGTACCAAGTTGCTATGTCAACCGTTATTTCATTGTTTAAAAGTCATGAGCTGTGAAACCTTTCGGAGAAACTCTCAATTACACTTTTAAGACATGCTGAAAATTTAAGCAAGATTCCTTACAATTTGACAAAATGTGAGACCTAGTGTCGTGACTTACTGAACACCCTGTAGAGTGTACTGTATATATACAACAAGGCATTAGCATGCAAAATGTCACCACCTGCCATTTGTTACAGATACCCAATGCCGACTACCTCCTACCAAACACTACTGTCCACAAAAAAGTTGGAGACCACAACAATATGTCACCTCTTGTGGTGGTGACGTAAAAATTATTTGCATATATTCACTGGTCCACAGCTGGATGACTCTTACTGCAGTTAGTATCATTCAAGATGGTGGCCAACATTCTTTCGTTTTCGATAAACCTCCGATATCAGCTAAACTAAGTTAAATCTGGATTCAAAATGTTTTGCCATGCAAACTAATACAGTTAGGATTGAAAACAGTCACAAGACAACATTCAATCACCTGCGATATTGAAGAAATTTAAAGAAAAGGCCTCACTTAGAATGACTCTAACTGAACTTGATGATGACATGTCATTCCTAGGTTTGGAATACAGATGCAACTTAGTTAAGCTGAAATCGGAGGTTTATTGAGTCATCCCGCAGTCCAGCTGTGGAACATTGATATTCTTGACATGACTTTAAAGCAGAAAACGATGGATGAATGATGGATATAACACAAGAAATGTGATTCTGAAATGCATGTACATGTTGTACATCAAGTCTGCAATACCATGCCTCAGTGCAGTACAAAAAGGCAATAACATATGCAAAATATCACCACCTACCATGTGTTGCAAATGCAGAACAAACACAACTGCAGAACACCAACTGCCGAACACCATTAACAAAAAAGTTGGGGACCATTAACACTTGTGGTGGTGACAAAATATAGTGATATTTCTGAATCATGAGTAAATATCATCCATGTGAATAAAATACCCAGTTATTTACCCAAATTACCAAAGCTGATGAAATATTGATATGTTATAACCTATAACTGCTGAGGAAGAATTGTGCACATCAATACTGTGAAGGAATGTCAGTCATAAATAAGGCCAGGTTCAAAGGGGAATTGGCAAAGTTCCAACTAGACTACTTGTTAAAAATGGATTGATTACTATTTCTAGTACAGTGAAACTAATATATTTGAACACTTCTCAATTTGAACAATTTTTCACAGTTCCATTTTCATTTTTATTCTTACTTTAGAAAACATATCAAGACAAGGCATTAACAATTCCAAATTGTCACAAACTGGCTACTTTCTGTATCAGAAAGTGATTATATCTAAGTGATAGTACTTTATGCATTGGCATGGTAACCAATATTACTTTTGAAGATGTGAAAACTGTATTCCCTTTGATTCAAAATCAGAGCAAATGTTAACAAGAAATGGATATATAGTTTTGGTGATGATACCATAAGTGAACACCTGCAAACACAAACTATTTTGGCCAATCCTAATGAATGGTGCTCATATTATATTAGTATTACTGTAGCAGTAAAGGCGTGATATATCCAAATTCATGAATCAAATGTATTAATGGCCAGGAGAGTGGTTGGTTATAACTGGTTTTGAAAAATACAAAACAACCCTGTGATATAAGTGATATTAAACAATACATGTCAGGCCCGTAGCCAGGATTTGCCAAGGGGTAAGCAAGAGATGTAATTATGTCTGTTATCTCTAAGCTCTAGGGTTTCAGGGGCGGATCTGGGAACCAACAAGGGGGGGGGGCCCAAATTTCAGGTCTGAGAAAAAATTTCTGCGTTTGCCCGGAAAAATAATTTGGGCCCTAAAACCAAATGATGACAAAATTTGGGCCCACTTTTGTAACTTATAAACCAAACTCAAAGAGTGGGCCCAAATTTTGAAATTTTGAGGCCTATTTTCACCAAAATTTGGCCTTAAACTGAAAAAAGGCCTTATAAGACCCCGTAATGACCAAAAAGGCCCACTTTTAGGGCCTTAAGGCCTCTTTTGGCCCCCAATTTTATTGGGCCAAAGGGTCCTTGGGTCCCTGCCCCCCCCCCCCCAGATCCGCCAGTGGGTTTCCCCTCCCCTTGACTCTGTCTCATATCAGTTAAAGCAAAACAGTTATATTGTTGCTTGTACAAGTTGAACATCCGATTTAAGAAAAGTGCAACAACAGACCATTTATTATTCAAAGTTGGCATTCTGCCCAAATCTTCTTGAACTAGAACTAACAAGAGTAGTTAACAAGTGCTTTTTTTTACATTTTATTTGACTGACCTTGAACGATTGTAAGAACATATTTCACATTTATTTTGATTGTTATAGTTTTGCCATCTAATACTTAGTGCATAGCTCAGATGATTAAATGGTAACTGGCCCCTGGGTGGAATATTCTCAGGTAACCATTTGTGCAATTTCTCCAATGAGAAAAATATTTAAGCCAGTCTGCCCCCTATACAAAAATAGCAATAACACTGACAACGCTACAGCAGTACATCATTTACTGATATCATGAACTTGAAATTCTAAGATAATTCATGAGATTGTAATAGAAAACAAAAAGCAACAACCATGTTTCATCAATCAATTTGGAAGGATATTCCTGGCATTTTGGAAAGAACCTTATATTTGGCCTTGCTTCTCCAGCATCCAAAATCTGATATGTTTAACATGTGGAATATATGTAAAAGGTTTATCTCATAAGTGGAACACTTTTAGTGGAAACAAGGACTTCTACTTCAACAGGTTTTACTGTCTGTGAAATTATCTAATAGTACATAAATTAAATTGATTAAAACACACTCTAGGGTTAGTTTGACCTGATATTGATCACACCCACAAGATGCAGGGTTTTGATTGGTTAAGACCCAATAGGAAAGACATTGTGTTTTGATAACCTTTTGGATTGGATGCCTGGGTATTTTTAAATGTTTGCCTTTTTTCATGTTCTAGCTTTACTTCTACTTCCAACTTTGTTTAAAAACTTTTTTTCCTAAAAGTATGAAATAAATCTAGCAAATCAACCCCAGTTTCAATGTTCATCAAATGGTGTAAGGATTTATATGAAAGGTTACCCTACATTTAAATAGATAATCGAAAACATAATTTAGAAACCAAGGTGTTTTGTATTTCAGATTGTTTATTAATGGCTATTGGCAAACAAATATGCCTCTTGTGTGTACTATACTAGCTTCATTTCTTATATATCAAAACTAACATGGCTGAAAATTACTAGAGGTGACATCTATTTTTACCCATGGCAAATTTTACTACAATCCAATGTGACCCACTGCTTCCAGTCATAGAAATGCATTGTGGGTAAAGCAATAACACCATGATAGCAGAACAACCAAATTGATTGTGCTATGAAGGCCAGTCTTACCTCAACCATGATCAGCACAATTACATCTGTTATATACATATCTAAACAAGCGGCACATTCTATTCCTGAACATTTGCAATGTGGCCCACTTATTCCCACTGTAGTAATGCATTGTGGGTGACACAATAACACAATGATAGCAGAACCAAATTGATGAAGGCCAGTCTTACCTTAACCATGGTCAGCACAATTACATCTGTTATATACATATCTAAACAAGCGGCACATTCTATTCCTGGGCATTTGCAATAATTCCCACTTTAGTAATGCATTGTGAGTGACACAATAACACAATGATAGCAGAACAACCAAATTGATTGTGCTATGAAGGCCAGTCTTACCTCAACCATGATCAGCACAATGATCATCCACTCAAGTCTCACATGATGTTTATCATTTGAGTGGCTGCTTAGAAGTTCAGCTAACTCACAACAGTGATTCAACTTTTCATTAACCACCTGTAAGAATAGAAAAAACAATCTGGTGAATTTCATAACGTCTTGGTTATGCTGTGTTAGAGCCTATTAACGTCCTGGTTGCTGAAGTGAGGAGTTCTCACTCGATTATTGAAGCCAATGGATGTATATACTCGTGACTTATTCACTTTTCAATAAATGGATGCTACTCTTGCCATATGGGAAAAATATTTGGATACAAATCGACCCCCTTCATGGTGGAAATGATGAAAATAAAAATTTCCTCTGACAGAAGTTCAACCATTTTGTAATAAAGATGTAACATCTTTATAACCAGGTCAGGACCAGTAAAAGGAAGGGTTCATCTATTTTGTTATAAAGATGTAAATGTCTTCATATACAGGTTGGGACCAGTGCCCTTGGTCTGCTAGAGAAATTAAATGTGTTAAATAATTTTGGATTAATGACCTACCCTGGTTCGCCCCTTTATATTAAGGTAGGCGCAGCTGTGTTGGTAAAGCATCTCAAGTCCCTCTCTGTCCCAATAGAAATCTGGAGTGTCCAGTAAGTCAGAGCTCAAGTTGATCAGATGTCTACAACATACAAAATAAAGTTGATCAGATGTCTACAACACACAAAATAAAGTTGATCAGATGTCTACAACACACAAAATAAAGTTGATGAGATGTATACAACACGCAAAATAAAGTTGATGAGATGCCTACAACACACAAAATAAAGTTGATGAGATGTCTACAACACACAAAATAAAGTTGATCAGATGTCTACAACACACAAAATAAAGTTGATCAGATGTCAACAACACACAAACTAAAGTTGATCAGATGTCTACAACACACAAAATAAAGTTGATTAGATGTCTACGACACAAAAAATAAAGTTGATGAGATGTATACAACACACAAAATAAAGTTGATCAGATGTCTACAACACACAAAATAAAGTTGATGAGATGTATACAACACACAAAATAAAGTTGATCAGATGTCTACAACACACAAAATAAAGTTGATTGGATGTCTACAACACAAAAAAAAGTTGATTGGATGTCTACAACACACAAAATAAAGTTGATGAGATGTCTACAACACACAAAATAAAGTTGATTGGATGTCTACAACACACAAAATAAAGTTGATTGGATGTCTACAACACAAAAAATAAAGTTGATTAGATGTCTACAACACACAAAATAAAGTTGATCAAATGTCTACAACACACAAAATAAAGTTGATTGGATGTCTACAACACACAAAATAAAGTTGATTAGATGTCTACAACACACAAAATAAAGTTGATCAGATGTCTACAACACACAAAATAAAGTTGATTGGATGTCTACAACACACAAAATAAAGTTGATCAGATGTCTACAACACACAAAATAAAGTTGATCAGATGTCTACAACATACACAATAAAGTTGATTGGATGTCTACAACACACAAAATAAAGTTGATCAGCTGTCTACAACACACAAAATAAAGTTGATCAGATGTCTACAACACACAAAATAAAGTTGATCAGATGTCTACAACATACACAATAAAGTTGATTGGATGTCTACAACACACAAATTAAAGTTGATCAGCTGTCTACAACACACAAAATAAAGTTGATCAAATGTTCACAACACACGAAATATTGACATAGTTCCTATTGGTGTTAAAAATAAAAGTATCAAATTAAGTCTCATTTCCAAAAAATTATGAATTAACCACCCAGTTAGTATGTTTTATTCAGGCTTGGTCGATGACTTGCCTCCTTCATTCTATACATAACCCAACCAATCAAAATGCTCAAAATCATGGTCATGTGACAGAACAGGTTAAAGAATCATGGGAACAGGAATACCTCCTCTGAATTGTAGGAGATTGCATATTATGTTAATCACCAATGAACAATAACAAATATCATTGAAAGGAAATATCACAATTAAAAAGATATTAATAGCTATTCAATCAAGTGGTAAAATATGTTAATAATGATACTCATATGATCAAAATTCATCAATCATGATTTCGTAAAGAATATAAATTGGAAATGTTAATCAACTAAACTACCCTTTCATCATTTTATTCAGGAACAGGCACCATGTTTCTCAAAAGTTTGGTAAGGATTATTTTTTCATCAATAACATAAAGTAGACTGACAAAAACAAACTTTTTTGGGGTTGTCAAGTTGGCCGAGAGGGCCTGAGCACTGGCACGTTCGAGCTAGGCAATTGGACGCCGTAACCACGAGGTTGCGAGTTGAGACGCTTGTGCTACTTATGTTTATTCATTTATCTAATTCTAATTTCAGTTTTTGAGTAGTGTACGAATGTGTAGATAAGAGTCTCAAATAAATAATAAAACTAACTAAAAAGAATCGATAATTCTTTATTCACTGAAATTCAGTATGTACAAAAAAGCAAGTAGATGATAAGATATTAACCCCAAATTATTTATTTTCTAAATAAAAATTTCCCATTATGATATTTTCTTGGAGGATCTTCATGTTAATTTTAAATCTTACAACATTTTGAAAATTAATTTGAATCTTTCAGCAAAATAATGTATAATAAAATTAAACACATCTGTTGAAGATTATTGCGAGTTTGGCTGTGTGCGTATTAAGCGACGACAAAACAAAGTGTGCTGGGAAATTTGATAAGGAAGGGAGTCAGTATGCAAAAGCAGCTCGATGGACTGAGACACTAGATGGTATCCAGGCAACTTGCGTCTGTAGGGAAGAAAGTTGGTTCTTATGGTTTCCTTGTAATGGGGACTTCTGTGATGATGCAGTACGGGTTTGCGAATGGGATGGTAAGTAAATAAATAAATAAACACAGGGAACTCATGCCTCTCAAACTCTCGACCTAATGGTTGCGGTGACAGCACCTAGCTCAACGTGTTCAATGCTCTAGACCGCTTGGCCAACTGTACAACTCCAAAAATGGTTGTTTCATCAGCCAATCTGGCTAGAGGGAACAAGTGTTATCGCTCATACATACAGAGGTAACATTCATGAACACATTCACACACACACATTCCTTAAACATTTAAATATCATATCAGTTGAAACCAGAACAACGGCAACGCCAAAGCGTAGCGAATCCCATCGAACAGAAATAGCTGGCATTTTTACAAACGAAATATATAGCAAATATCATAAAATAACACACATAAGAAAGTTGTCATCAGAAGAAGTAATATGCTTTTTTAAAGTATTCACATGCCAAATATGAACAAAATCGTTCCACTACTTTTTGAGTTATAGTAAAATACTTTTCAAAATGGCCGCCTTCTACCAAAAGTGTCATAAGACAGTGTGCCATGCTAATAGTATTCTAATACCAAATATGGACAAAATCGCTCCACTACTTTTCAAGTTACAGCAAAAATCGTAAAATAACGAGTAAAGGCCGAGTAAAATACGTTTAAATGGCGGCCATTTTTCAAATTCCATTTTTTGTCATCAGAAGAAGTAATATGTTTTTTTTATAGTATTCTCATGGCAAACATGAACAAAATCGCTACACTACTTTTCGAGTTACAGTAAAATACTTTAAAATGGTGGCCATTTTTCAAAATGGCCACCTTCTACCAAAAGTGTCATTAGACAGTGTGCCATACTTATATTATTCACATACCAAATATGAACAAAATCGCTCCACTACTTTTCGAGTTATAGTAAAATACGTTAGAATGGCGGCCATTTTTCAAAATGGCCGCCTTCTACCAAAAATGTCATTAGACAGTGTGCCATGCTTATAGTATTCACAAACCAAATATGAACAAAATCGCTCTACTACTTTTGAGTTAAAGTAAAATTTGTTAAAATGGCGACCATTTTTCAAAATGGCGGCAAATTTTCAAAATGGCCTCCTCCTACCAAAAGCGTCATTAGACAGTGAGCCATGCTTATAGTATTCACATACCAAATATGAACAAAATCGCTCCAATACGAGTAAAGGCCGCCATTTTTCAAGATGGCTGCCATGTGCTATTTTAATTTCTACATTTCTAGCTTTATCAATGTCCTATATAATTTTTTTACATTTAAAACATAATGCTATCACAGTTTTACATATTGCACCTAAATTACTGTAAAATCGGCACTAAAATGGCCGCCATTTTTAAATGAGCAGCCATTTTGAAAATTGGCTTATTAGCAGAACTTCTACCCCAATAGGGTATATGTGTACAAAATATGAACAAAATCGGGCCAACGGTATTTGAGTTATTGCCCGGACGGACGGACGGACGGACGGAGGCGTTCCCTATATCCCTCCGAACTTCGTTCGATGGGATAATGACACATGAGTCAGAGTAGGTATAGGGAGGTCACTTTCTTCATTCTTTAATGTATCCCTGAAAATACCAGCCAAACTATACAATATGCAAGAGGGGTAATTGCTTAATAGCTTTAAAATCGCGTTGAAGTTAAAGGATCACAATTCAACAAGATCCTATAGTTACATTTCAATGGTGTTTTACACTATCCAAATGGAAATACTTGATAAATCGAAAAATTAATTAACTTTTGCCAGTTGTCTAAACAAGTATTGCAATCTATTTATCAATCTATATTAATACTGTAGCAAATGGTCCATTAACCATAATTTTAAGAAAAACCTCTTTGTAAAGATGCCTCTCTGTAAGGAACAATTTTGCAAAGAACCAAGTCCCATTGGTGTACATGTAACAAAACCCTTTAAAGGAACACCTGTCTACATGGAAGAAGGCTAGTTAGTACAGAGAGTATGACATATACATGTATACAGGTACTACGGTACCACTGTTTGTTTTGTAGGTTCCTATAGTAACCCTGTCATTGTTTGTTATATAGGTTGCTATAGTGACTATCATTGTTTGTAATATAGGTTGCTATAGTAACTCTGTCATTGTCTGTAATATAGGTTTCTATAGTAACTCTGTTGTTGTTTGTTATATAGGTTGCTATAGTAACCCTGTCATTGTTTGTTACATAGGTTGCTATAGCAACTATCATTGTTTGTACTATAGATTGCTATAGTGACTCTACTATTGTTTGTTATATAGGTTGCTATAGTGAGGAGGATGGTAAAGCATATGCTGCAGGTGCCCAAATAAAATACCGTGGCAGAGATTGTGTTTGTGGAGATGATGAGCACCCGATTCCAGATAAACCATCTACAAAATATGCCATCAACTGTTAAATTTGGCATTCGCTTAAATTTGGCATTCAACAGTATCTATTTAACCGCACAATTTAATATTAAATGCACAGTCTGAATATGTATTATAATAGTAGGTTTTGTCCAAGAGTCAAAGACACAAAAAGACTAAGAGATGAGCTAAGACTAACTACATGCAAAATATCACAATTTTACAATATGCCTATTTTCTAAATTCAAAAACGATTGACACTAGACAAACAGGTACAACTCTACACTTCATTGAAAATGAACAACTCTTATGTTAAAGCAAGCTTTAAAGAAACAAGTAATACGTCTCGATGATTTGTATTCTGTACAAAGCTACTTTGTAGCAGATGCTCCCATAGACGCATATTTATAATTAATCATATTCTACAAGTATTTCATTGTATTGAACATCGGCTCAGCAGTTAAGGCATGACATATTTTGATGACACGTTGCAAATCATTCTAGGTATTTCTCGGCAATAGTACTTGTTAAAAACAAATTTCCCAGAATATTTATGACATAGTTTGTGAGAAGCAATACACCCCTTGGGAAATACCAGATGTACATGTATTAAATTAATCCTTTGCTTATTTCTGACAGGGAATACTTGAAGGAAAATGTTCTTGTTTTGCCCAAGAGTCAAAGATGTAAAAATAAAAGACTAAGAGATGAGCTAAGACTAACTACATGCAATTAATATCACAATTTTACAATATGCCTATTTTCTAAATTCAAAAACGATTGACACTAGACAAACAGGAAAATACATGCGAAATTTGTCTCCTGGATTGATATTGGATTCACAAGCAAATTATATCACATCTGTAACATACAGGCCAGTAAGGGACAAAATTTGCTTATTACAGTACTCATATGGCCTTCTTCTAAGATAAAGATACGCCTTGATAACATAGATAATATAGATGGATAACAGTAATATTAACTACAATTATCACGGGGTACCATCGAATAATTTTGGCAACGTACCGGAGAACGACATTTACTAAGAAATGGCAATAATTTAGCACAATATATTTTTTAACTAGAGTTCTACTTTGATTTTGACAAAAGTAAGTATTCCATGCAATGGCTATTTCATTCATGAGTTTGTAGGAATTCTGTTGGAACCCAGTTCTGATCAAGTACGAAGTTATTGAAATCGGCGCAGTCGGACTTTACTCCGAAGGATGGTTTTTCGATTATAACTTTTTACAACATTTAAGTATAGACTTTTGAAAAAAGTACAGAATAGTCCTTATACTATTGAATAATTCTGTTATTTCTGATTCACACGACTCTGATTTGTTTAATTAAAAAAAAAGTTTTAAAAATATTACTTAGGAACGTAACCGGAGCTGGGAACGTAACCGGAGCAGATCAGTTGAATTATATAATTTAAAAAAATAAAATATATGATTTAAAGCATATATATTAATAAATACGCATTCGAACAATCCCGTATGTTTTTAAATTAGTATATGTGCTTTAAATCATATATTTTAATTTTTTTGATTAAATAATTCAACTGATCTGCTCCGGTTACGTTCCTAAGTAATATTTTTAAAACTTTTTTTTTAATTAAACAAATCAGAGTCGTGTGAATCAGAAATAACAGAATTATTCAAAAGCATAAGGACTATTCTGTACTTTTTTCAAAAGTCTATACTTAAATGTTGTGAAAAGTTATAATCGAAAAACCATCTTTCGGAGTAAAGTCCGTCTGCGCCGATTTCAATAACTTCGTACTTGATCAGAACTGGGTTCCAACAGAATTCCTACAAACTCATGAATGAAATAGTTATTGCATGGAATACTTACTTTTGTCAAAATCAAAATAGAACTCTAGTTAAAAAATATATTGTGCTAAATTATTGCCATTTCTTAGTAAAATGTAGTTCTCCGGTACGTTGCCAAAATTATTCGATGGTACCCCGTGATTATCTTGATATTGAATCTTTTGAAATTAAAATGTAAGCACATGACTATATAAAGAGAAATAAGCTTAATCAATATTATAATGTTAAAATATAAATAAACTAAAATGTTAATGTGTCGAGCTGCCATCAATAATATCTCATTTCAAGACAGTCTCAAATGAATATTGATCAAGGTCTGATTCATATTTTGTCTTATTCCATGGACATGCCATCCACTGTACAACTCATCCTATGACAACTCATTTCTGGACAACTCACCCCTGGGACAACTCAATTCTGGACAACTCATCCCTACGACAACTCATCCCTGGGACAACTTATCATCCAATCAACTCAGCCTGGGAAACTCATCCCCTAGGACAACTCGACCCTTGGACAACCCCTTTTTACCACATTATTCTTAATAAGTTAATAGATAAATTAAGATGTTATTTTGAAAAGAAATTTCATTTATAGAAGAAATACATTATTTTAAATATCTTCACTCTATCAACAAAAATTGAAGTGCTACTTTGAGACATCAGCTGCCAAACAGGATATAAAAACAGAAAAATTCTCATATTTGTTTGAATTGTTTCTTTGTTTTTAGCGAAGTTCAAGTTTAAAATCAATACACAATAGTTATCTGTATTATTTTACACCCCCTCCATAAGTTTAGCAACTGCAAGTCTTAGTTTGATAGTGTTTAAAAAAAGCGTGTAAAAAGCGTGTAAAAAAGTGTGTAAAAAAAGCGTGTAAAAGCCTGTTAATATTTGATTCTTTATCTTGCTTTCTTATAACAATAGTTCAGAAATTTGATGGGTTTTCCTCTTTTTCTTCCTTTTTCTTTCTTAAAGGGTTATGATAAGCTTCCCGTATAAAATCAATATGGCGCCTAGAGGCGCATCAACTGGATCAGTCCATTATTGAGAAATAAGGGGACTTGTGTAAATTCAATGTGATCCAGAAGGGAAGGGGACTTCCAATTACTAAACTTATTGTGGGGAGTGTAAAGACATATGAACAACATTGTTTTCCATATTGAGATAATGATAAAATGATAAGACCTGTTACAGTATACTATACCACTGTAACAACATTTTTCTCAATATGTTTCTTGAAAGAATTACGGTAAGGATTAGATTTTGTAACTTATGACGTTGTAAATTACTTGATATAAAATCATTTAACATATTCAAATAAAATTGTAATGACACAAAACCATCCAAAATCAAATACCCTTTTATTCAATTATATTATTTTTCAAATATTATACAAATATAGAGTTGCGATCAGATTATTCCCATTGTCACTAATTAAAAAATATACGTATATAAAAATATCAATGTTAAACTCAGTAATTTGCATAAAGTTACAATGCACCTTACTTTTTGCATGGAATAAAACATCCAATCTGTCAGAAACATATGTTTTGTATAAGATTAACACTTTAAAATAACACAAACTGAAAAATGTTATTTCAATAAATTCGATCTCTAGTAGTCGCATCATATTCACAGTCATGATACTAAACTTACAGCTAGTTTTGTGCTTGGCTGTGTGTGTATTTGGCGATGACCACACAAAATGTGCAGGGAAATTTGATATGAATGCGAGAGAGTTTGCCATTGGAGACAGCTGGACCGAGACGCTTAACAATGTCAAGGCTGACTGTCACTGTCGGGAACACAGATGGTTTTTCTACTCTGAATGCCATGGAGACTTTTGTGATGACGCAACAAGAGAATGTGTCTGGGATGGTAAGTAAAAGTACTGGCTTAATATAACACATGGGCAGGCCCGTAGTCAGGATTTGCCAAGGGGGGGTTCACTTTTTTAAAAATTTCGGGGGGTTCACTTGTGACAATTTTGGTTCAAAATCACTTAAAAAGTGCTCGGAATGGTTAAAACTGCATGATTTTGAATGATCTTTTAGCCAGGGGAGGGGAGGGGGGGGGGGCTCTCGCCCACCCCCCCTGGCTATCCCAGATATAAAATATTCACAAAATGTAAAATTCCCTCACAATTTCGAAAAATTGTCTCAAAACTGGTGCAACCCAGTGTTACATTTTCCATCACGACCATTGCAATCCTGATCAAGTAAATGATAAATGGAAAAATGGAATTGATTGAAATTCGATAAAAAAGAAAAGCACAAAAACATGGTTTTGTTTTCCTTGCATTACAGTATAGTAAGACCTAACAACTCAGAAAATATTGAAAATTACGGAATATTAAAAAAACTACTAAAAAACTGATTCATAATCATAAAACTGTTGTTGCATAGGTTGCTATAGTGACAAGGATGGGCAAGCATATCCTGAGGGTGCCGCAGTGAACTATGGGGGCGAAGACTGTATCTGTGAAGAAAATGAAGAAATGATCGCAGATGGCATGCCAGAGAAATATGTCATCAATTGTTGAGATTTCAAGGATGTAAACTGATCTAAAGATTTAAACTGATCTCAATAATAATCTTCACAAAACTGAATAAATATCAAAATGTTGTTCTTCATGTGGTGTTCCACTTTACAGGTTTCACTGTATTAGTTGAAAAATCAAGAAGTAATATTCAGCCTTTGAAACAGATTGGTTAAATATTCTTTCCATTCCATCTATATTCATGAATTCAAAAGACAAGAACTTGATGACATCCATATTAACACGATGATAGATATAATATGGTGATATATACCATTGCATGATGATATCAATAACACGATGATAGATATAATATGGTGATATATACCATAGCATGATGATATCAATAACACGATGATAGATATAATATGGTGATATATACCATAGCATGATGATATCAATAACACGATGATAGATATAATATGGTGATATATACCATAGCATGATGATATCAATAACATGATGATATATATAATATGATGATTTCTACAACATGATCAAATCTTGAATAACATGATGACATCAATAGCATGAAGATATATTTAACAAGATGACATAGCAGGATGACAACATAACATGATAATTTAAAGAAATAAGATCATTCGAAGTGCAATTTAAACTCCAATAAAATAAAATAAAAGAAATTGCTCTGAATTATTATGAAAATGAAAATCTGGGCCTCGTGCGAAAAAGTACCTTCTCTGAATAAAATGAATATTTGGGACTTCTGGGAAAAAGCTAACCTCCTCTGAATAAAGGAGATAACTTTGAATTATCATGAAAACGAATACTTTGGACTTATGGGAAAGGGTACCTCCTCTGAATAAAAGAGGAGATTACTCTAAATTACTATGAAATATGAATATTTTCAAAAAGAGGAAATATATGGACCTTAAAATCACATCAAAGGAGATTGCATAAAGTAATGTTAATTCAAGAATTACAAATGTATGATATTAAAGGAAATACCAAAATTAAAATTGAATTTATAGTTATTCAATTCCACTTCAATGCAGTTGTAAAATACATTCATAATACTACTAAAACAATGAGAATAAATTTTCATGAAATAAAGCATAATTAAAGTCTATCATTTAATCAATATATAAATGTTACTGTGATAGTAAACTAGGAAATATTTTTTCGGATACAGACTGGTCTATACAGCAACATGTTGTTCAAAGTTTTGGTAAGGATTTTTTTCTTTCGAGTCATAGAAAATGTAAAGAATGAACTTTTGTCAAATGTTATTCAATACAAAATAATTTAAGATATAGGCAAAGTAAAGAGCTATTATGAAATAAATCAAAACAATAGAAAAAGTCATTCAATCAATTTAGCTAAAATATATTTAAAAATATACATGTATTTATAAAACAGTTTCGGAAAAAGATTTTTCAAGTCAATAATTTATTTCATTTTTTTGTCAAAAAAATCTATAAAGAATTTTTTTACCATAATTTGAACCATATCTCAACTTGAAAATAATTCTAAACTTCTTTCCAGATGATTTTATGTTTGGCTGTGTGCGTATTTGGCGATGACAAAAAAAAATGTGCGGGGAAATTTGATAAAGAAGGGAGTGAGTTCGCCATAGGAGATAGCTGGGATGAGACGCTTAATGACGTCAAGGCTGATTGTACCTGTCCGAAAGAGAGATATTTTCTTTGGACTGGTTGCTATGAAGACTGGTGCGATGATGCTGCGAGAGATTGCCGATGGGAAGGTGAGAAATATGTTTATATTTACACAGGGAGATATGCTGATTACTCAATTATTACAAAATTAGTACTAAATTAGCACTCTGGCAATAGTGCACTCATAAGCTATCATGTCATGAGTGCTAATTTAGTAAAAGTTCAGGATATGAGTACTCATTTAGCGCTAAAAATCAATGAAATTACTGCTATTTTGTCATTCATCATATGAGTACTCATTTAGTACTAAAACATGCAATAAATTAGTACTCATGTCATACGTGCACATTTAGTACTAATATTTACTGAAATTGAGTAATCAGTTAGCGTTAAAATGCCATGAGTACTATTTTAATACTCGGCATATCTCCCTGTGTACACTAAACTGAACTTTCTTTGAGCGAGTGAGCGAGTGAATACCAAGAAGGATTGATAAATCAGTCACAAAATTCCTCACTAAAATGGCTCGAACTTTGAAAACATTAATGTGAACAGAATATGTATTAAAATGTGTAAATTTTCTATGTTGGGTCATTACTTAAAACATAAGGCATAAGATGAAAAATGTCAAAAGCAAGGAAAAAATGAAAAGAACTCTGGATTTTAAGATGTCAAAACCTGAGACCAAAATTCCCTCTATACACTTTTAAATGAAGTCAAATAAATACAAGTATGTGATGATCATTAAAATGATTAAAATGTGTGCTCAAACAAAGGTAAATGTTAAATATAGTATCTGCGAAATTAAAACTTTAAATTAAATTAAAACGTTTGCCTGGTTTCAAGGTTCATGTATATGGTGTTTGCACCTAAGTATATTTTTACCTAAATTGAGCAGTCCCCTACCATATATAAGGATAATGAACCAAAAAATCATATTATAAAGGAAAATACATTGAATAAAAATCCATGTATGTTTATTGTTAAAGGTTGTTATAGTCGTGACGATGGGAAGGCGTATGCTGTAGGAGCCAGAGTGAGTTACAGGGGGCAAAATTGTGTCTGTGGAGAAACTGAGGAATTCATTGCAGATGCCCTTAGTCAGAAATATTCCATCAATTGTTGAACTTAGATAGATCAGGATTAATCAAAAGCTGTATCATGTTTATTTGATTATACACTTTGAAAGATGAATAAAAAACTAAATCTAAAGTAAAAGTGGATTTCAATGTTATGTTCTATCGGAGATATTGAAGTAAATGTACATGGCATGAAGTTTTGCAAAAACAGGCTTGCAGTCAACTGAAAAAATTGTTTACTTCAACCTTGAAAATAATGTTGGCCTCAACCTTTACCCTCAGTCAACAGTATGTGGTATACAGTTTTGTCAGTTGACCTCAAGAGAGGTTTACAATATTGTGTATACAGCTCCCTCCCCTTTAATTATTCTTACATAATGGGAACACCTTATGCCTATATTGGGTATACAATTTTGACCTCAAGTTGACCTCATGAGAATGAATAACATACTGTACACATTTCTATCCCTTTGACTATCTTACCTTAATGAGAGCACCTCTCCGTATTTCTTTAGCACCAAACTTCTTGACATGTTCACCTCTTTTCCCTGCCTCATCGCCTATAATATAATATACATGTAGTATAATATAAATGATATATAATATAATTATGTAATATAATATAATATAAACCACCTTAATTCAAAAGTTATATGTGAGAAAAAAATGAAAGTATGACAATAGGGTACATGTGATAAATTACAATAAAGCTGTAAGTACTAAAGTGAAGCTACGTGTATTACAATAAAACTTAACATATACAACAATTACTCAGATGCGAATAGACAGTTACCAGTTTCGCCACCAGGTGGCTGATTCGGGGGAATTAACATGGCAGGGTATTACAAAATTCCCTTAAACTTGCATATGCATCAGTTTTAGTGGTTCACATTTCATATTACCCTTATGTATCTGATAGTTATACAAATTGAAATATGTCCAGTAAAAGAAATATTATCTACCCAACACGAGAAAAGATATTTCACTTTTTGTGGTTTTACAACATGGGGTCTATGGGGAATCTCCCCGACCCAGGAGTCACATTTTCAAAGAAAATTTAATTTTCAAAGTTGATTAACTCTTTTCAAAACCATATTTCTAAATGTAATTTTACATGTGGATTCCAAATATGACATCGGTTTGACTGTGAGTTTTTAATGACGTAAATCAAGATTATTTCTACTCAAATCTGGGATATGAAGCTACATGATCACTCCATGCTCTACAGTGAAGCTACATGTATTACAGTTTAGCTGCATGTTATACAGTACAGAAATATGTACAACAGTAAAGCATGACATGCTACAGTCAAGTTATATGCATTTATTCAGTAAAGCTGCCTGTTCTATATAAATAGAAAAATTTGAATATGTAAAGCTGGCTGTGCTAGCCAATAGCCTATTCTACTGGAAAGATTCTATTCAAAGCTCAGGAACAAATATTCAAAAGTTCTGGTTTCATATGCAGCCAATTTGTACTGTATGTGAATGGGGAAGGAGGGGATTGTGGGATTGGGGATTAAAGAAGGATTTCCTACCTCCGTAACCCATTCTATAGAATCCACGTATCTTTCTAGAGAGGCCTCCCATATGGCTAGTTTCACTGGAATATACATTTTAGTCATTTGTATTGTGCAAAAACATTATTAATTCATATATTAACCTAGCAACAATATTACAAAGTTTTGTTGTTTTGTTTTTTTTTCTTAAAAACTATGGCAGTATTTATTCTGGTTCATAATTGTCTAATAACCTGATGAAAATGTTTATTCTTAAGAGGTTAATTTACTCAAAAATTATCTCTTCCGACCTCTCTCTTAAAATAATGAAACTTTTTCTCAGATGGAAAATGATTTACTCTTACTAACCCTTGAAAGGATAGATTTTACAAAACATTTTGCCAATTCTGAGAAACATTTAATCAAATTTTACCATTTCGACAAAAAAGCTGATAATCCAAGAGAAAGTAGGTCAGGATACAGGGTATTCATAAAATTTCTTTACAATACCAATGCAAAGTCTAAGTAAAGTGTAAATGACTATGGACCCCTGTATATTTGGGCCATTTTAGGATTGAGGGATGGGGGGGGGGGGTAGAAAGGAGCCTGTCAAGCCCAATACTTCTGGCTGCAGGCCTCTAGTTAATTCTTACCTGACAGCCCTAATGCATTTGAGAATGCATATTTCTCTAAGTTCCTCTGGACTTTATTCTCTTCTCCTGACTTCAGATAGATGTCACCTGACACTAATCTTGTGCTGGACCTACAAAAATACAAGAATATTGTACTTGCATGATTTAAAAAAGGTTTTGGTGAGGGGGGTTAACACTCTTCTCCAAGTAAGTCTTAATCGTGGAAATAGAATTCAAAATGATTTTACTCATTAAACGAGTACTCAAGTAAAACTTATTGGTAGATATGGCACTCAAACAAAACTTACTCATGGAAATGACACTCAAGCTGTTCTTTCTCATGCTTCACCAGGTTCAAGTCATAGGCACATTCAGAATATGGCATCAAGAAAGTCAGAAGATTATTTCTCTGAAAAATAAAAAATAAATAAAAATTCAATTGTTAAGAGGGGTGTACATGGGTTGAGGCAAGACATTATGATTTGAGAAATAACGCAGATGCGAGTAGGTAGTTACCAGATTCACCACCAGGTGGCTCATTCGGCTCAGATAGCATGGCGGGTATAGTAGAAAGTTTCCTTTAACTTAAATTACATTTATTTGCGTGGTTCAATTATCATATAACACTTATGTATCTAATAGTTATGCAAATTAAAAGATGTCCAGTAAAAGAAAATATTATCTGTCCAATACAAGAAAAGATAATTCACTTTTTGTGACTTTGTAACATGGGGTCTATGAGGAATCAACCCGAACAAGAAGTCACATTTTCAAAAAAAATTTAATTTTCAAAGTTGATAATCAATTTTCAAAACAATATTTCTAGATGAAGTTTTACATGCAGATTTCAAATATGACATCACTTTAACTGAATTTTGAATATTTAATGACGTAAATCAAGATTATATCTACTCGCATCTAGTCTATTAATTTGAAACCAACAACATGACAAAATGTCACCAGTTATTACAAATTGTTACAGATATTGAACTCAATTGTTACAGACACTGAACACAATCCAGAAAAAAAGTTGAAGACTATAACAGTATGTCACCAATTGTGATGGTGACATAAAAATCCAGCGCTTGCATTAGGTTAGAAAATTTGTGAGTCCCAAGGACGCAATTTTTTTTTAAAAGTGTGTCCTTTAAAAAAAAAAAGTGTGTCCCCTATTTCTAGCCTGTTTTGAGGTATAACTTCTTGCCGCGAATTTAAAACAGAGTAACCGTTAAGTACGGACTGAATAAATGCATGTTCGTTCATTCGACAATGAATACATTTTATTTCATGAATAACCTAATATTTGTTTCTGAATAGGAAAAACTATGGCGTGTCATGGTTTCAAATCTAAAAATAAACAAAGTCGAAAAAATTCGAGAGAATCATGATTATTTGTAAATATTCAACATGTTGAGCCTTATTTACGATTCAAATAAAGGTGAGAGATCATAATTATTCGTTTTCGTTAGGTATCGTTGCATTGTAGTATTGACCTAAAAAGAATTTGCGTCCAAAAAATGGAAATATTTTCAATTTTTGCGTCCTCCAAATCAGTCAATATGGTACAACGAAAATGGGACTTCTGCGCATGTTAAAATTTTTCGTCAAAACTCAACTTTTGTTCAAGTTGATACGATTGTCTTTCGAACTAGAGACTTACCTCATTCGAAAGATCATAAAAGACTTTATCTATACTGAAAATCTTAGATCCAAACATAGTAGAATACGCCGTCAGTCCGCATTTGATTTTTTGAAGTGAGTTTCGTAGATCGTCAGATTTCTCCGACTGATATCGGGTTATCTCAAACTGGTTCGTTTATAAATACCAATTTCTTTACCGTTGTAAGGCGCATGCGCAAAATTGATTTATAAACCTTATTGGTTGATGGTTTTTCTCCTGCGCATGCGTGAAGTCTGTTGAACAATTATGACGAAGACCGGAGCAAACATTACTAGCTCTTGAACGAAATTCCAAGATTCAGGTCATTTCGCCGTGTTTGCTAAGCGTGTATACGTGAATGACAAGCTGTTTTGAGTAGATCGGGTACCTGTTTTAGACACAACATTGATTTAGCTTGACATTGATGTGCACATTGGCACTTTTGAGCATGTTAATACAAGTTTTTACACGCTTAGCACGAGACGGGTTTTCGAAAAATCTGTTATCTGATTCACTCGATTATCGTATGGATATGCATTTCTGCTGACATTTCAACACCACATCACATAGAATTACGATGCAGAATGATAATAAAACACAAAACAACTACTAAATTCCACTTGTTATTTCACAGGAGGTAAAAATGCAAACTGCCTAGATTCTTTGTAAGGGCCGTCAGACATCGGATTGGCCGCCATATTTGAAATGAAAATATCACTAAATAGAGGTCTGCGCATGCCTCAACATTTCGACTGAAATTATTTTTGAGTCCTTAACATGAACGGGACGCCGTTAATGCAAGCCCTGAAAATCATTCTAAAATACATATGATTAGTGGTATTTTATTTATGAGAAATATTTCTCACAGACCTGAAAACTGTATTTGTAACTAAACAATAGTATGCAGTATATATTAGACCAACTGGCTGCAAATGATGGTATAGTATGTTAATGTTTAGTTGAAATAGCAAATATCTAGTACCAAAATAGGATTTTCCTCATGTCATTCAGAGTGTGAGTTCAGTCAATTAATATTTGTGCAGGGTACTATAATTATGATTTACATAATATGTATGTGCAGCAGGGCATGACCAGAATCCAAAAAAGGACCAGGCCAATATGATTTGTTGAGACCCATGATAGTGAATTAATACAATGAAATATGTTTTCTCAGGTGCATTATGAAGAAATATTGGACCTACTGGCCAAATTTTATAAGGACCAATTGTTATCTTAATTGCGAATAGTAGTTAAGATTGATGTTTTAGTTCAGGGATTGACACGTCAGGAATTAATCGCGACAACGCAAGGACACAGGTCAGAATAATATTAATAAAATAAGTATTTACCTCTTCTACTGGCAAATTCCAACAGACAACTGAACCTTCCCTGAAAAAAGCATTCATAAATGAAGAAAACTAAGGCCACCCATTGAACCAGTACATGTTACAAATTTTAACTATTTACGATTTAAGCATTGTTCTGTTAATACTTTTTGGGGAACATTAACAGGATGAGACAATTCCCTTTATATAATATATGCATCAGAGCACCAATATTTGTGTATTTCTTAAAAACTAAATAAACAGGCTTAAAATCAATCAGTGAGTGATATATTAGTGCAATAATGAGATTCTAGTCCTATAGTGCAACAATTATGAAATTCTAGTGCTATTATTTGGTGCAATTATGAAATTCTAGTGCTATGGTGCAATAATGAAATTCTAGTGCTATTATTTGGTGCAATTATGAAATTCTAGTGCTATAGTGCAATTATGAGATACTAGTGCTATAGACTGCACATTTGGGGATTATGAGGTTATTATGTGATTACGTTTTGAGAAGCTATGATGAAATTTTAGTGATACTACGTGGGCAGAATATAGCCTAAATACCTGAAAAGGAACACCTCTCTCTTCATTTCATCTCTCTCATCTATGTGATACTTTGCTGTAAGGTGCAGTGCATCAGCTTTGATATCGGAAGGCAGCTCCTGTATTTCATACAGCCCCTGCGTCCTGAGTGCAGGTATAAGTTTGTCTAAGTAATACTCCTCCCCAGTTGCATAGGCTACTGCATTCATAGCACTCTCCTGTTATAATTAAAGTTTATAAGATTTGTAGGCATTTTGTCTGTTAAATGATCAGTTGGAAGGATCTTTTGGTTATGCCCGTAGTCGGGGGGAGGGGGGTGGCCAAATATTCTCTCAAATCATGCAGTTTTTCATCATTTGAGCACCTTTCAAGAGATTTTGGGCCAAAATTGTCAAATTTGACCTCTCCTGGATTTTTCGAATATTACTGACCAATTGACAAAAGCTGGCTATATGAGCTTGTTGGTGCTTTGCCAGGCTTTAAAATTTGAACTGTAAAAATGATAAAGACCTACATGAAGGTAAGCAGACTAGCTAGATAACAAGGGAGTGGTATCCAGCTTAGAGACGTCTCCTTAAGGAGACAATTGATAAAGTTCATGTGGCAAATTAATTGGCAGCACAACCACCAAAAGCACTCATTTAAACCAACCAATCAACCAACCAATCAACTAACCAATCAACCAACCAGTCAACCAACTCACAGAATATTAATAAAAGATGCCCAATAAGGCAGAGAACAATTCAAATTTACAAATTACAGATTATAAAAAGTACTAAAAATCAAACAACCTTTTGTTCAAGTGGAACATCATCCTTCTTTTTTCTCCTTCCTGGACGTTTGGTTGTCAATGGTGATATTGTTTTTTGTATTCCTCGGATTTTCACGTCGCTTTCTGCATTTTCATTCACTGTGTATAATCTCATTGAAGTTAAAGTCTGTGGCCCTTTATTCCGTAATATTGATGTCAGGGTAACTCTATTCATGATGTCGTTTCTGATACATACAGTGATTAATGTCCTAGAAAAATGTTTATTTGGACTTCTCGTCATTGATGCATAACAATAAAGTGTTTTTCTATTCCTAAACTGTGCATTCGACAATGTTCCAATTTGCTGGAATGATTTTATTCCATTCAAGATGCATCTTCTAATGTTGGGCAAAGACATGTTTCTGTTTCTGAAAATAAAAGTGCAATTTGATAAAATTATGATTTATTAATATTACACTTATGTTAAGCAGTGATCTTTTAGTTTAGGAAAAGCCGGTGACCTGCTATCAGCTGCTGCAGAATGTAAACAAAGCCTGCATAGCTGACTACCACTAAAGCGCTAATGTGTAACTTGACCTTTTTAACATTGCTGGCATTTGGTTGCTATTAAAAGACAGCCACTTGCTTGTGAGATGTAACTAGGATTAGGGTTTCCCAATTTTGGGGGTAGTCTTAGTAAAATATGTCTGGGGGGCGTTTGCAGGAAGGGATCAAAACAATTCTTTCAATCCTGCATAGGCAAGACAATTCTCTAAATGAACAATTTTGAATCAAGTTGATCCCTTCCTGCAATTTTGAGAGATTTAATGTTCAAGTTGCCAGAATGTTCAGAGAGAATACATTTATTAACTAACCAGCTTGTCATCAAGGTGCTTTAATCTGATAAACTTTCACTCAAATTAAGAAAAACCCTGGAAACATTAGAGGAAGGGGTAGTACTTTCACAAAGTGTTAATTTCAAGATCCAACTCAGTATTAATTACAAGCTGTAATACTATTTTTAAGATGATCACACATTTTAGATACCAAGGAGTTTCTGTGTAAGCATTAGGCCATATGGTGGGAAATCCTAGCAGTGACGTCACTCACTAGCTGATAAGACCAGCTTGAGTAGCATTAAGTGCACTAACTAAAAGTTCGTTTACAGGCCAGCATAACATAAGTGATTAAGCAAAGTTAATTTTGAAGAAGGTTGATTTGGATTAAAGCAAAGTGCACTTAACAGCTTCTCCAAGTTTCCTGCAAGTTGACTGTTGAAAGTTCTGAGAACTTCCAGATGTTTTTAAAAAAAAATTGGTCAATTTGAAGCAAGTTGAAAAAATATCTTTTTGACCATCTCTTACCTGAAGACAAGTTCATTGGAGGTCAAATCTAAATCTAAAGTCAGATATGAACTTCAGAGAACTTGTAGGTGATTTTGAAGTGTTGGCCAATTTGAAAAAAGACCTTTCTGACCTTATTTTTAACTTGAGTAGGTCATTGAAAGTCAAATCTAAAGTCAGATTTGAACTTCAAAGAAGTTTTAGATGAATTTGAAAACACTTGAAGTCAGACTAAACAGTATTTGTTTAGTCATTCAAAGTTGTAAAAATTTGTTAGCCAACCACCAACCACCTTCAAAAAAAAGTTGGAGACCGTGACCGTCACCACTTTTGGTGGTTACATATAACAAGACTGATTTTAGGATGAAATACTATGATATGATAGTACTAGACTGTCTGTACATACATGTACAGTTATTGATATGCGTTGTCATATAACAAGAAAAACACCATTCCTAATTGTCAACAATTAGGAGGATTGGCTCCTAGAATGCAACCTCGATATTTTCCAACAATGAAATGTTGATCACTTCTTGTGTTTTGCAATTTTTTTTTATGTAATAAAACAAGAACTTGTGCTGCTAGGCCTTGGGAAAAGTACTCAATAGTACTTTCCCTTGGCCTATGCAGCTACTGTATACAGTTTCATTTTGAATTCCGTAATTATCACAACATCCTTCAATATTGGATTTATTCAATTTTTTTATACCAGGGGCTTGGTATGCGTACCGAAAGAAACGAAATAATATTGAGATTGCATTCTGGGAGCAAATGCTCATTGCCTTTCTGTAGGTGAAAGATTTGAAAATATAAAATTTGTCTATACATCGTCAGAAAATATGTCGATTCCACGCAATATTGTTTTAGAATCTAGAATATTCTAGATCTAAAAATTTAAATTCTACTCAGAATTTCTAGAATCTAAGCTTATTAAGCTTAGGCCTAGATTGAATCATGGGCTAAGCAAATTTCTAGAATCTCTAGAGAAGATAAATCTAGGCTACAGTTGGGGACATAAATAAATGACAGGTGGATTTGCTGAAGTGAGGATTTCCCATGTTAAAAATAAGAGAATTTACAAGAGGCCATACATCAGTGGATGAGATTATACAAAATGTAAAATATACAAATTTTAAGGGATATATATCTAGACAATATTGGAAATTATGGGCTTTCAGACCACCATAATTAGGAAATGGTGATCGAAAATCGACCTGTCATTTATTTTTGTCCCCAACTGTAGAACAACACACAATTGTAAAGAGGACTTTTGACTTCCGATCGAAATTGTTCAAATGAGCTAATCAAACAAATTATTCCTGCATAGTTTGTAAAACATATATTGAGAGTTAGTAGAAGAAAGCAATTAAAACTCGAAATATTTCTAAAATGTACAAACTTTGATTACTAGGAACACCTCTCCGGAAATAATTGCGCAGTAGAAAGAAGTACTAATTTTTTGTAGTTTAAGGTTAAATGTGCCTAAAAATCAGCTTCAAAACATCACATTTGTTTTTTCATGTATTTTTTAACTAATTATATTCGAAATTAATGTTTAGATAAAAATTTAAAAAAGATTAATTACTACGCAAAGGTCAGAGGTCACAGAGGATTTTAAAAATCTGAAAACAAGGTAGGGTTGAAAAGTTTGAATTTTATCACGAAATGTGTAACTTCTGCTTTTCCTAACTGTGCTTTACTTGGCATAAATCAATTATATTAACATTGTCTTTAACTCTAAGTATTTAAATGTCAATTTGCTCCAACCGTCACGCTGAAAATCAATGATCAATATTTTCATTTTTTAAATAAACCCTATTATCGCCCACTTACATTTCAGACATGTTATTATTGTCAATGTGTTTTCACAGGTGAGTATGACGCTTCCCTGTAATTAAGTAAGTCTGATTTACTTACTTACAGGGAAGCTTCACACTCTTATTTCCCAGGGAGCACCTGTGACTCAGTTGATTAATCTTCTTCGATGCATTCCTCTTTGGTCGTGAAAAATAGCATTGATTTGACAGGTGTAATTCAAAACACAAACAATTGCTATTTCTTATTTAGCACAAATGTATATTTCAATCCTCGATTGATGTCAAACATAGTCGTTGGCTATGTTATATCCCAGGGCACAAAATTTTCATTTACAGAAATCTTAAAATGCAGGGAGTTGAGTTCACTTTTTTAGTTGGGAAATTTAGCCAGTAATTCAAAGTTATTTTTCAAAGATCAATCACTCCTTCCCCACATTGCTTACATCTTTTTGATTTGCACAAGCAGTGCTCTAATGTACCTAGAAAAGAATTGAGTGTCGAAGGAGTGATTGATATTTGAAAAGTAACTTGCGACTCTATTAAGAATAATGCAGATGCGAGTAGGTAGTTACCAGTTTCACCACCAGATGGCTCGTTTGGGTCAGATAGCATGGCGGGTGTAGTAGAAAGTTCCCTTTAACTTAAATTACATCTGTTGCTAAAATGAGCATAAGCAATAAGGTATAGCAACAACAAGACAGCAATTTCTTTGGGTTGCATTTTTTTGAACACCCTGTATTATTATTTCCTTTCAGACTTGTCATCAGTTGTGCAAATAAAGGAACTTAGTGGAATCAACTTGTACGTAGGAGGTAGAGATGAGCGACAAAATTCAGCAGCCATTATTCAGACAATCGGCTCCATCTGTTGGTTTCTCACCACCAGTGCCACCTTTCTTGAATACAACAAACTACACAGTACCCCAAGTGGTGAATTCTGAACATATAATTGCTCCACCTGCAAGCAGGGCTGGTGAGATTCGACCCATTGCAAGAGTATGTGCTCAATCGAGTATAGTACAACCCACACCTTTATCAGCGATGTCTTCGCCAATGACACATTTTCACAATACTGGGCTCAGTGAAAGACATGCTGGCATATATGGGCAGAATCTATCCTTACGCATCCCAATTCTTAATTCAAACATTGTAAACCAACAAATGAGTATGCCCCATACAAATATTCCTCCCACTGCTGGTAATATCACCAATATAGAGGACGTCAAAAATTTAGGATTAAATTGTAATATTACAAAGGCTCAAACATCGCTTCAACCACCATTCATGTTCAACATGGGAGATATAGACTCAACGGGTATAAAAGTGACCAATCAGAAGTGCAATACAGTTTGGGGTCAGAGTATACCCACAACATTTCAGTGGGAAAGCACCAGAAACTTGGATGAAGAATTTGGTGGTTCGAGTTCACAAAATGCTTTTAAATCAAGGAGAGTGCTTGCAAAGAGAAAAGCTGCAAGGTAGGCTATGTCCATAATTTATTTTAAGGATTTAAGCATTTTATTAATACAGTTAATTTCCTACGATTCGAACATGAAAACACACCAGAATATTGCAAAATCATCAATTTCGATGTTCATTTCCACTTTTTTCATTTCTACTTCCGGTTGAGCTTTTGCACTGAACGAAACACTTAGTACAGAGCTGGGGCATTGATCTCGAATATGCCCCGGGTGAAACATTGACTTTGTTCACAGTTTATAGAATGCGTGAATAGTCATGTTCGAATCTACCAATATAAGGCAAACCATGCTTGGTTTTTAAATAAATGCAACATCTTTATGAACAATTGAAAATTGCATGGATGTACATGGGTGGGTGTAACATTTGAATTTGAAAGTTTATTCTTGATCGTATTATCTCGACATATACAAATCAGGCTCCTTCCCAGAGATTGTATTACCTTTAATATAAACAATTTCACTTCATTAAAGGCAGAATCAGATCTATGGGGGTGATAAAATTACAATCAACATGTACAATTGACCTACCAATCTATTCCTTACAATCTCAAATACAATATCTCCCAAAAGATTCACGATGTTATAAATTGGTAAAGTTATAATGGATTCAAAGTGCAAAAATGGGTGAAAAATGTTTAATTTCTCCCAAATAATAAGAATGGTAACTGGTAACCATTCTTAGAGAAAAATAATACGTTATTGTAAAAATCATGAGATTTCCTGAAATAAATGAGTGTGCACTTTGGGTGTTTTTAGAAAATAGACATGAAAAGGAATGACATAAGCCAGAAATATTCTAAAATTGAAACAATTTTTTGTAAGCCCACTCACTAGATCTGATTCTCTCTTAAGCACAGATTTTCCAACCCAAGGGTGCAATAATATGGGAAACGATGGCAATGGAAATAGTCCTAAAAACGATCTTCCTAACAACAGTTAATTTTTGTAAAACAACCAAGAACATTAAAAAATTGTTGTTACCCAAGGTAATTGCATCATGACAACATTTGGTGTCTGTAACAAATGGCAGATGGTGACATTATGCATGTTAATACCTTGTGTGTTATTATTTTCCAGAGACTCTCCTATTCCAACAAAGGTTTACATTACAGAAAAGGAAATGGCGCGGAGAATCAGTAATCTAAACCTTGATGGGACCCCACCATGTAGAAACAGATCACTTTTCTCAGATTTAGACCCCAAGTCCAGAGCACAAAAGCAACTTGATGAAATAGATATGAGGTAATTGAATGAATCAAAGCAGAGGCTGAGAAGTTTTGTCTCACATATAAATTCTTATTTTTGCATTTCTTATTGCATGGTGAATCTATGGATTATGGATAAAGAAATCACCCAGTGACCGATTATGTCATACCTATATGTCCGTTTGTCATCAATTTCCAGACAATTTGAAAACTGCCATTTGGTTGAACAATGTACTTGGATTTAAGAAACCCTTCTGAACACATATCTATAACAGGCCCGTAGCCAGGATTTGCTAATTTTTGAAAAATTCCAAGGGGAGTTCACTTGTGACAATTTTGGTCCAAAAATGCCCAAAATCACTTAAAAAGTGCTCAAAATGGTGAAAAACTGCATGATTTTGAAAGATTTTTTGGCCAGGGGGAGATTGCTCAAACCCATCGAACCTCCCCTAGCTACGGGCCTGTATAATTAAGAATGTACTCTCTGTGCTTAAAGGAATATTCCATGCCAGACCCTTTCTCTCTTGATATTGTAGCTATAATCATATACATAGTTTCCATATTTAGCAAAACATGGGATGTTTTAATATGGTCAATATTGATCATTTAAAAATCTAGTGCTTATTTCCAGTGAGCTGCCATCTTTTAAGATTTCTTGCAGGAAGTGATGTCATCAACTCTCAACTTCTATAACCTTGCCCATAACAGTAAAGGAAAGTAGCACAAAATCACTTCTAGACAAGTGATCATTACTTTCTGTGCAAAAATATTTTCAGGGCTTGTCAACTTAGAATAAAAGAAGAGATTTTCAGAAGGATTAAATAAGATACAAAGTTGAAAAAGAATATTTAGCTGGTTTTGTAACTCTTAATAGCTCCTCACCTAATGTTATATGCAAAGTTGAGAGTCGATGACATCACTTCCTGTGTGAAATTTTAAAAGATGACAGCTTACTAGAATTGAGCATCACATTTCTAAGTGATCAAATTTGACCATATCAAAACATTTTTGCGTGTTTTGCTAAACATGGCAAGCATATATATGGTTATAGCTACCATATGAGGAGAGAGATGGTTTGGCAAGGAATATTCACTCATAGGTCCAGGAAAAAATTAAGTCTGAGTCTAGTCCCTTAAGAAAAATATATTCCTCCTTGGACTCTGTTAAAATGAGAAACTAATTATACTGTCCCTTGGAATAAAGCTATAAAACCCATGTCCAATCTCTTGGATTTAATACACGTAAGTAAAGCTGTAACATCATAAATAGAATGAAGTCCAAATGGTTAGAACATATTATGCCTCAGTCAGAATAAAATCCATATTCTATCCCTCCAAGTGAATATATTCGGTATATTTCAGGCTACAGGCAATAGAGGACGAGGATGATGAAGTCCTGTTGGAAGAAGAGATGACCGAAGATCTGCCAAAACTTCAACTTTCTGATGAAGTAAAAAAATCTCTTAACGTAGCAGCTGAACTACTCCCGCATGACCTACTAGCAAAAATGTAAGCAATAAAAAGTATTTAGTGTTGATTTAGAAATTGAGTATCCCTAAAGTTGATATGTTCAAAAAAGTTGCAAAATTGAGAACTTCTGCATGCAAATGGGATAAATATCCTGTGGAGAACACCTCAGCATCCAGAAAAAATGATATTCTGTGGTCGCGAATGTGTGAAGATATCGATATCCATGGGTGGTTAAAATTGATATTTTTTTCAAAATCATAGGATATTCCTATAGTATTCGCTTCCTGGTCATCTCAACCCCAAGTCAACTCAACCCAGTAAAATTCAACCCCAAGTCAACTCAACCCCAAGCTGAGTCAACCCCAGTAAAACTCAACCCCAAGTCAACTCAACCCTGTAAAACTCAACCCCAGTAAAACTCAACCCCTATATTTCTATATATTGATAAACAGTTTTCAGTCAGAGGGTGCCGATCGTGGCATAAGCGAGCCAAAAAAGAGGTATGTTTTGATAAAAAAATGATGCAACTTCCTTCAAAATTGGGGGGAGGGTGTGTGCGCACCCCTCCTGGCTACGCCTATATGCTTTCAGTCTATTGATTAGTAAATGTTAATGATTTTGTTAATGCATGTTCATATAAATAAAAAGTTATATTGCATTGTTAATTTTTTCTAAATTATCTAAAATTTGATTTCAAAAGATGTCTTAAATTAAATAATAGTGACAACTTGATGAATTATCCTTGAGCTTAACCGTTTTTTCTAATACTTTTACAAGTTTCATGCAAAATGCTAGATTTTTAGAAATGAATGACTAAATTATTCATCATAAAAAATTAAATTAGACATTGCACAAATGAATAGGGTTGAGTTTTACTGGGGTTGAGTTTTACAGGGTTGAGTTGACTTGGGGTTGAGTTTTACTGGGGTTGACTTGACTTGGGGTTGAGTTGACTTGGGGTTGAGTTGGACTGGGTTGAGATGACTTGGGGTTGAGATGACCTGTCACCGATTGGCTTCCTTTAACATATTATTCAAAATTTCCGCATTCTAGCCCACCGAGTCCAAGTCCCAATATGCAAGTGGTCTTGTGGAAGCCAAACAACGACGTTGTGAAAGAAGTAATACAATCAGTGCTAAACAATAAAAACAGAAAAAGAGGGACATCACCTGTTACCGTGGAAACCGTCAACCAATCAAATGGCATGAGTGTTACACTGAACAGGATGGATGGGATTGATGATGCTCCTTTGATTTCAAAATCATTGTAAGTATAATACAATTTTTATAGAGAGGTTTTGAACAATGGGTTATAGCTGAAATGTATCCTCAATTAAGTCTTGTTTTAATTGAACTCCTACGCATAAATTTGGTATGGTGAATGTGTTGCGGATTTTAGATAAGTTGAGCTAAAAACATATAGGGAAAGGGTAACCTCTCTTATGTCACGAATAATGTTGCAATATGACGAACAATGATATTCTTGCTAATATAAGTAATGATCTCCAAATGAGAATAGATTTTTATGGATTGTTCGACATGTGAATGTATCTGTATATCGTGTTAAATTAACTCATTATGTCAACACCAGAAGTGCTCACATATTGTTATAGTCTCCCAACTTTTTTGTAGGGGTGGTCAGTGGTTGGTGTTAATGTTAGGTGTTTGGTGTGGTGGTGACATTTTGCAAGTTAATGCATTGTTTTAATATTATTATGACACCATTAGAAGTGGTAACGTATTGTTAAAGTCTCCAACTTTTTTTGTGGATGGTGTTTGGCAGGTGGTGACATTTTGCATGTTAATGCCCTGTCTTCACATGTGCTGCAAATGTTTAACTTTTATTTTCAGGCCATATGATAATATCAACAAAAGAGGGCACCAGGAACCCCTCCCGATGGATGACATGGATGAATGACCATATTTGGACTGATTATAGTGTTATTATGATGTCACTCAGAGGAGGTGAATTCCCATGAATCTATATGACAATTGGGAAGAGGATTCAAATGATCCACTTTAAAAAGAGAACATGGATGAATGACCTTATATGGACTGACTATAGTTTTATTGTGATGTCATTCAAAGGAGATAAACTCCCATGAGGCAATGCTGCAAAGGAGGAGCTTTACACCATGAGAAATAATTTAAATACATACTCAGGGCTCTGACTAGGAAATTACTACAATAAAACCTGTCTAAATGGAACACCTTGGGTTCTCCTAAAAAGTGTTCCACTTGGGAGGTGTTCCACTAATAGAGGTTCATTTAATATTAAGTCAGTTGATTTTGGGACTCTGAAAAGTGTTCCACTTACAGAGATGTTCCACTTGTAGAGGTGTTCCACTTTACAGGTTTTACTGTATTTAGTGTTCTGTGTTGAAAGGCAATAGATGCATTTTAAGGCCCTGAAGGGGAATATAAATATGCAACTTCGTATCAAATCAGGAGTTGTAATTGATGCTCACGACAATGTAGAGCTTTGGAAATGTGCTGAAAATCAGAGCAAATGTGACCATGGCATCAAAAAGCCTAACGTGTCCAATGGAAAAACAACAGAAGTTTTGTTGTTACACTATCAAAAGTACAAAGCGGACCAAAAAACATCTTTATTTTTTGAAAATCTATGAATTTCAATAAGCAGTCCATTATATTAGACATACACTATACAATTTATCATGAGGATATCATTTAGTGATAATTGATAATTGGGGGTTTTAATACAAAGTCCCATTTTCAAGCTACAGACTTGCCAACCTCCCGTTTTTTTACGGGAATCTCCCGTAAATTTTTTGTTTTTCCGTAAAAAATACCAAACTCCCGTACCGTTTTCTCCCGTAAAAACTCCCGTAAACTCCCGTACCGTATTTCTACCAAAATCTCCCGTAATTTTTAAAAAAAATATGGCCGTAAAATCTCCCGTATTTTTGCTGAAATCTCCCGTATTCTGGTGTAACTCCCGTAAAATCTCCCGTATTCTTGGTATAACTCCCGTAAAATCTCCCGTTTTCTGGTATAACTCCCGTAAAATCTCCCGTATTCTTGGTATAACTCCCGTAAAATCTCCGTTTTTTTTGCTGTCGAAATCTACCGTATTTAAAAGGAATTTGACATATTTGTGACCTTGATTATTGCAGGCACGCTTCTTTCTTTTACTCCAAGAAGGTTGGCTCCCATGGTTCACTATCGATACTTTCATAAATAACTTAAAAGTACTTCATTCCCATGATTCAAATTGCTTTTCTGCAATCAGTTCGGTATAAGTTTGCACACCAAATGTCCACAAACGGGGGCCAGTTCATATTCTGTCATACTTCTGTCGGTTTGTTTTTATATGGCGCTAAACAAAATATTCCCGCAATATAAGGCGCATTATTGGTAGGGACTGCTGTGAAATAATGAACGTAAGTGACATCTATCTTAGATTAATTAATTTATTAACTGCGCATGCGTCATAATAATTTCAACCAATTAAATCGCTGGATTTAATGCTCATAAATCTACCGTAAAAACTCAGGTTTTTCAAAATCTAAAGTAAAAACTCCCGTTTTTTCAGAAATCTACCGTAAAACTCCAGTTTTTTTCAAAATCTACCGTAAGAACTCCCGTTTTTTTCAGAAATCTACCGTAAAAACTCCCGTTTTTTCCGAAATCTACCGCAAAAGCTCCCGTTTTTTTTAGAAGCTACAGTAAAAACTCCCGTTTTTTCAGAATCTACCGTAAAAACTCCAGTTTTTTCAGAAATCTACCGTAAAAACTCCCGTTTTTTGCAGAAATCTACCGTAAAAACTCCCGTTTTTTTTAAAATCTACCGCAAAAACTCCCGTTTTTTTAAACCTACCGTAAAAACTCCCATTTTTCAGAACCTACCGCAAAAACTCCCGTTTTTTCTGAAATCTTCCGTAAAAAAGTCACGTTTTTTAAATTCACCGCGAAAAATACCTTTTGAAAAAAATCTCCCGTAAAAACTCCCGTTTTTTTCAAAATTTACCGCAAAAACTCCAGTTTTTTTTAAATCTCACGTAAAAACTTCCGTTTTTTTCAAAAACTCACGCTTTTTTTCAAAAAACTCCCGCAAAAACTACCGGATTTTGAAAAAAACTCCCGCAAAAGTACCGCAATTTTTTTTAAATCTCCCGTAAATTTTTCATTTTAGGTTGGCAAGTCTGAGCTATATCTCTGTAAAATTGTTGCTTCAATTATTATCCCAACAACTGCGGTGTATGAAACCATATTCAGAAGTTGTCTTCAAATAAAAATAAGGACCTTTTGGCCCACCCTGTATATTGTATAATAATTTGTAGATCTGTCAACTGGTATTTGAGTTATTGCTCATAAACATGAACAAAAGGACAGATGGACAGAGTGCTTCTCTATTATCTCTAGCAAAAATTCATGTTCCACAGTCAGCAAGAAAATGCAGTATCCCTTGTTTTATATAGATTGTATAATTTTTGCTTCTGAACACCCCAGTCAAAATTCCCTGTGCGGCTGTCGCAAGAAATGTGAATGCAGAAGGATCCAACTGCAGAAATTCTACGGTGAGCATAGAAATGTTACTGATCGCAGAATTGGTAGACCATACAGACGCCGTAGGAAATGTGACTCGGGTGTTAAACTGATACTCCCACTTTTGCTCAAACAGGCTGAACATTGAATAAAACCAATGGATCAGACCATTTAAAGTTAATGTTAATGCATTAGGAATGAGCATTTTTGCTATACATGTAATTTGCAATAAAAAAATGTTATCCAGAAAACAGCAATATGTTGCAAATGGAATGCTTCTCAAATGAATTTGTGATTCAATAATTTTTTCTTCAGTTGTTTTAATTTTTAAAGCTAGAAAACAAAATTCCAATGAGAATTTAATATGATGTTAACAAAAATCAAAAATATGCAAATCAGGGAGTAAGTATGTTTATTACAGTTGCACTTCATTTGCATAAAGGTATGCAGGTCCATGCACTATAAGGGACCATCTCAAAGATGGACTAAACCTTTTTAAAAGTACTCAACTCAAATCTTAACATAATCTTACTATAGTTTTAATCACTATCACCACTTGAATTTATTTCGAGATTGATGATTACAGGATTCCATTTCCTTAACAAGATCTTTTCTCTTACCCATCTCTAAGTAAACTGAATATATGGATTTGAAATTATCCCTGAGTATATATACAATAACATTGCTGGATAGAAGATTACATGATTGCAATGCTTATAAAAACCACAATGGTCACTCGATGCATGAAGTTCATTTTCATTGGTTTATGATTTGACATTGGTTGTTCACTTATATTAGTAATCACCAACTGAAATATTTTCAGATGGAAAAATTGAATAGATTGTGCCATGTTAAAGTCTCATCGGAATTTTGTTTTCTAGCTTTAAAAACTAAATCAACTGAGGAGAAAATTATTGAATCACAAATTCATTTGGCTCAGAAGCATTCCATTTGCGACATATTGCTGTTTTGTGGATGAAACATTTTGTATTGCAAATTATAGCAAAAATGCTCATTCCTGATGCAATAACATAGACTCAAGTAAATCATGTCTCGCGTCACCAATTGGTTTAATCGTTTTAACTAGACAAACGGGATTACCTCATTATTAGAGAGTTTGTATCACATTTAAAAATCCCATGACTATTGTTTTTGTAAATTGTCATCATTTGTTTGATATACATGGCTCTATATGTAGAGATTGTAAACTAATGTACAAGCTATTGAAAAAAATATAAAAAGTTCTGTAAGTAAATTCTCATCTCGTTTAGTCATAATTTTTAATTGGGAATCATTGAAGTGACACTTTATTACCATCTTATTGATAATATAAATGAGAAAGGACGATTCTCAGTTTGGAGAACAGTCTCCTGGGCTAATAATTTTTTCATGAAAAATATAGAAATATTACCCAAATTAAACTATGAATATTCAAAAGAGGACATTTAAATCTACAAGATGTAAAAATAACAAATTGGTCTGAAGCAGGGGTAACGCTCAATAAGACCGATTCAATAAAATACAAGTCTCGATTTGGGGAAAGAAGTTCATCAGTGTACTGCGCTAATATTATTTTGCGAAAAATCTAGAAATATTACCCAAATTAAATTATGACTATTCAAAAGAAGATATTCAAATCTATATTATGAAAAAAAATCAAAGTCCGAAGCAGGGATAATGCTCATTTAGATTGATGAACTTCGTTCTCCAAACCGAGAATCATCCTTTAGGGGAGAAATGAAAATGATATTAGAATTGGTTGATAAAATTAAACTTCACTTATGCTTATTATTATAATGTAGCTATATGCATAAACAGAAGTTATACTTATGTCATGAGCAAAATCTCTTATTGTTTTTAGTTCTTGACCTCAAGATTTACTTGAAAGATAGCTACAGTTAAACCTGTTAAGTGGAATACCTTCCAAGGTATGAAGTGCCCCATGAACAAAGGTTTTTTTCTTTTGAGTATTATGAAGGTCAAAGTGCCTCATTAAAGGGGCAACAAGGACTGTAAAGAAAATTTGAAATTTTTGATTTTTTCTGAGCTATCAGGTAAATATTTGGCTTAACATCTTCTTTGACATACCTATTTTCTTAAAATGTATGTATAAGCTATCAATTTCAGCATTAAGAAGTGTAAATTTAGTTCGAAGCTTCTGTAAAGGGAGTCCCTCTTATAGATTTTTAAGATTCACCACATTTCAAAAGGAATATCAGCTGAAATAATGTACATTTCTTCGTAGATAATGAAGATATATGTTAGTCTTGATGAAATATCCAAACCTAAATCTATTTTGACACTGGTTGATGATTGTTGAATGGCCCCCCTGCACTAATTGTTGCACCTTTAAGTTACATGTTTTACAAATTAAATTGATTTACAATTGTTATTACATAATAATTTCAATTTATCATGTCATGACATATCTTAAATAAATGAGCAATAATGACTGTAGCAAATGAAAATATTATTGCAATATTAATCAATTTAATATCAAAACATAGAAAAAAGCCATTATAACATTAATTTTCTAAATAAACACTTTGAAATTCAACAGGAGATTTATCTTTCATGTTTTTATATTCCATTTATTTTAACAAATGCTTTACAATGTGATTAAAGATTGTGTATCATACAATACATTTAGTTTAAAAAATCAACATATTAAATGTTCTGATATCTCTCTATATTAGCTCACTAACTGGACATACAATGATATGGTTGTTTTCTTTTACTTATGGCTTGGTCACATTTGCTACGATTCTCACTACAGCGGTGGCCGATTGAGTATTTTGTTCAAAATTGAATACAAATTTGAACAAAACACTCAATTGGCCGAGCATCGGATCTGAGCAAATGTGGCCCAGGCATTACTTATATAGAGGCAGTCCATAAGATGTTACTATTTCCTAAGTGCACCTTTGACATATTTAAATTTATCAAATTCACACACTATGTTAAGTATGTATGTCGTTCTATCCAATGGTTGCAGCGATATAGATAATAAAAAATATCAAGTGAAGAAACTCTCATTTTTATGTCACCACCAAAAGTGGTGACATATTGTTATGGTCTCCGTTTTTTTGCGACGGCGTCCGGCGGTTGGCGTCCGGCGGTTGGCGTCCGGCGGTTGGCGTCCGGCGTCTGTAACAATTTCTTACAACTTCCTATAACTTAACAAATACTGTTTAGACTGACTTCAATTTTTTTCTAAATCATCTACATGTTCTCAGAAGTTCAAATCTGACTTTAGATTTGACATTTGACCTTCAATGACCTTCTCAAAGTCAAAAAGGTCTTTTTTCAACTTGCTTCACATTGACTAATTTTTTTTTCAAAATCATCTACATGTTCTCAGAAATTCAAATCTGACTTTAGATTTGACTTTAGATTTGACATTTCACCTTCAAATCTGACTTTAGATTTGACATTTGACCTTCAATGACCTTCTCAAGGTCAAAAAAGGTCAAAAAGGTCAAAAAGGTCTGTTTTCAACTTGCTTCAAATTGACTAAATTTTTTTTTCAAAATCATCTACGTGTTCTCAGAAATTCAAATCTGACTTAAGATTTGACATTTGACCTTCAATGACCTTCTCAAGGTCAAAAAAGGTCAAAAAGGTCTGTTTTCAACTTGCTTCAAATTGACTAAAAAAAATTTTCAAAATCATCTACGTGTTCTCAGAAATTCAAATCTGACTTTAGATTTGACTTAAGATTTGACATTTGACCTTCAATGACCTTCTCAAAGTCAAAAAAGGTCAAAAAGGTCTTTTTTCAACTTGCTTCAAATTGACTAAATTTTTTTTTCGAAATCATCTACATGTTCTCAGAAATTCAAATCTGACTTAAGATTTGACATTTGACCTTCAATGACCTTCTCAATGTCAAAAAAGGTCAAAAAGGTATTTTTTCATCTTGCTTCAAATTGATTAAATTTTTTTTTCAAAATCATCTACATGTTCTCAGAAATTCAAATATGACTTTAGATTTGACTTTGGATTTGACATTTGACCTTCAATGACCTTCTCAAGGTCAAAAAAGGTCAAAAAGGTCTTTTTTCAACTTGCTTCAAATTGACTAATTTTTTTTCAAAATCATCTACATGTTCTCAGTAATTCAAATCTGCCTTTTCGATTTGACATTTGACCTTCAATGACCTTCTGAAGGTCAAAAAAGGTCAAAAAGGTCTTTTTTCAACTTGCTTCAAATTGACTAATTTTTTTTTTCAAAATCATCTACATTTTCTCAGAAATTCAAATCTGACTTTAGATTTGACCTTTGACCTTCAATGACCTTCTCAAGGTCAAAAAGGTCTTTTTTCAACTTGCTTCAAATTGACTAATTTTTTTTCAAAATCATCTACATGTTCTCAGAAGTTCAAATCTGACTTTAGATTTGACATTTGACCTTCAATGACCTTTTCAAGGTCAAAAAGGTCTTTTTTCAACTTGCTTCAAATTTACTTAATTTTCTTTCAAAATTATCTACATGTTCTCAGAAGTTCAAATCTGACTTTACATTTGACATTTGACCTTCAATGACCTTCTCAATGTCAAAAAAAGTCAAAGAGGTATTTTTTCAACTTGCTTCAAATTGACAAATTTTTTTTTCAAAATCATCTACATGTTCTAAGAAGTTCAAATCTGACTTAAGATTTGTGTGCAACTAGTTTTAACTTGCTTCAGATTGAACAATTTCTTTTTTCAAAATCATCTACAAGATCCCAGAAGCTCAAATCTTCAAAAACATTCTTAAGGTCAAAAGGTATTTTCCAACTTGCTTTAAATTGACCAAATTGTTTTAGGTGGTGACATTTTGTCATGTTAATGCCTTGTTTGATTCTTCAATGTTCGCTGGTAATAATTTACTTTGGGAGAAACAGACAATCCAATGGAATATGGAATATCCACTTAATATGGATATAAATGATATTTTTTTCAAAATGAAAAATGCTTTGGTATCATCCAAGAAGTAAATCTAAGTAAAGAAGTTCATTTTTGAGTAAATAAACTCTTAAGTCAAGGACTTAAAACATTAGTCATGAAAGATAAACAGATTTTGAATATTAATCATTATTGTTCAGTGTACCCCTAACCCCACCCACCTTAATCTCAATATAAGTCAAACATTAGATTAAGAAATTTGATATTATTCATTGTACCCTGCCTTCCTTAATCTCAATACAAAACCACTATATCATTCTGTGTGCAGTTGAATATAATTCCAAGTTCACTGGAATATTTTATGTTACAATTCAATAATATAGGAAGTATTGCACCATCATTACATGACACCTGTCTATATACAATATACTATACAATGTTCACCCAAGCCTACATCACCCCAGCTTGAAATGCCACCCCAGCCATGTATTTTTCACCCTGGCCATCCATGCATTCTACTTCTTAATAATTTTGATTTTTGAAAGCCAGAAAAATTAAAAATGTCTGATTGGCTAATCTAAGAATAGGGATCAGAATGTTAACTTTCAGGATGGTATACAAGCCAATCGTTGTGGCACATGACTATGGTACACTCCCCTCCGAAAGTTGCAGCAATTACAGCCCTGACTTCCCATTCTTGAAACATTGCCCTATTTACATTGGGGAGTGTAGTTTTACTTTATTCCTTGCCCTTGATACATTTTAGTTCATGGCATTGGATGACATTTTAATCTGGAGTAAGCAACATTTCACAAGCAATAAGTTGTCATCTATCTCTACAATATGTCACCATATCTTTACAATATGTCATCATATCGCTACAATATACCATCATATCTTTACAATATGTCATCATATCTTTACAATATGTTACCATATCTTTACAATATGTCACCATATCTTTACAATATGTCATCATATCGCTACAATATGTCACCATATCTTTACAATATGTCACCATATCTTTACAATATGTCACCATATCACAATTTGACAATATGTCATCATATCTTTACAACATGCCATCATATCTTTACAATATGTCATCATATCTTTACAATATGCCATCATATCTTTACAATATGTCATCTTATCTTAACAATATTTCCCCATATCTCTACAATTTATCATCATATCTTAACAATATGTCAAAATATCTCTACAATATGTACAATAAATAGTCCACCCTGCATTACAATTTACAAATACAAAATCCCAACATGTAGCTATAATATCGGATTTCTTTAGTTTGAAAAGAATCTTTGCGTGTGTGAAGTACAAAGCATGAACTCATTCTCTACTGAAACAGCACTCCAGTGCATTAACTGAAAACAATTTCCACAAAAATAATATCTAAAGGTGAAACTATAATATTCTTATCTATAAATACATTATATTTTTGCACATTAGAATACATGAACATTTTTTGGGCAATCTAATTTGACAATTTTTAATATTTGCACGATTAAGTTTGGCATTTTTCTCTATTGCAATTTGAGATCGAGCGGACAAAAAAAGTATGAAACCATTTAACTTTAGGCGTAATGGTACAATTAAGTTCCATATGGAACATTACATTCTGTGCAATTTGAGTTGTAAACTTATATATTTCATGTCATTGTACCAACTGTTGACAATGTATTCTAAATAGCTGCGAATATATTCTCAAATCAGCTGTGAATATATTCTCAAAACAGCTGTGAATATATTCCCAAAACAGCTGTGGAATTATTCTCAAAACAGCTGTGAATATATTCCCAAAACAGCTGTGAATTATACTCTCAAAGCAGCTGTGAATATATTCTCAAAACAGCTGTGGAATTATTCTCAAAACAGCTGTGAATATATTCTCACAACAGCTGTGGAATTATTCTCAAAACAGCTGAGAATATTTTCCCAAAACAGCTGTGAATTATATTCTCAAAACAGCTGTGAATATATTCTCAAAACAGCTGTGAATATATTCTCAAAACAGCTGTGGAAATATTTTCATAACTTCAAATGGTGCTTAGTACATTAGATTACACAGCACATGTACTATGTATATAGTAAAATAAAACAAAATACAACACATGCACTTGATAAATAGCACTACTTGACTAAATTGAGCAAACTACTTTAATTTTCCACACATGCCTTTCTGCTTCCTTTCACTTTGGCATATGAGACATGAATTTGTGTCAAACATGAATGACATGAAACTATAAATGTGTGTCATACATAAGCTTTGTGAATGCCTGTGTCATCATACATGAGTGACATCATACACGAGTGACATCATGCATGGGTGGCATCATCCACGAGTGACATCATCCACGAGTGACATCATCCACGAGTGAATCATCCATGAGTGACATCATCCATGAGTGAAATCATCCATGAATGACATACTAAATGAGTCACAAATAACATGAGTCACGTTACAAGCAAAGAAGTTATTTGTAAAGTAAGAGGATCTACATGAGAAAAACAAATGTGGCATAGAGTTATGAGGCAAGATAGAAGGAAGCATAAAGCAAGCACAATGTGGCAGTGCTTAAATCCAAGAAAATTCAGCAAAAAAAAACACCGGAAGAAGTTTCGGAAGTAATGCTTTTATTAATTACTGCAAGCGTCTACATTTTCAAGGTGGCCTAATTTGTCCTATCTTGTTCATTTGTTGAGTGTTGAGTTAAAAGAAATGTCATGGACTTACAATATCAATCACTAACCACCCATGAATATCATGGGAACCTCCTATGAATATCATGGGAACCCATATGCGTATCATGATAACCACCCATGCATATCATGGGAACAGAAAAACCCATGCACATCATATAACCATACATGCATATCATGAGGCCTATCATACATGTAGTCTCTTCTGATCAGTTGCCAGTTATGACTGTGTCTCCAGGTGTTGATCATACCTTAGCTAAGAACCTCATAAAGGGGCTATAAGTTGTAAAAGTAAATGATGATAAAATACAACTGAGAAGAAAACTAGCCTTTTTGGTACATCAAAAGTAGAAGAATATGACATCAACGTAAGTGATGGCTCTAATCAAAGCACGTACCTTCATATTTTTCAAAACTTAAATACTTAAGCGTTAGGCTTCAGAACAGCCATTTATGTCTGTTCTGTCTGTCTGTTTATGTAGCACTGAAATCCATGATATATTCTTTATTAACCATCAGTCACTCTTATCGCCCATTAACATCTGACTGAATGCATGACATAAAGCTCTGTGATCAATTCAATATCCAACAATCAACCCCTCTGTCATCATCCACATAATCGTAGAGCTGGGTATATCGGATATAAAGGAGCATATTCATGATTATCCAGCATGGCCGACTCCTGGCAGAGAATGTTCTCCCGTTTAGCGTTGTTATACTGTTGTATGTGATGCGTATCATAGGTATATATCTGGACACATTGTGAAATCACCTTTCTCTTTACATTGCCAGTATGTGTTCTTAAATGTGTGGACATGTTTGCCAGTGTATTTGCAGTGCTCTTGTTTGAACCAGAGTGGCTCATAAGCTGGAAACTCGACACCTGAAATAATCATAATACATTGTATTGTAATATGTGGATCACCAAGGAAACATACATCTGAGACATATATGAGAATCTTCCAATCTGCAATTTTCTAGCATGTTGGCATAATCAAGGAAATACAATAAAATGGAAGTAATTTTACTTCATTTGCAAATATAATTGTGATATTCATCGTACCATGGAAATGAAATGCAGTCACTACAGCTATAAAGTCCCACAAAATGTTGCATATAGGTTTGATTTGCAAATGAGCCAATTATTTATCCAATTTAATTACAATACAATCTAGTTTTCATAAAATACTGATTCATTGAGAGCAAAAGTACATGTAAAAATAAAGGGGCAACAAGTTTTCAGTGCAAATATGAGTGGTCTGCAAGTAATTTTTTGTTTCAGTTTTAGCCATAGGCCTACCTTGTTCATTAGCTTCAGCCTGCTCTGCCTCTCTCTTCCTTCTCACTGCCCTCTGCTTCTCTTCAAGTAGCAGTTTTAATCTGTTAGCCTCATCCCATTCTCCTCTCTACAATTAGAGTAATACAATAATGTACTAAAGTAGTATTTAAGATATGAGTATCAAAATTTGAAAAATGTAGTGACTTACTGGAAACAGATACTCTTCAGAGTGGAAAATTCCACCGAACAAAACTTATTTTATCAAATCACATACACTAAGGTCAACCAAGGTCAAATCTCAAATCTTAAGTCAGATTTGAAATTCTGAGAACTTAAGATATTTTGAAAAAAAAATTGGTCGATTTGCCATAAAACCAGTGTAAGTGGAACACCTTTGGTTCCTCGAAAAATTGTTCCACCTGGGATGTGTTCCACTTAAAAAGGGTTCATTTGACATTTTGTCAATGGATCATGGGACTCTGAAAAAGTGTTCCATGTAACAGAGGTGTTCCATGTAACAGAGGTGTTCCATGTAACAGAGGTGTTCCACTTTACAATTTAGTTTTACTGTACATCATTTTACCTCCATGGCACGCTGATCGGGACGATATCTGCTATCAGTTGGAGCAATTCCCTCCTCCATTTCATTAATCTCCATGGCCAACTTGGTGAAGTTATACATCTTATCTGACCATGGACTATAATAAAGAATTATAATTATGTAGTTACACTTATCGTATATGTAATACATTAAATTTTTCTTTACAAACACACCCTTCACACACATTATTAATGTAAAACTGCATTCATTTAAGATACTATTTTTACTCATAAACGAGTGTATTGAAAGAAAAATCAACCTTACGGAAATTGGCAAAATATATGTGATCTACAAATGTAAATGTGGCTAATGTGCTAATAATGTTAAAGATACTTTTGAGAAATAATGAGATTGAGAGACAATTAAGCATATAAGGAACCCCACAAAATGAATATTTAAACAAATGGTTCAGTTCAGACAAGTGGCAGTTTTCATTTGTCCCAAGTTGCTGAGACGGACACACAGAAATACAAGTAGGCGATTCCATGAACTCACCATATGACCAATAAAAGATGTTATATCATTACTGCGGGCAATACATATTGCAAAAATCATTAAAAGATGAACAGGTATTGGCCCTTCATAGAATGAAATATTTGCTTATTATCTTGTGTACTTACGGAGGCATACGTTTCTGCCACACCATAAACGGAGCACCAGTTTCAAAGACAGGTTTTCCCTTGTTTGACTCTGATATATTTAGCACCTTGGCACCTTCCATTCTGCTGTCCCATTGGCCAGTTAGAACCCATTTAGCACGATTGTTCTTGTCAGAAACCACACCAGTCACCTGTAAAAGAGCTCTTCATTATTGGAGGTGGATGTAGCATAAATAGAGAGCTCTTCATTATTGTAGGTGGCTGTAGTGAGCTGATCTTACAGAGGGTTTTCCACTAATGACAAGATACAATTAAATTACTGACAACGACAATAAAAACGGTTTGTCATTTACCCATTTAAGGTAATTTCAATCAATACTTTACTAATTACCAACATGCAGCGTTAATTTTAACAGTACCTGGGTGAACCATAAGAACATACCTTTCTGGCATTGTATTTGAGATGACATGTATCCCCAGTTGAGTTGTGGGTTTATTTTACATGTACCAAAGTGACCCATACAAACATACCTTTCTGGGGGCTTCTCTTGAGAAGTAGCTATAAGCATTGTATTTGAGATGACATGTATCCCCAGTTGAGTTGTGGGTTTATTTTACATGTACCAAAGTGACCCATACAAACATACCTTTCTGGGGGCTTCTCTTGAGAAGTAGCTATAAGCATTGTATTTGAGATGACATGTATCTCCAGTAGAATTGTTCACAATGTCCATCTCTCCATGGTTGTCCACCCAAAGCTTTCCAACGATAATATTATGGACAGTTGTCGTCACCTTTCGCCACGTGTAGTGATTGCCAGACTTATGGAACTTTAGATGGCCTACACCTATATTATAAAGTAAGTACATTTATAGTATAGTAACAATAAAATACTGGGCATTAACATGCAAAATGTCACCATCTGCCATTTGTTAAAGACACCAAATCCAAAATGCAGACAACCGAACCACAAAAATGGAGATTATAACAGCAATATGTCACCACTTCTGGTGATGACACATAATCCAATCATTAATTAATTTTCTCTAAAAACAATTTTTCCAACTTCAATGTGTGGAAAGTTTAAATCCAAGTCAATAACGCAGATGCGAGTAGGTAGTAACCAGATTCACCACCAGGTGGCTCGTTCGGGTCAGATAGCATGGCGGGTATAGTAGAAAGTTCCCTTTAACTTAAATTACATCTATTTGCGTGGTTCAATTTTCATATAACCCTTATGTATCTAATAGTTATGCAAATTAAAATATGTCCAGTAAAAGAAAATGTTATCTGTCCAATACAAGAAAAGATAATTCACTTTTTGTGATTTTGTAACATGGGGTCTATGGGGAATCAACCCGAACGTCACATTTTAAAAAAAAATTAGATTTTCAAAGTTGATATACAATTTTCGAAACCATATTTCTAGATGTACTTTTACATGCAGATTTCAACTATGACATCACTTTGACTGAATTTTGAATATTTAATGACGTAAATCAAGATTATTTCTACTCGCATCTAGTCTATTGATTACATTGGACAATGATGGCTACCCTAAATGTATGTAAGTTAAATATCACAGTGACCTCCCCAGCATTAAAGCAAGTGGGCGCAGTACCCACCTGAGATTCTGAAAATAGGTTTGCACCCACCTGAAAATCTATTTGCACCCCCTTGAAAATGAGAAAAATCATAAAAAATGGCAAATTTTGACTAATAGTGGTCTGAATTGTGAAAATGAGAAATTTGCACCCACGTGAGAAAAAATCCTGAGGAGATCACTGAATTAAAACTATTTTAGATTTATTCATGATGAGAAGCTATTCGCCCTTAAAGCAATTAAACATGAAAGCATCAGGCTCCATTATGAGATGACATGACATGACACTGACATACAATCACAATCAAAGCTTAACACATGCATGTAGTATAATAAAGGCTCATTTGACACTGCTATACACATTATACATTTGTTTACAAAGAAGCTTTAGGCTCCATTGGATAAGGCACATCAATAGGTCTTAAAGCTTGACATATTAACTCAGACTCATACACATTATAAGAACTCTTTGGGCTTCATAAGATTAAGCACATCACAAAGCCTTGAAATATTAACATAGACTCAAGGTCAAAAAGCAATCTTAGTATTAAGAATAAGAAAAGGCTGAAAGAGGAGTTCCTTACCTAAGGGGACAATCTGTAAATATTTTCCTCTGAATTTGCTGGTTGCCGTGAACTCTTGCCAAAGGGTCCATCCCTCCCGGCCCTCTGTATTCATCGCTAACATTGGGGGATGATGGCTAACCTAAAACAGGGAAAACTATCTGTTGTCATGGCTCTTTTTATTTGTTGACAATGTCAAGGCCAATTTTAGAAACCAACCAAAGCCTTCCCACCCCTCTGGTCTCAGACTTCCCAGACTTGCCACGAGATTTTCAGAAGGGTGATTAGTTCTCTAATGTGCATTCCCTGTGCATTGTCCACTGATTTCAATTCAAGGAACCTAGAGGAATATATTTTATAGGAATTCTGAAGCTAGATGTATTATTATTATTAGACTTGTTTGGCTCATGCATTTTCATAAAGGCATGGGGAAGTGAGAAGCAAAAAAAGTCATGATAACTTTATAACGGTACAAGAGTACAGTTTCATTAATTATTATAGGCCTTATAGGCCTTCTTATTACTCTTATATTATGAGTGTTGAGTGTTTTGCCATTTATATCTTTAATAGGGGAACAGACAAGGCATGAATAGGGGGAAAGAGGCATGAAGCGGCAGCGAATGCCTATATATAAACCAATAAATTTACTATCCTGACGTTCATATACTTTTCCCTCTGTAAATTAGTTGATAGACATGACCAATACACTGTTTACTGAAAAGGTCTATTGGTAATTTAAATGTTTCCGAATGTCAGGATCCTAATGGCTTTACCATATGGTAGACAGTCTATATATCCAGCCCCATAGCTGAGACTGACTCCAAATTCTCGCCACATGGTCCACCCCTCCCTGCCTTCGATGTGGTCTGTTGCGATTGGGGGGCTATGACTAACCTGTTCAAAAGCAGGGGTTTTATTAACATTTCTGACAATGGGCATATTGAATGAAAAATTGGCAAACTAAATGAAGTTTGCATATTGAATGAAAAACTGGCAAATTGAATGAAAAATTGGCAAAAAGAATGAGAAATTAAGCAAATTGAATGAAAAATTAACAAAAAGAATGAGAAATTAAGCAAATTGAATGAAAACTACACAATAATTGACTGGAGATTAAAATTTTAACATTGTAACGGATGCAAAATTTCCAAAAACTGCAATTTTGACAAAAAACAACAATGGAGAAGACTGCCCATTTCCTGCTTCAAGCCCCTAACTTGAAGAAAAATTCATAACACGTTTTACACATTTGCTTTTGCTTTTTCAATCGATGAAATTATATGCTCGAGATATCAAAAAGATGGAGAAATGGAAAACTTGGCAAATCAAAATGTGATTTTATTCATTGAAAAGTCTGATGTACATTTTAGTCTACAATAACTCCAATAAGATAGAACTGACAAATTACAAAGCATGGCCTTCTTCAACCATGCTAAGCTAACCTGCTCAGAGATGGACTTCCAGCCGAGGTCATCCCATCGATCACACTCGAAAGTCTCCCCAAGAAGCGGATTAAATGGCTTTCCGGTGCGGTTTGTCGTAGTAGAGTATACAGATATTGTAAATGCTGCTACGTGCATTAATTGTTCAGTAGCATCATCAAATCTACAAAAAAACACATTAAAATAACTAGGCATTACATGCAAAACGTCACCACCTGACATGTGTTAGACACCTATGAATGCCGAACATCATCCCCAAATAAGTTGGAGACTATAATAATATGTCATGACTTCTGGTTGTGTTGTGACATAATGATATACCATTATTCCTAATATTGTTCTGATTTATTGGTCTGTAGTTTAAAAGCAAATTTATTGTTACTTGTATAATGCATATCCTAACAAATCTGGGCAGTCCCAGTAATGTAGAGATTAGATTGTATTTGATATCTAAAATTCTAAACTTTTGTTTCTAAAATGGGGATATCAAATATTTCAAAATTGTAAAATGAAACATTTTTAATCATATTTTTGAGAAAAATGTCTCAAATGGTTTTGCAAATCACTCAAAGTAATATCTGAATAATTAAACTATATCTTCTAACTTTAAAAGGGGCCTTTAAATGTGTATGGACTCGGGCCAAAGAGTTTGCAGGCTTTCCTGTACTTACTTAGCAGCTTTGTCAAGTATGTCAGAATATTCAAACTCCTCAGTAAGACGCTGTAACATGGAAAGTGGCTCACAGAAGTTCACCTGAAACAGAACAATATATTTTTTATTGCTGTAAGGGGTCTTATTATTGCAGACAGACAGGTAGTGGTAACCATACAGTTTTTATTGCTGTAAGGGGCCTTATATTTGCAGACGGACAGGAAGTGGAATAATTACATCGGAATTTAACCATACATTTAAAGAAAGAAAAAGGTATTTAGGATAAGTTTCAAGTTTTTCACTGCTTTTTTTACTTATTGTGTTACTATTTTACAGTTAAGTGTAGTTTACTCTCATCTCATGCTGCGCCTTAAGTTTCTAAAATGTTTGACAGATCTGACCTTAATTTCATTGAAGCAATATATATTTCCTTACTAAAAAATCCAGAAATTTCAAGATACTACAGGGTGGCCCAATAAAAATGTCAATATTTCAAAAGATATTGACCATTTTGTTATTGTAACATTTTTATTGAGACACTCTGTACACCCCACTCTGTATTCCATAATGAAAACTTAATTCAACTTACCGGCAAAGGAATTTTTGTAAGATCTTTTCCGATACAATTCTTCATGATGCTCCACAGGTTTATGCTATAATTTGGCTTTTCGGGAATTCGATCTCGACGCTGTTTTTTGCCTGTTGCTAAGACACCTGACCTGATTGAGGCGTTGCTATTTGATTTTGCTAAATCTTGACTAGAAGTAATTTTCTTATGGCTATTGACTAAGGTTGTATTCACTTTCTGAAAAAACAGATCGGGATTAAAATTTCATTTATTTTCATATGTAGGCATTAATTACATATACTTTAAATATCAAGAAAATAACGTCTAACAGAGATCACGATAGTTGAAAAAACTTGTTAGCCATTGTGGCTAAATCTTCCAAAAAAAATTTCGCCAACCAAAATATGAATTAGCCATTTTGAAAAACCGTAAAAAAGGGAACATTAAAAATGATGCAATGTCTGATGATGACAGTTTCACTTTCAGTTTCACTTTTCAAAATCATATTCAGAAATAAAAAAACGTCAATTAAAATTGAATGTAAAGCATCTGCCGCGAATGTGATCGGCATTTCACATAGTCTGCACGGTGTAATATCACCAATTCGTTTACCTTGTGATATCGGAGTCCCAAAATACTTCCAAACTGCCGACTTTTTCGACTTAGATGCCGGCTCGATTTTTCAATTTCTTTCCTACATCCGGCATACTGATAATGCACTCGATTTGCGAACGACGATGAAGAAATTTACGAACAAGCATTACCATCTACCTGAAATCGCGGGTCCGTTAATAACACTTTTCAATGCAAAGAAGTGTAAACTAGGTACGAGGTAAGTGAAAATATTTAATTTTTCAGAACGAAGTCGGAGTTGTTCCTCGCTATTTATACACGTTTTTATGCATTCTAGGGAAGGAATCTATGTACCGATATTAACCCTTTCTGTCCCATGTCCCGAACCGAAGCATCTTGACCGAAATTCGGTCCAATATCGGGAAACCGTGACAACTCTAATTCGCCATAACTGCGAAATACCTTTACATATTTTTCGCCACCTCTTTCGAAAATTCGCGATTGGCGAATGGCGAACGTCTACCATGATCTCTGCGTCTAAATAAGCATGGTACTCCATTTAATTTACTAATTCATTTTTTAACAGTCAAGTTCAAGTCAGATTTCACAAACCTTCTCTGACTTAATTCAAGTATACATTAAAACCGGTCTAATCCAAACTCCACGAGGACAGCCAAAAGTGTTCAGATTCAGAATGGCATGTGTTCAAATTTCAAGGCTCTTTAGCATAGTAATCCATTGCAGATTAAAAGGGATGGGCCAAAAAATGCATTCCTTTAGAAGTGTTCAGATTAAAGGGATAAAGTTTTAGTTTTAATGTAAATTCGTAATATTTACTGATTTGGATTTCTTCAATTGAGATCTGCTGATGACTCTAGCTTCTTCCGTCTTTTCAGAGTCAGTGTCGGAACTTTCCACCTCTTCTCGGCCATAGTTGTGCCCCAAACTGTCTATACTTCCTGTACTTATTCCACTTCCTGTCCGTCTGCAAATATAAGGCCCCTTACATCAATACAAAATATAATTTTTCATTGTCAATTTGCAAATATATGGTCTCTTACCACAATACAAAATATAACTTAAAAACAATTGAATTCTACTGTACCGTTGATGATATTTGATTCAATTAAATAAGGTAGTGGAAAAATCAGATTTGAGGATTTAGAAAATCAAAGCAAAATCTAAATAAATAAATAAACAAATTGAAACTGAAGCAATTATGATTAACATCTTGACTACATGGAGTGACAACATTTCCTGTCACCTCAGAAATAACCTTGAATCCCAGAGTGACAAGAAATCTGTCACAAAATTTTCACTAAAATTGCTCTTATTTGAACAATGTTTATCCAATTAACACCAGAATTGTTTTAAAATGTGTAGAAATGATCTCTGTCAAGTTTACTAATTTGAGCATCATGTTGTATAAGTATGAAGTAAAATGTCAAAAGGTGGCAAAAATGAAAAATCTCATGTTTCAACCGATTTCAGAGCCTAGGATTCAAGAGGTCAAATAAATAAAGGAAGCATGACTTTTCTAGAATTAATAAATAACTCTAATTTATCAATTAGTACAACTACATGTATTTATTAAGCTATGATTAAATCTCATAAAATTTATGAGCACTCTATATTTCTAAAGATAAATATCACATATTAATGAAAATGAGGTGATTGATGCCTCAGTCACATTTGCTCTGATCCATCGGCCGGCGCCCTGCCAATTGAGTGTTTTGCTCAATATTGTATTCAATTTTGAACAAAATACTCAATCGGCCGGGCGCCGTAGTGAAAATCGGAGCAAATGTGACCAAGGCATAATTAAGACAGAAGAAATAAGTTATAAAGAAAAGCTGAAATAGAATAAGTCCCTGGGCAAGTGGCTTTAACAAAATGTGTAAATTTCTAAGCATAAATATATAGTGGGTTAATGTTTCACATATTCAGGTATTGTGTTAATATGCTATTCCAAGCCTCCCTTCACAAACTCTTCTACCCAACACCTTATAAAGGAGAGAATGTGGGGGGTTGTATAGCACACATACAATTATTATAACACAAACTACATGAATGTTAAAAAAATTGAATTTATATTTCAGTCAAACTTTAGAAGCAGATGTTATACAAACTACAAGAATATTAAATTTTCTTATTTCTAAATTAATCAAACACTATAAACTTACTTCAAATAGCATATTTCTGGGTCATAAACTCTGAAGTTAGAATTAATCATGTAACTAATATATTGTAATAAGAACCATATTGTAATATTTATAAACATATTATTATTATTGGTCTAAGGGTAGGGAGAAACAATACATAAAACCATAAACAGAAAAATATGCTCCAAAGCAAGGAATTAATTATAGACACTATTGTCGATGAAAAGGTAGGTTAGCTGCACCCATAATCCGCGATGTAATCGCACGGTACCGTACGGTACATTAAGAGTATAGTACCGTATGGTACTGTTGGAATGGTTGGAACTGTATGGTGTTGTACAGTGTTCAAGGTACTGTATGGTTCCATTTTAGTCTATACAGTACCATATTTCACGGAATCATATGATACCATTGCCAATTGGAATTAGACTTGATGTCTGTGATGTTTCAATTCAAATAAAAAATTTTCAGCTTAAGTTTTTAAGTTCACCACCAAAATCATGTATTTTGAGGATACCAATCACCAATTCCACCAGGGGAAAACCAGACTGGAGAATTCAATTTAATACCAAAATTTTGAGCACTATTTTCCCATTTCTCTAAATCTACTACCATGTACCAATGCAAACCTATTTGAATATGAACTATAAAAACTTGTGAAACAAACGGCACAATGGCCATGCTCTGCTTCAAAAGGAGGTTAATTGAAGCACTTTGGTGACAATGCTGTTTTGGACAGGAGCTTATTAATAAGATATACGGTAATACAGTAAAACCATTAGGCATAATTTACACGAACATACCAACATAAACAAAGTCATATGGGTATGAGGTAGAGGAAACGGTTTTAAATACACTTGTTGAAAATTAGAAAAATTGGGGGGGGGGCTTAAACATGATATTAGCATTTATTATGCACCTCATTAAAATACTCAAATCTGATTGGTTAAGAGCTGCAGGGTCTTTTGCCATACGTGGCAGCAAGATCTCGTTCTATCCAATATTGAAGCAACGAGATCTCCAACCATCCCGTATGCCAGAATACCTATCCTCGAAAAAATACTTTCGACGAGTCCATTTGTCGATGACGTCATTTTCTTAGAATCTCTTCCATGTTGAATTTGAGACGAATGCGAGGGAGAATTGATTTGATGATATGAGAGAAGGGGATTTCTATTCAATTTCCTGTGATTAACTGACAAAAGGTAGGTGGCGCTAGATAAGGCATCGGCCAAACTTATTATATATGGAGGGAATACTTAAGAATAAGGCCAAATAAGAGAATAAATGGAATTCTTGATTGTCGAACACCAGGGTTTTTATAGGCTCGGCTTCTGTTTTAGTAGACCCATTCTTTAAAATAAAGTATTTCTCAAGTGAGGTGCATAATAAAATAAATACTGGATGACCATGAGGTGGATATGCCAGAATACCTATCCTCGAAAAGAAATACTAGGCTCGGCTTCGCCTCGCCTAGTATTTTTTCCTTGGATAGGTATTCTGGCATATCCACCTCATGGTCATCCAGTATTTGTTTAATATCTTCATTTTCAATGTACTGTATTATACCATACTTTAATGTGCTATGCTATCTTACAGAAGTTTAATGCACTACAGTTTAATGTATTACAGTTTAATGCAATATATTTCAATAAATTGCATTTTAGTTAATACATTCTAATATAAAACAATTTCATGTACGATATTTTAATGTATTACATTTTATAAAATACTACAGTTTAATGCATACTGCTACAATTCTGTGCTGTTATACAATACTATAAAAACAGTATGGTATTGTACTGCACAGTATTGTATTGTGTCATCTAGCATTATATTACATGTGTAGTATAAGTCATGATAAAACCTAGAGCATGCAAAGCACTACACTGTAGCACATTATATTGTAGCACAATACATTGTAGCACATTATATTGTAGCACATTATTGCTCATAAGATTGTATTGTACTGCACAATACTGATGCTGCATACAAAAAAGCACTGAATTTAACATTCACCACTGAACTGTAGCACATATCATTTCAATGTAGCAGATATCTCTGAACTGTAGCAACATAGCACTGTAGCACATATCACTTCACTGTAGCAACACAGCACTGTAGCACATATCATTTCAATGTAGCAGATATCACTGAACTGTAGCACATATCATTACAATGTAGCAGATATCTCTGAACTGTAGCAACACAGCACTGTAGCATCGCTTCACTGTACCATATGACACAGCATAAGCACCACAGCCAGGGCCAATTTCTCCAAAGTTAGGGATAAGCAAATCAGTTAACTGCTAACCTGAAAATGAATTGACTAGCATATCTGTAAACTATGGTGAATGGAGAAACTGACCCCTGGATCATACTGTACATTGATACAACTATATGGGGAGGGTTGAATGTAATAGAGTACCTAGATTCACCATCTATATCATCGTCATGGTTACCATTGTGATCACCATTATGGGCAGGAGATTGAAAATGCATCCTAAAACGCCAGTGCAAATCAATTTAATAACATATGAAAATATTGCCTCATATTGCCAGGAAACTAAATTAACATCTTAAAATAACAAGATAAGTCAATTAAATATTTTTTTACTTAATCATTTACCATTGTCTCATTAAAGGCGGGAGACTGAAGTTGCATTCTAAAACACCAGGGCAAGTCAATTTTACACAAGGCATTAACATGCAAAATGTCACCACCTGCTATTTGTTACAGATACCCAGCATCAGATGCTTTCACCGACATTGAACACCAATCACCAAACAATGACCAAAAAATTAGAGACTTTAGCAATATGTCACCACTTCTGGTAGTGACATAAAAAATATATGAAAACATCTTCTCATTATAGGCAGGAAACTGAAATTAGGTCCTATATCACCAGGCACCAGCGCAAGTCAATCAAATTATTCTACTTTGTCTGTTAAACCACTATGTTTACCATTATGGGCAGGAAATTAAAACTGCATACTAAATTACCAGTGCAAGTCTGAATTTAAGAAAAAAAAACATTGCAATAAAACCCTTGCCTCATTATGGGCAGAAGAGCCAAAAGTTAACTCGCTATTAAGATTGATGTTTTGATAACATGGGTTAAATGGGACTACATGTACTAGTATATGGATTGAAATATAGAATGTTCATTCACAGATTCATTATTTGGATTACTATGAATGCAACGACGCAAATATTGTAGATAGAAGTATAACATTCAAGTAATGTATACCATTAGACAAAATGCCACCTTTATACCAAAAATCCAAAGTTAACCCTGCTCTAGTATTCAATTTCACAAGAACATCTTCAAAAGGACATTTATAAAATATCAAGACCTTGTGATTTATAATAGTGTAATAATTTTTTACAAACACCAAATGCATCTATGAATGCACTGGATATTGTACAGCTATGATTGAACAACAAATGCACCTATAAATGTACAGCAAATGCATCTATGAATGTACAGCAAATGCATCATGAATGTACAGCAAATACATCTATGAATGTACAACAAATGCATCATGAATGTACAGCAAATGCATCTATGAATGTACAGCAAATACATCTATGAATATTCAGCAAATGCATCTCTAATGAACAGCAAATGCATCTATGAATGTACAGCAAATGCATCTATGAATGTACAGCAAATGCATCTACTAATGTACAGCAAATGCACATATAAATGTACAGCAAATGCAAATAAGATTGCATTTAAAATGCAACTATGAACGTCATTATATAATCAAAAAAAAAATGAAAAGAGTACAGTTCATATTAACCAAAATATCCTAGTAGTTTAAGACACTTGTTTATCCGGACAATAAAAGCTTATAAACAAAGACAGGGTGGCTCCACAAAATTGTACGCACATGGAAAAGTCTGAACAATGAAGGAGTTATTCCTATTACATGTTGGTACAATGTTTTTGATGACACCCGTACATGCACATTTTATGCCTAGTTAGAACCAAATGGCGCCTGGGGTATCAAACCGCTTTCATTAATCAAAAGCTCTTATTTCTATATACTCACTGTATTTCTAACAGGTTGCTACAAAACAACAAGTTTTAATACAAAGGGATGGTCTCCAGGCCTTTTAGGGATGAAAGAGGAGGAAAACTCCCAGAGATCATGGATCACCTCATAATTAATAGCCACATGGTCAGGCAATTTTCAATTTTTATTGGACCATATGAAAATTAGTTGAATGAAATATTCTCTCTTGCTTACCATCCTTGTTTGTCTGAATTTCAGCATTTTTAGAAAATGTTGATTTTGAATTTTGTTTTCGTTAGTTCCTATGACATCTGACCAATCAGCAGAGGAACAAATCAATTTCCATTGAATTCTGGGATTTCCCTCCTGTTTAGGGATGGTGTCCAAATAGTGACAGTTGTGGAAAAACAAAGTTAATTTTAACATGGTTTACCCCCCCCCCCCTTCTCTCCCCTCGTATTACAACACTTTTGAATGTTGATTTGACATTCATTTGAAAGTCAAAATTTTTCACCAATTTGAAAGTCAACATTTTCATAGATTTGAAAGTTAACTTTTTTCTCCAATGAAATCATCTTTAATCCCTTCGCTCTAACCAACTTAACTTCCTTCTTTCACAACTATCAAAAATTGGAAACCACCCTTTAATTTGCTTCTTTATCAATGAGTTTTTGGATACATGACATGCTATAATAAAAAAAATGAAATAAAAAATGAAATGTTTTTAAAAGCATCCACTAAAATAAAAATAATTTGCAAAAGGATTTAAATATTCCCCTCAAAGATGTCTATCTCTAACACCACACTCTACTAATAGCCCACCCCTCTAATAATCCAGCCCACTAATAGCCCATCCCTCTAATAACCCACATTATTACCACCTTGCCGGGCCAGTTCTAGGGGTTTTAGTGCTAGTTTAGAAGGCGTTCATTTTACTATATCGACCTGAGAAATGTGTGACGTCATAGTGGTGGTCCATATGGACCGGTCTAGAATATATTCTGGACCGGCAATTTTCCCCGGGAAATTAGATATCGTTCAATTCGTAAGATTTTCTTGCTGTTTCAGTCCTGGTCGTTAACGGTGGTAATAATACTAATAACGTCATTTCTGCGAGCAATATAGTGAAATATTGGACCTTGGGCCTTTGGCCCTCGGTCCAATATTTCACTATATTGCCCTTAGAAATGACGTTATTGTACTATTATTCCTTAATCCAATTGACTTTCCTCCTTTAACACAACACCTACTATAAAACACAAGCTAAGAATCCCCATCATATAATTATATATTTATTTTTTCATGTGTGTGCAGAAGAACCCACCTCTTATGATTTCCCAGTCCCCTTAACACCCATCTCCCCTGAAATATTACCCCACCTACCTATGTGCTATGTTGTCATATGCATGCAGCAGAGCCACCTTTGTATTCTCACACCTCATCCCCACTTACACTCTACCTCAACTAACATCCCATCCCTTCCTTACCACCCACCTCCTCTAAAACTCCACTCCCTTAATTAACATTCCTTCCTTAACTCCCACCCCCCCCCCTAACACCTCAGTTCTCTGAAATATTACACACCTATCTATATGTTTTACCCACTTACAATCTACCTCAACTAACATCCCACCCCTTCCTTACCACCCACCTCCTCTAAAACTCCACTCCCTTAATTAACATTCCTTCCTTAACTCCCACCCCCCCCCCCTAACACCTCAGTTCTCTGAAATATTACACACCTATCTATATGTTTTACCCACTTACAATCTACCTCAACTAACACCCCAACCCTTCCTTACCCACCCCTCTAACACCCCACTTCCCCTGAAATAATACCCCACCTACCTATGTGTTCTTTTGTCATGATGTGCATGCGGTAGTGCCACCTTGAACTCTTCAGTAGGTTCAGCCACTGTATCAAAGAATTCATCATCTTCTTCATCTTCATCATCGTCACTCATTGCAATACCAACTGGAAATGTTGGAAATGATGTAAAAACAATGTATTGTAACTAAATATGTATGAAGTGAAAAAAAACTGGAAATGTTGCATCAACGAAGTCAGACAATATGCAGTGACTAGGAAGTTAGCCAAACAGTTTCTCTCTATGCTGTATAGTGAAGTAAGTTCCACAATTCCAGGAAAAAAATTTAAAATAATTTGTGAAAATGTCTTCAAGAAGTAATTTCGAAAAAATTGATTTTGAACTATGTTTATAAGTGTCATTGCAAAGTACCCACATAAAGTTATGAAAAAAATATTATCTATTTCATGAAATCTGTAACTGTAATTATGAAAATTACAAAAAAAAAATAATGATCACCAGAGCTACCTTAAAAAGTATTAAGAATGAATATATAATATAACTTACTGCCATATTTACTTCCATCTACTTTTGGTAAGTTTACTGCGGGGAAAGACTTGCGGACTTGTTTTTCGAAAGAGCTATGTTGCTTGGCGAGCTGCTCCACCATTTCTTCTAAACGTAATCGCTGTTCGTGCTCATGTTGCAACATTTTCTGCCATCGTTTGCCTTGACTTTGAGCAATATCCAGATACTCGGTGCACGCCTGCATATAGACAATCACTAAATTAAATGCATGCATGTATTTACAAGACAATCATAAAATTGAGAGAAGATTTAATAAACTATGATTAGGCCAAGATAAATAGCACACATACAGATTACAAATATATATGTATATTGCATATAGTCCCTGCTTACTTGGCCTTAACGACTCCCCAATCCCCACTACCCCATCCCAGCATCCCCATCTCACTCCATCCCCTGTACCATGCTTTCCATGTGTCTACCAGCAACGACTTTTCCAATATTTTCTTAACGCTCTCCTCATCATACATTATGAGATGCAATTCATTAGCCTGGCCTTACCATGTCAATATAATTAGAGTTACAGAGGTGATATTAATAACTACCTAGTATATACCAATATAATACCCCAATACTACTGGTTATTCCCATCATGAGAAATTCTCAGAGAAATCATGGCCTTCTATAAGCTTCTTTCTAGTTCAAGATAGAAAGATGTGATGGGTATCAGAATGGGTTATTCCTATAGCATAAACATAGTTTTCTCTGCTGGTTTTTTTCTCGAGTGGGTGCAAAACAGGTTTTCAACTGGGTGAAAGCCTGTTTCCAAAATGTCAAGTAGGTGCAACTTCACTACTGGAAAGATTTCAACTAGGTGAAAGCATGTTTCCAAAATGTCAAGTAGGTGCAACTTCACGACTGGAAAGATTTCAACTGGGTGAAAGCCTGTTTCCAAAATGTCAAGTAGGTGCAACTTCACGACTGGAAAGATTTCAACTAGGTGAAAGCCTGCTTCCAAAATGTCAAGTAGGTGCAACTTCACTACTGGAACAGCATACAGGAATTTCATTAAAAACTCAAATGAATATAACAAGCAACAAGGCATTGACATGCAAAATGTCACCACCTGCTATTTGTTACAGAAGCCAAACACCAACCACCAAATGCCAAACACCAATTACCGAACACCATCCACAAAATAGTTGGAGACTTTAACAATGTGTCATCACATGTGATGTTGACATAAAAATATTAATAAATTATAATGTTAATTTAACATGTAAACAGTTGTTTCAACCAGAGATTATTACCTGTTGCTGGCTGTTTACGAGACCCTTTAAATAACACAGAGACGGCTAATTATTCAATTTAGCCTGAAACCCAAATGGAATCTCATTGAATTGTCAGTAAATATTTCTGTTAGCAATTGGCCTTTTAATATCAGAAGACAATGAACTTATTAAGAGTGCTGTTATGCAAATAATTAATATTACTGATTCCTGTTAATAATTCTCTCATGTTGGGTTGTTGATTAAACCACACTGCAATAGATCGATGTCCCACTGTCATTGGTATTGTATTGTTATTCTACATCTACATGGTGGTTAACTTAAACTGAGAAGCAATTGGTGGCTCTTTATGAAAAGGACGTGGAATATATGTCAAAAAGATATATTTTATGGATACACTACTAAAATTTCAAACAGTAGCAAAACTCATTGGTTAGAAATGAAAAGTTTAGATTATAGTGAAAAATTTCAAACATTTTCGAATTGGTGGCCATCTTGGAATTTTTTTTAAAAACTATATACCAATATCTATTTTTCCACCAAACATAAATAAAATCTGTTCGCTAGTCTTTGATTTTTTTAAGGTTAAGTTTTATTTATTTGCAATAAGATTTTACACTTGTTAATTGCCTGGGTCACATTTGCTCCGATCCATCGGCCCTCACCCGGCCGATTGAGTGTTTTGCTCAATATTGTATTCAATTTTGAACAAAAAACTCAATCGGCCGGGCGCCGTAGTGAAAATTGGAGCAAATGTGACCCAGGCATAACATACTAGGAAGGCCGAGGTAAAACACTACATTATTGGCCTACCTAGTATTTGATGCCAGGACCGTCAGGTGGATAGACTAATGGACAGACAGAAGGCTTCACTATTATCCCAATGAATGAAGTTTGGAAGGGATAATAATTAAATGCACTGTAGATACTTGTATATCCATGCTTTTGTTCTAATAACACCCCGACATTTAAACTCGGAATCCTACAAATACTCGAACTTCAGCAAACATGAGGTTGGGCAAATTAGGTTCAATTCTTATGCCCGGCATAAGAGTAGATCTGTTTGCTGAAGTCTGAGTATTTGTAGGATTCTGAGTTCAAATGTCGGGATGTTTAATATTCATGCCTTGGTCACATTTGTATTCAATTTTGAACAAAATACTCAATCGGCTGGGCACCGTAGTCAATATCTGAGCAAATGTGACCAAGGCATATATGGAGGTCAAAAGTTTCCTATTTTGCGTAACATATACTCTAGTTGGGTTTCTGTAAATTTGTAAAATATCTTCGATGAAGGTCGAGAGTGAATCATATGTGGGTATCCACTTAACAGTGTCTCTAAGACAGGGGGTAATGTCAATGCCATAGCTTGACAGCCATATATCAAGAATGTGCTTAAGTTTATCACGACCTTGATGAAGGACAATGTCTTATCAAATGAGTTGAAATCAAAGCTCTACTTTTAACTATACTAGGTGTTACATAACATATAAATTATACTTCTTGTAAATTATATACCTGCCATATATGGGATTTTTAGCCTTTTGCAGATTATTAACATAGACGTTTTAATTTGCTGAATATCCTTATTCGACTATACTCTGTATACATTGATCATGTACCTCATCCCTGCTCCTTGCATGACAAAATCACTTAACTCTTAAAAAGGCGATATATGAGCTCCATTCTTGGACTATCTACCAACCATGTACTGAGAATGTACTCAAATTGGATTTCATGAAAACCTCAAAACTGGAAATCAGAAAGTAGCCAATCTGAAATCTTGATTAGACTTGGAATCTATTTCCCTATTGGTTTCCTAAATGCATTTAGTTTGGTAGTTCGAGTTGAATTAAGAATCCAGCTAATTTTAAAACAACATTGAACTAGGCTAATTAAGGGTGAAAGTGAATTTGATAATGTTGCATAAATTTTTTTGTTTTACACAGCGGTATTTCGCACATATAACCAGAATCTAGCTAATTTTCAGGATTAAAATCTTGCCTGCGGTTTACCACAAAAATACAGGCCAAATCTCGCCTGATTAACATACAGATCTCTCTAATCACGCTACATGGACTTTAATTGATACCTAATCATGAATATAACATGTACCAACAAAATGATTATCTCATTCTGTACATCTCTTGAACTTTAACATAAGTAACTGACCACTTCTGTTTACTTTTGCCATTCCTGGCTTGTGTTTACATTAATTTTAAACCTTTCCAATAAGCTAGATTGGATTTTGCTCCTTAAAAGAGTGCTTCATCTACCTTATGTATGTAGAATCTGACACTCATAGTTCATGAACTGGTGATAAATCACAAACAAAATTACTTCCCCTGTTTTTGCAAGATTTTTTCCTATCCTTATACCTAGCTTACATAAGCTACGATTCATAGGCTAACGTATTTTGTTCAAAAATGAATTGCAATTCTGAACAAAATACTCAATTGACAGGGCGCCGGCCGATGAATCAGAGCTTATATGACCAAGGCATTGTTCATGTAGTTATGACTAACTTTCAAAACAGCTTCATAATAGATCAGTTCCGTTCTCAACAAATCATCGTTTACTGTGAGCAAGCAAGTATCTAATTGTGTACATGCAGGGTTCGACTCCAGAGATTCTCGGATATCTCTGGTCTCACACAAGGGAAGAGTAAACTAGTCGCAATACCGCGAAAAAAACGGGTCTAAAAATATTTTAGTGACATGTTTATTGTCAAATGCCCTTCAGATTCTGAGCATGATGCCAGATTACAAAGTACTGTATTAATTACATGGATTTGTTACCCTCCAAAGTTGATTTTTCAAGTGAAAAAATATATCTTACACCAACCAAAATTATCAATATTTATTGAAGTGTGTTATGAAAACACAAAAAATTCAACCATCATTATGTCTATCGAAAATGAGTCCATTTTCCATTTAAAAGCTAACTAAGACATTTGCAATATTAAGATTGATACATACAGTAAAACCTGCCTAATAAGCGAACATCATTGGGAATAGTAGTCAATGGGAGACTAAAAAATAAAGACTGAGAGAAAGTGTTCCAATTATAGAGGTATTCAGATATACAGGTTTTCCAGTATATCAAGAAACAGTATATACACAACTTGATTAGTTTAGAAATTGGAAGTCATCATGGCCTATTTATGTTAGAATCTTAATTAAGATTATCGATTATAAAATCTCTGTTATTTGATTATGATAAATTGGTTAACTTCCCCCCCAAAAAAATACAGGAATCAACACATGATTCCAAAAGCAATTTCTTATTGTTAAATTCTTTGAGGAGATGAGAGGTCTGTGAAGGGTAACAGCCAATTCCATTCTATGACTTATTAGAATCAAACCAGGCAAGTATGTTATCTAACTTAAGACAAGAGAAATACATGGAGGATTAGTGACTGCTGCTGAGGACAAGTCGAGGTTAATTAAATACATCAGAGCCCAGATATCTTGCATTCAGTGGGTAAATAAGGTCCTGGAGTGTTCTCTTCAGGGGTAAATCAGGCCCTAGAGTATTCTCCTCGGGGGTCAATGAGACCCAGGAGTATTCTCATCAGGGGTCAATTAGGCCCTACAGTATTCTTCTCAGGGATCAATCAGGCCCTGGAGTGTTCTCAGGGGTACATCAGGCCCTGGAGTATTCTCCCCAGGGGTCAACCAGGCCTTGGAGTATTCTCCTCAGGGGGTAAATCAGGCCTTGGAGTATTCTCTTCAGGGGTAGATCAGGCCTTGGAGTATTCTCCTTAGGGGTATATCAGGTCCTGGTGTGTTCTCCTTAGGGGTACATCAGGCCCTGGAGTAATTTCCTCACGGGTAGATCAGGCCCTGGAGTAATCTCCTCACAGGTAGATCAGGCCCTGGAGTATTCTCTTTAGGGGTTAATCAGGCCCTAGAGTATTCTCTGCAGGGGTCAATCAGGCCCTAGAGTATTCTCTGCAGGGGTCAATCAGGCCCTAGAGTATTCTCTGCAGGGGTCAATCAGGCCCGAGAGTATTCTCTGCAGGGGTCAATCAGGCCCTGGAGTATTCTCTGCAGGGGTCAATCAGGCCCTAGAGTATTCTCCTCACAGGTAGATCAGGCCCTGGAGTATTATTCTCAGTGGTAAATCAGACCCTGGGATAATCAGGGTTCATGACTAAGTTTGAAAACATGGCCACAATTTAACCTAATGGCATTCAGTCTATTGCTTAAATTACTCCAAGTTCATTGCCAAGAGTGAAAAGCAATATTCCAGGCAGCTTTGAGTTTCAAACCCAGTATTTATTCCCCCATATAGAGAGTTAATCAGACTCTAGCACATCAGACCATCATTTCCTTGTTATTGAAACCTAGTCTACCACATTCAATTATTAACATCAATGAAACTCAAAATGTACTTACATTTATCATTGCATTTGTAGTAATCCTAAACAATGTGGCACGTTCGTTGACTCGATTTATTTTGGCAGATGCATCTTGGGAATTATCCATTTGTTCTACTTCTCCGAGTGATTTTTGTAATGCAGCTCCATGCTTTGTAATTAAATCATTGCATGTGCTCAAGTCCTCTATCTTTGACGATAATGTCCGAACAGTACTTTCAAATTCATCTTTATCATGTTGAACGTGTACTATTTCATCTTCGTCATCATCTGAAAAAATCAAAAATATTGAAACACAAACGCTAGAGACCAAGTCAAATCTTACAATATTAACCTTTTCCATCATTGTCAGGCCCGTAGCCAAGGAGGGGGTGGGGGGGGGGGTGGAGGGAGCGGCCACTTCCCCTTAGCCAGAAATTCTTTAAAAATCATGCAGTTTTTCACCATTCTGATCACTTTTCGCATGATTTATTGCCAAAAACTGTCAAACAGCCCCCCCGGCAAAATCTCCCCCTTGGTAAAACCGGTTCCCCCCCCAGGTAGGTAAATCCTGGCTACAGGCCTGATTGTGATACACAGAGCACCTCTACCAAGAAGCTCATACCTTGTGAACAGGGTTTGAGCTTAGGGCCAGTCCACGTGTCATTGTCAGGTTACTTTTGAAACGGACCAGTTTTTCTTAGACCCTAACCCATGCTTGAGAAGGTAATGATAGAAGGCTGATTTCTCTCAACGACCCTTTAGGCTATTTTTCCAGAATCGTGACATGCTTGGCATATAATGCCAATTAAAGGTAAATGATCGTTATCTCCAATTTGTCAACATAGAACAGCACGCAAAGTAATAAGTTCCCATGATAGATTTCAGGGGTTTCATTAGCAGCAGGCAATTTCACTGGTTGTTTTCACAAAATCGCCTGTTGTTTTTAGAGACTTTTCGACTTTTCCATGTTAAAGGACGATTCTCGGTTTGGAGAACGAAGTTCATCAATCTAAATGAGCATTATGCCTGCTTCGGACAAATTTGATTTTTTTTACATAATATAGATTTGAATGTCTTCTTTTGAATAGTCATAATTTAATTTGGGTAATATTTCTAGATTTTTCACAAAACAAATATTAGCGCAGTACACTGATGAACTTCTTTCCCCAAATCGAGACTTGTATTTTATTGAATCGGTCAAATTGAGTGTTATCCCTGCTTCAGACCAATTTGTTATTTTTACAACTTGTAGATTTAAATGTCCTCTTTTGAATATTCATAGTTTAATTTGGGTAATATTTCTATATTTTCCATGAAAAAAATTATTAGCCCAGGAGACTGTTCTCCAAACCGAGAATCGTCCTTTATGAGTTCCACTAATGTTGCCTGTTGTTTTTATCTATCTAGCCTGTTGTGAGAAATTCTAGTGAAATCCCTGAATTTGAACTTTCCTTGATACATTCAGATAATAAGACGCAAGTATTTCTGTAATCAGGTAACACTTCTCAAGTTGATAATGAATCATTTCCTGACTATTCCAATTCTGTATCCACCTGTTGATTAGTACATTCAAATAACTTAACTGGAATATTGGAGTTGGTAGGTTAGATTTCAAATGTAAGCAATTTGCAATTTATGCTTCAATAATTCAAATGTGACTGAAACTTGTCAAAAGTGTTCAGACAAACAGGTGTTCACATTTCAACTGGTTCCTTGTATTGAGAATCAATCAACATAATTGGGACAAAGTAGGTTTTTACAATGAGAGATGTTCGGATTCAAAAAAGTGATCGGGTACAGATTTTACTGGCGCTGATTAAAATCTCACCATACCTGATTCGATCAGACTGATAGCTTTTGTCTTCGCAAGTTCAAGAGCTGTGACCCATCGTTGCCGTTCCACTTCTGAGCTAGCTTTGAGATGAAAACTTTGCGTTCCTGCGTTTGAAATGACAAATGTGCAGGAGTCCTCCGTATGAATAAAAGCATTGGCAAGGTTTATTGTACCCCGGCATGTGTGGGCCATTTCAGCCTGGTTCCTGAAAATAATAAGGAACAAGGCATTAAAACACTAACACCAATTATCATGAAAATTATCCTCGGATCACAGGGCTTTAAAATCCAGAATATCTTCTTTCTTTTTACCCCCTGCTATAACCAAGTTGGACGCGCCCGATTAAACTGAATCACGTGATCTAATGATGATGTATACATGATTGCTGTCGCAGTGTTGCGACAGCCAATCAAATTGCGAGTTCTCAAGCGGGGAAATGCTAACTGCTTATAGCAGGGGGGAAGAAGGAGGTAAGGATTCTGGACACCTGCTTAGGAGGATGCATGAAAAGGAGAGTTACACTTTTTGCCTGCTGCTCTGAGGTCAAGGTCATTGTTAAATAAGCCTCTGAAGTTTGTGGTCTTCAGAAATGCCAAAATTTCTCAATTTCTTTCGACATTTTTCGGATCAATTTTTCTTATTTTTCTATGGATTTCCTCAATTGATTAAAAATTAGCAGTGATTCCATATTCCAAGGTAGTAATGATCTTTTCAGTGACTAGTAAAACCTGTTTGATCTGAACGCAAATGTTTAAATTACCAGGTGTTCACATTATAAGGTTTTATAAACATGTAAGTCAATGGGAATTTTTGGGATCAAGAAAAAGTGTTCAGATTAGACAGGTGTTCAGATATACAGATTTCACTGTGTGTTCACTTCAAGTCCTAAAATATGATTTCATTTTCATTTATTGTATTTTATTCTATTCTTATGATCTCAAATACAAGTTCACAGCGTAACAATTACATCTTTCTTAAATCGCCAAAAGGCATAATATGCAAGAACATGAAACTCTCACATTGACTGTGGTTTTCTATGTTTGCTCAACGAGGGATTCGTATTCAAGGAGTATTGATATACAAAGAACAATGAGAAAATTGATATTAATGGGGATTAGTTCAAATTCATGATGCCTAAAGCATAGAGAAAACTTACTAACAGATATTACTTGCTAATAAGATGTCTCCCTTTATTCATAGACAAGTAATTGTCCTAAATTACCCCAAACTGTGTTAATTTCATTTTTGTGGAATTTAGTGTCAAAACAAAATTTGTGAAAAAATAAATTTTGGTGCAACCCCTTACAGATAAACATGTTGTCTAATAGCATTGTAAGACACGGTCCACATAATTCTTTCAAGATGCCAAAGACAGGTAATAAAGCAAATTGAATTATTCTCACTTCTTATTTCTGATATACGTCAACTCGGATGCTTTTATAGCAAAGCCAAACTGTTGGGAAGTACAGTTATGTTTAAATGAGTGTGGGCCCCAAACAAGAATTTGTCCTAAATTAATCTGGCCCATTAAATAAGAGGCAAACAACGCAAGTTTCTAGGTTATTGAGTTTGACTGGTCAAATGGAACAAGTAGAAAATGTTTACAAGTATATTCTTTTCTTGCATGCAAGAAAAATCTGCTGGATGAGATTGAAACATATATGTCCAACAATGTAACCAACCACGTTTTGCTAGTTTTCAGCTATAAAAGAATTTTGTGCAAAGGATATGAAATAAAAAAACACCTCCGGGACCTGGCTAAAAGTGTTTGAATAGCAGGCTATTCATATTCCATTAAGGTTTTATAAACATGTACATTGAAATGGAAGATAACAAATTTGAGACCAAGAAAAAATATTCACATCGAGAAGAGTTCCGATTAAAAAGGATGTTTGGATATACAGGTTTGGCTCGATCGACTGAACAAGTTGTCACTTCAATCACTGTCAATCATATATCATTCAGGGCTGATGGCAATTACTTAAAAACTGATGTTTTGATTAATCATTTGGAAAATATTGATTAACTTGTAAAATGAAAACCACTGGTATTTGATTTGAAAACTGTCATGATGGGTTACAGGAAATGATATGAATATCATAGACAGAAAAGAAGCATGTATCACAGACTTAAGATGGCGGCTCTTAAATTTTTAGATGACGATAATAAAAATTGAGATAAAGGGTGATGTTAACTGAGATGACTCAACCCTAATTCAGCTTCTTTTCTTTATTTTCTGAAACATTTTCACATGATGACAGAGCAATGTTTACCAACTGTGTATAACCCAAACAATCCTAAGAAAGAATTTTTTTTCAAATGGGTGCAATTTTTCAAGTCTTAAAAAATCTCATAGATATAAGATGCCACTACACATTATCATAATTGCAATAAAATGTCCGAAAACCCAGTCTCAAAATGATGACATTCTCATGTTCCAAAAATGCTGCGATCTGGATTACATGTTAAGATGGAAACACTGCGGTAGTCTAGATATGTGTAGGAAATATATACAATTGATTTTCTATTTCATATAGTAAGTGGTAAGAGCATTTTTAAAATTGTGTCTAAAATGGACGGAGTGTTTGATGAAAACGCGCAATTTTCCTGAGAACAACTGATGGATTTAGAGTGTGTAAGGAGCCGTCATTTTATTTCACTCCACAGCATTTCGAAGTGAATGAAATGCTCCACAGTGAATGTAGGAGCGTTTGGATTGTGCACTGTGTTATAAGTGCAGTGAATAATGACAACTGGGACATTTATGTGGGATAATTAGAACGACCTGTGCAATAATAAGATCGCTTACCCTATGGAATAAATATAAACAAGACAACAACCACCTGGTCATTTTAATAATGACAACTGACAAACGGAATAGACAAAAAACTCTTAACAGTGCTGTTTTAAATTGAAATCTGATCATGTAATGATTGGGAGTAGGGAGATGACATCAAGACAAATGAATTATATCACGCTTTTTATCAAAAATTCAAAGTGGTCGCCATAGCCAAAACCTGATCAGATCTTTGAACAAGTATGCACTCATATCTGCAAGCTGAGCAGGTAAGCGGCTATCATGATGACTTAGATTTATGCATCCTCCGATCACAGGGCTTCAAAATCGAGAATATCTTTCTTTTTATACCCTGTGCTATAAGCAGTTAAGCATTTCCCCGATTAAGAACTCGCAATCTGATGCGACAGCAATCATGTATACGTCATTGGTGCATAATCAGATCACATGACTCAGTTTAATCTTGCGCTTCCAAATTGGTTATAGCAGGGGGGAAGAAGGAGGTACGGATTCTTGACACCTGCGTAGGAGGATGAGATTTACAGTGGGGGACAAAAATAAAACTCAACGTTCACAAGTTGTCACAATGAGCTTATTTCCAAGTTTCGTGTCTCAAACTCTCCCAAGCGGTAGAAAAATAATTCCCGTTCACTAAAGTAGCACAATAAATGAATCCAAAGCTTCATACCTGCAAATAATGGATAAATCCCTACCAAATCGAATGAATGTTTTCATGAATCGCCATGTTTGTTATCCAAGGACAGTTGACTCCCAGAATGCAACATCAGTTAGCCGTATTTACTCATGACAGGTTTTAAAATTGCGGAACAGCATTTTGAAAGCTGGCACGTGTCATGTTGCATTCTGGGAGCCAATCCTCCGTTCCAGCGCAATTGGGCGACAAAATCACCTCAATATTTGAAGAGTCGGCATAACATGTGAATATCCAATTCAACTTTTGAAGTTCTTATTTGTCATTAGGGACACAAATTCCACTATATTTGGACTTACTAAGACGGAGAAAATAGAGCACTGAATACACTGAGGTAAGAATTTATTACATGTGCGACAGCATGTAATTTTCATAGCTTTTGCAATTCTTTATGATCCCCACTGTATGTGGCGCCTCATCGAGACACGGACTCACACAATTGTATGAATTGACAATGTAGCAATATAAAAAGTGATAAAAAATTATGTCCACCCCATAAGCTTATATAACCTTGTTATATACTTAGCCAGACAAGATGCAGGAAGTTGAATCACTGAATGAAGAAGAAATTCAAGAATGAAGGAGATGTTCATTTTGTTCAGGCCAATATTATGAAGAATATGCGACCTATTTCATTATCCCAGCAGAACTGTCCGTCAAATTTTGGATTTTAAAATTTACATAATGTGCTGATAGAATGGGCAAATGAGAAAATGTTTACACAGAATTTTTTTCAAGAAAAATCATGAAAAATCCAGAAAAATGACTCACCTATAATATGAAAGTAGGCCATTCTGAAGGACAAACCACCGTTTTTGATAACCCTTTATATAGTTTGTCCATTTATACAGCCAACCCTTGTACTGATCTGCCTGCAATTGCCTTGTTTCAGACATATTTACGAATTTAGGACAAGTGTCCTTCCTCTAAATTGTCGACGATGACCAATATGGCTGACGGTCGCCTCATCACACCAGAGAAAATAGTTCTTATCATTTATTAAAATGTCTTTCAAAATCACCAAAATTTCATGAAAAAATGCCTCATATCATTTCAACTATGTTCCTTTTTTGTCATGTTATAAAACATGGCATGAGTGCTAACTTTGTGCGTGAGAGTCAATGTCAGTTTCGCGAATGAATATATGGTATGAGGGTCAAAACAAGTAGTTCACTTCCGGGTTGAATTTTCAAAAAATACAAGATTTGAACTTCTTCACATTTATCTTTTTGGTAGGTATTTTCAATATATGTGAATTCGATTCGAGTTTAGCTTTAGCTTGACGGAAGATTTGTGGATTCTGTAAAAGAAGATATGGGAACTGCGTGGTTTCCTCATCTAGTCTGACATCCATTCACAAATTGGTCATGAAAATTTATTGAAAGTGATGCAAATCATGGGCTTTCTCTAGTTGAAAGCCCATGTGCAAATTCAGGTGAAAAAATCCCCATTCCAATGCCAATAAATGAAATTGGCCAAAATTTGGCTAAAGGCAAAAATTAGAGGCACTATTCTGGCATCACACGAAGAAAGAAAAATACCGAAGCTGCCCATCTCGTTCAACATCAGTGGCCATCAGTACACATGCATGTCACCCGTCTGTGTCATCCGGGGTGTCATCTCAACTCAATTCCATAGCTGACAGCTCATTTTAGATGTAGAAATGTTTATGTCACCACATGAAGTGGTGACATATTGTAATATAGTCTCCAACCTTTTTTTTGAATGGTGTTCGGCAGTTGGTGTTGGGGTTTAGCATCTGCAACAAATGGCAGGTGTTGGCATTTTGCATATTAATACCTTGTTTACCCATACTTTTCTGTATGTTTTTCAGATCTGAGAACAAGACAATATGTGAGGAACAAAATACACATGTAAAATGATAACCTAATGATATAACTACAGATACCATTATAAGATACTGCAAATAATATAAGAAATACTCATACCCACATATAGCCAGTATACAATGGCAAAGACTAATAAAAAGTCAGAAGCAACATACTATACTCTTCAGAGTCAGAATGTGTTATCACCGGATCAAACAGAGTTATTTGAGATGCTACATTATGCCGGAGTCGTTATCGACCCAAAGGTGCTGAAGTAAGTAGCATGATAGTAACACGTCCTTAGAAAGTATTCCCAAATGTTGACTGTTGGAGAAATTACTACGAAGTTAAATAAGTATGCTTAACACCCCTCCCCCCATATAATAAGTTCTTAAGTAGTGTCAATTTTTACTTTGTTACACTTCTATATGTGTTACACTTCTAGAGATGTTCCACTTTACAGGTTTCACTGTACTTTGAGGTTTACAAACTTTCTTACTTGTTTCTTTCAGGATTGTACTGGACTTACTTAAAATAAACGTTGCACCATCAGCCATCGCACAAATGTTAAAGTCTCTGAAGGCTCAGAAATACAAAAAGCTTGCAGCCAAAGATAAAGGTCCTAGTGGTACAAAAGAACAAGGGGAGAAATCTAGTACAAGTGCAAGACAAACAAGCGGGGCAAGGTTAAGGGCAGGAGCTAGCTAACTTCACTATCGAGGCACAACTATTGACACATGAGAATCATGCTAAAGTGAAGGTGTGAACCAAGGTTGTGGATGTGATGACCGATGAGCATAAAATAACTCTTTCAAGTGGAAATTGCTGAAAGTGTATCAGACATTCCAAAGTCTGTTCTAAAATACTGTAGGTACACTTAATTTGGCTACTGTTTTTATTTGACGGATTAGCGAGTTGAGAAAATCCACCAGTTTTCAGATCTATTTTGAAAAATCCCCAGAGATTTGTAATTTGCAATTATTTCACTCGTGTAAGTATTCCTATTTGGATGTCAGCGCTATACCAAGACTGTAACAGTAAGTAGAACACATGAATCTGAAATGTTTATTATCAGATCTGCCAAATTAAATAGCCGCCAATATTTGAAATTGAGCAAATCCGCCAAATTAAGTAGTGTCAAATTAAGTTTATCCATTCTACAGTATTCCATCCAAATATTTTTAAGCTCTGATATTTACTGTAAATATATGCTATGATAGCAGTTTTGTAGCAAAATGTATTCAGATATTGTCGGTGCAAGATACAGATCATTGTTTCATAGTTGTGTATGTGTATATAAACTTGTAAATAAAAGGAAAAGAGTTAAAGCTCAGTGCTGGGATAGAGTAAAATCTGATAGAAAGATGGCAGCATTGATCCCTTCATAGGCCCCAAAACATGTATAAAAATAAATAGTCTTTCCCTTTGAGATCTCTTTTCTTATGGAACGATTTTTTATACATGTTCCTGAGGCCTATGGGGAGAAAATATAGATAGTCTACAACTGCCATATTTCTTGTTGACCTTGGTCCGTATGCAAAATCTACATCAATTTCTGGATTTTGACACATCCTTTAAAAGCCAGGGTACATGGCTTCTGTATTTTTCACATTTATGTCACCACCACAAGGGTTGACATAAAGCAATTGTTGATATATTGTTATAGTCTCGAACTTTTTGTTGACGATGTTCAGCGGTCAGTGTGTGTAACAAATGGCTGGTAGTGACATGTTGCATGTTAATGCCTTTTTAACATTCTTATTATGATGTGATAAGCCATCATTCAATTGCAGAATGCGTACTAGGCAGGTGCCCAATTGCATTCATTTATTGTTTTACAGTAAAACCTGTCTAAGTCGAACATCTTTGGTACCTTTTAAAAGTTCCACTTGGGAGGTGTTCTGCTTAAAGAGGTTTGTTTAATATAAAGTCAGTTAGTCTTGGGACTGTTCCATTAACAGAGGTGTTCCACTTCTGAAGGTGTGCCACAAGTACAGGTTTCATTGTATTTGTTTAATTGGGAATATATTAAAATAATTATATCCGTTCATGTCATGAATTACTTGTATTTTGTGTGTTCTTTTAAATAAAACATACAGACATAAGCATCTAGAAATTCATGTGTGCCAGAATTTTTCAACATTAGCAGCAAATATCTTTGTTCATTTGACTCATTCATTAAACTGTTGAAACTGGTAGCAACCAATGTAATTCACATTGGGGAAATATAACACCAAACATGACAAATATTGGGTTGAATAAAACAACTGAATTTTGAAATTTATTAAAGGTCTTATGTAAAGTTTAATACCACTTTGGCATACATTATTGAACAGGAGTGGGAAAATCATTGAACTTAAAATCATGTTTGAAATTCATTAAATGTAACAATTTATTATCTGCTTTTGGTACAGGCCTTGAAATCGATTCTTAGAATTGAAAGCCAAGATATCATCATTGCAAAATGTGTGAACCAGATTCTTATGTACGATTCTGCAGTCCTAGATCTATTTAATCGTATCTGTAATCCACTTAAAGACACTTGGGAAGATCCTTGCATATACGCCTGGTTTGCGTTTAACACCACACTCCCCCAGTTTTGGACCATAACTTGTCAGGCCAGCTAACATCCAACGTGAGCCAATTTTACACATAAACGCACCCCCGGAATCACCCTGGAGAAATATATAAACGGGTGCAGGGGCGTAGCCAGCAATTGTCAAGGGTGTGCGAATTTTTGAGTTTACATCACTGCTGTCGAAGCGAGCTCCAAAAAGGTGGCAAGGGTGCACCCCCCCCCCCACCCTGGCAACGCCCAATGGGTGTATTTTGTAAGGTTTGAATACGGGTTTAATCCAGATTTCATCGTTAGATTGGATTGGATTGGATTATATATTCCCCATAGCATGTTATGGTTGCATTTGGCAGTTGGTTAAAGTGTGGCATATACGTAAATCGCAATAAAAATGCATTTATAATTTCTCAGTTAAATTTTGTTCTGGTACAAACAACATTTAGTGGATGGTAATAGTTATAGTTCCCATTAGTGTGCTCAAGGCATGGTTAACCATTCTTTAATCAGGACGACAAAATGCAATGATATGACGCGTTGGATCATACTGTAAACTATAAGTTTGATTTTCCAGTAATTATAGACTGATGATTTCGTTTATTCTGATATTCATAATTAATTAATAATAGACTGATTTCGTTTATTCTGATATTCATCATTATAGAAAGAAGCTAATATACGGCCATGATTTCTCATGATGGGTTCCGTTTGGTAAAAAGGCATCAAACATGACAATAATAGCTTTTCAGAAAATGCAAGTACAGGTGTGAAAGAAATTATGGTCCCCTAGGGATTATGGTCCCCCTTCTTAACGGACCTTACTGGCCCTGATTGTGTATAGGCTTAAGATAATAAGGGAAAGAGGTTACCATATAAACCAATGGAGAGTAGGACCATAATTTGAAAGGACCTCCTACTTTTTTACACCGGTAATATGATCGTTTGACCCCTATGACAGAATTCCAATAACGTTGTCGTTCTGTTGTCATACTTTATTATAATAATTCATTTAAAATATCGTCTATAAAGTTTTCTTAGCTAGCCGAATTTTTACCAAGTCAGTTATTCATACTTCCAGATTCCTGCATGAATGATTTGGCACCTGTCACCAGGCTCTTGCATTGGTTTTTTTGGCAATCCTCTCCTCCACATATGCCCTTTAACCATGTTAACCCCATTATGATAACAGCCGCAAGTTAACTTTTTAGTCTATATTTCGTTAAAGTTGGGTGACAGAATATAGCAATATCAGCAATGGATAAAGAGTACTGGGTTTTAGGAGGAATAATAGCCGATGGCCTTGGTCATGTAATTAGATCAGCTTTAGTGCACTGCATGTGACAGTCAATCGTCTTTTATGCACTCTTCTTTGTTACAACTGTATATTCTTTAAAATATAGTTCACTCTATTGTGCTACCTAAGCGGGGTTTAAGTCTCAGGAAATTAAATCCCTCAAAATAAGTGCACTCGTATCTTTACCTCCTGGACACCCAGTATAATATCATATTAATCCGAGAGGCTACGAAATATGTTATAAAATGTTATTGTAAATATACTACACCTGTTTGACATGATGAATTAATTAATACATAAAACAAAACACCATTTTACCGAGCACGTGTCTTTGTTAATCCCACCAGCACAGAAACCAGATTGATGAAGACTACCATCCAAGTATTCAACTTTGTTACACACTTTATTAGGAATGATGGGTAGAGCTACTTGAATCAGTTCATCACTAGTAAAACCGCCACGAGCTAAAATAAAGTATCATGAATCTCATCCTCCGAACGCAGCCTTCCAGAAATCGCACCTCGTTCTCTTGGAAGAAGGAAGAACGTTGTGGATGGTGTCTGGAGACCTGCGTTTGGAGGATGAATGAAGTTGATCGTCAGTCAACATGGACCAGCAAAAAAATTTAAAACGCGTAATTCAGTTATCAAATGAGCAGGTAAGCCATTTTGAGCAATGAAGGTATGGATTCTAAAATGTAGTAAACGATGCACATGTACAGTAACAGGTTGTTTTGAGAGTTTTAACTATAAATCAATAGGTTGTTGTTGAAGTTCAGCGATCATTAGTAGTGCATGCACATTTTTGACAAAGTGCATGTTTTAAATTACTCTTGATTTAAAAGATGGCTACACTTCTATAAAATGAATGTATCATGCAATTCAAACAACCTCGCCATCTTTCATTGACATTGATGAAAAATTGATATTCAAAGCTTAGCAGATCAAAAATATTTTTGATAACATATTGCAAGCTTCGATGTGGCCTGTTTGAGTTGTTTTTAGTGTCAAATAAAATATAAAGTACTTATCAATCTATTGGAAATACTTCAAACGTAAGAATTTATTTTGCCACAAAATGTTGAAAATACGCAAAGTGGGCCTTTAAATAAGTACAGATTGATTAACTTGCGCTCTTTATTTAAAACAAAAACATTTCTATCTTCCTTTAGCCAATGTTTATCTACTAATATCTTACTCAGTCCCCATCCAATTGCGGTACAATTCATTTCCGTTGAAGACTGTAACAACCACGCTGTGTTCCTACTTATAGCGCCATCTATTATTTCAGTGAAATAATCGACGGGAGGTACACATGCTGGAATGATGTTCTGGGTTAACGTGACTGGCTTGTCTAACTTAAGCAATGCATAGTCATTCAAGAGACGACGACCTTCATTACTATATGCAGGATGCGTGAAAATGGCTGACACAGTTGCAGTGATCTCACCAGACTCTTTTTTCGAAATATTATGTTTGCCAAGTACTACACGCCAGTAGCCAGGGTCTCTATATCTGAAAGAGTTATTGTAAGGCTGGACCCAGGGTCTCTATATCTGAAAGAGTTATTGTAATGCTGGACCCAGGGTTTCTATATCTTAGAGTTATTGTAATGCTGAACCCAGGGTCTCTATATCTGAGAGAGTTATTGTAATGCTGGACGATGGGTCTCTATATCTGAGAATTATTGTAACGATGTACCCAGGGTCTCTATATTTGAAAGAGTTATTGTAATGTTGGACCGACATTCAGGGGTTTTCTATCAAAAACAGGCACGTAAGGCTTTTATTCAAACAAGTTCTAGTTTTTTCGTCAAAAATGGGACGAACATCTCGGGATTTATCAAGAGATCCTAGCTAGATTCGAATCCTAGGAGGGTCTTTGCAATTGTCCCGTTTTAATTTCATCTGTTTATTTTCTGTTGTGAACTGATGTGAAGAGCCGTGTACTCAACTAATGGACACTTGTCCTCAACAGTCATTAAATGAGCCTAAAACCTAAAAGCGTTTAATAGTTCACATGGTCACCCATACTCACGTTCCAAAACAGTGAGCAGCAGAGAGTACCCACTGAGGATGTATAAGCGAACCTCCACAAAACTGCCAATCCTTCATAAACAAGACTACTGCCCAGGGCCAACTGTGACTGTTGGCCTCAACACCATCAAATATCCTTCCGCTGGTTGTAGGTGTAACAAAGGGTAAACCACACTCTTTGAACACTGGTTCTATAAAAAACATTGAGAGAATGACTTATCGTTGTCCCTTGTTCGAATATATGCTTTCACTGTTACAAGCTGGGTTCCACTTTCACCAAGGATACTAGGCCAAGCTAATATAGTTATTAGTTGCTTCAGTGATAATTACATACTTAAGGATCAGTGTGAGGATTACCAACATGTTATTTTCATGATTTTAGTTGATAGTGAAATTGAATACTATACTAGTATATTTTTTCAAAGTTTCATGTTGATATTTACAAGTTTCTACAGAATAGACAAACAGTAAAACCTGTGTATGTTGAACATTTTTTGCCTAATGAGGCGTTCACTACAGAGGGTTAATTTATACAGAAGGCAGTAGAGTATGTGCGGAGGAAGGGTGTCCAGTAGAGAGGTGTTCACTAGAGAGAGGTGTTCACTAAGATAGGTTTAACTGTAGCTTGAAATCAAAATTTTGTTAACATTATTTTGAAGTGTCATTTCCTCAGATTGTATTTTGAACGATTTCCGACTGTGCAGAACAGTAAACTTTATTACGAACATTCCTCACCTGTTAAAGTGCAAGGAACAAAAAATATCCCGATACCAGTATTTATTTTTATACTTGACAGTATGATATTCAAAAAGTACCAATTTTTGGTCCACATGAATGAATTCAGTTTTATTACTTACCCTACCCTTTGCATCCGTTCTACTTCGCTTCTTAAAAGAGGGCTTCGTATACTTACCCATACATGTTATGTTGAAATCGCATTCATCATAGATAACTAGCTTATACAGTATATTGGAGGGATCATGGTTTACCGAAGGATTGTTTGGCGTCACTGATATCCATCCGCTATTGACATCTTCGCAAGTTTTGGCTGGAATAAGGATACACCATGTTGCAAATGGGGCAAAAATGAATTCTAAAATGTACTCATGTACGTCATGTGTACGGCCACAATCATAATATTACTTTAAGGTATTCCCAAACATATATCTATAATATAACATATTATATTCTGGTAATCCCTGTATAGGTAAAAGAGATATGGGGTTTACATTTAATCAAGTCTAAATTCTTAGTAAAACGCTAATCGTTCAAACATTTCAAAACTAGTTACATTGTACAGACCATTTCAGGTTTGGGATATTGAAACAGTTTTTTAAGTTCGAATAAAGTAACATAAAATTCCTAAAAGTTGAAGTCCTAAACGTTTATTATTTTATTATCAAAATCCAATCTTTACATTGAGTTTAGTTTAATCAGTATGTTGTGCCGTGGTAAAACTGTTCTGAAGATGATATTCTGAGATGATAATCAAGAAGAGACAGAAAGTATGGAAAGTTCCACAGGGAAGGTTCCAAAAAGGAGGCGAATAATAATTTCCCATAATTACCAAATAAATAAACCAATAATGAACAAATTAAAGATAATGTCATATTAAATCTACTGGACTTCCTAAACCTCCTTTAAATGGAGGCAAATGTTGGTCCCCATAAGGAACCAACATTTGAACCAATAGAAAGGCAAGCAGATTATGTAATAAAGTCGAATATACTGGACTTAAAAATCCTCCTTTAAGGGAATTGGAACTTTCCTGATAGAAAAGACATAACAATATGAAAAGAGCCAAGATTTTAATGTTATTTATGAATGATATCACGTATTGAGTGCAAGTGAACAAAAGAAGAATAAAGAATAGAAATGATGTACATCAAATGTATAGAACAATAACATATATCTTGAAACCTAAATCAATGTAATATAAAAATGAAGTTTGTACCAAAATTTAATGTATATGAAAACCTAAACCCTGTTTCAATATTTGGGTTTGTTTGCAGTTACGTTTTTCAGGTTTATGTTTATTATGAATTTGTTCAACGTCGATCGCAGATTGGTTATCTTACCTACACATTGGGGTACACCACTACTCCAGAGTTGACTCTCTAAACAAGTCATTGTGTCATTTCCCTCAAGTTTATAGCAATCATTACATTTGAACGTAACGCTGTCCCCAATCCTATGCGGTCTACCCGTGATGGTAGTGATAACTTCCCCGTTGTTTAAAGCCACTGGTGGATTTTGACACGTAGCATTTACTACAAAGGAAGCGATTGTTACATTTAAATGTTTAACTCTCCCCAATTCTATGCGGTCTACCCCGGGGGTCTAACCTCAACGATGGTAATAACATCCCCATTGTTCAAAGCGACCGTTGGATTTGGACATGTAGTGTTTACTACAATTAAAGGAAGTTATTGTTAAAGAACGTTACGCTGTCCCCAATCCTGTAGGGTCCACCCTCAATGGTAGTAACATGTAGCATTCACTACATTTCGAGCGAGATATGGTAAACTATCTGTCATTTAAATATCATTGTTGTATCACATCATTTTGAGTTTATCAGTTTTCATCAAGCCAAGTGATGGTTTACGCTTATACCAACAGATGAGTGTAAAAATCAACAAAATGATCAAATGGTATCACAAACAATATTGCAATCAATGGCCCTACGATTACCCTTTAACTCGTTCTCGACAAAGGATTGGATATAATCATTCACGGTTGGATCGTAAGATTCGTTCGCTAAGGGGAATCAAATTGAGTTTCGTAAAAATACTGAGAAACCTCTGAAACCTCACATCTTTTAACCGGCTTTTAACACAGATTTTTTGTTTTACCGAAGCTTGGAGAAATCTTGCGATCCCACCCCATGATATGTAAGTAACACTGATCATGAACCAAACATACATACACAGGCATATTGGTGTATCTAAAGGATCCCATCCACTGGGAGTGCAACGCATCTCCTTCGTTCTTTTGTTTTCTCCTTTTATCACGTATCCCTTATTACACTGAACGGCAAATGATTCACCACATTGGACTACCCGTCCTTGTGTTGGAAATATTGCCCCGTGTTCAAGAGATTCAATTCTGGTACAAGTACGAACTACAAGTAAAAAGAACTACGTAACATAATACTGCTTAGATTTTAACTTTATTTGTAGTTTTCATGCTACCATCAGAAATTGTGATATCTTGTCTCCAACTTTTTGTGGACGATGTTCGGTGTGGTTGCCGTTCGGCGTTTGGCATCTGTAACAAGTGGCAGGTGGTGATATTTTGCATGTTGATGGCTTGTTTCAATTGTAATGTTTGTTTTTTTGTTCACGATGGCTGATACATAACCCCGGGTACATAATGTAGAATTCAACATTTTCGAGTGCATATATTAATAATACCGAGTAGATTAAAATTATATTCTGAGAAAAATCATAGGATGTTCTTATTATCCTACACTTACAAGGGGTGTACTGAATGTATAATATCATTGTAAAATGAATTTCATGCCAAATAGAGTCAATTTGGCGAGAAATCAACAAGCGGAGTATATCGTCACAATATCCTCCGCATATTGGGTTTTCCGGAGTATATCGTCACGATATCCTCCGCCCGGAGTATATCGTTACGATATCCTCCGGATATTCATTTTGCCAATAAATATCAAATTTATTTTTTCATGTAATTATACATTTAGTACACTAAGTGTAGGATAAGATATGATATACAAATATACACGATACCTGTGCAACTAGGTGGATGTATCGGGGACCATGTCCCTATCAACTGACAGGTACGAGTTGGTGCACCGATCAACTGATAACACTCATCGCATTCGTAGTCCAATGACGCCCCAATATCATATTTTCCAGATTCGACAACGCCTCTCACCGTGCCATGTTCAATTACTTTTCCCGCTGACTTACAGCCTGCTTCTGTAGTGCAAATTAAGGATGCACTCATTAATCAAACGATTCAAAACTAGTTCATCTAACTGGCAAATTATGAAACTGAGATTTCAAATGATCCCAAAGACAACCGCCCCAGCTTATTCAAAATCAAACATATACAAGGACTAATTTACATGGTGGGCTGAATTGCCGAAACAGACAAAAACAACAATGTATTTTGACCAATTTTGTTAATTTGTCTAAAAGTCTTTGGGTCATTTTAAAGAAATCACGCTGCTTTGTTTATATCTATCTTGGTGTTATTCTATCACATATGAGGTATTGTCTATATTGAACCCCAATACAATGTATCTCTATATCTGGCCTTTCCTTCAATTTTTGTGACCCTTGTACTTCATCCCTACCCATCGTTTTCATCTTGCATTAGCCTTAAGAGCGACAGAAATAATTTTTGAATAAAGAGGGCAGACCATTCAGTCTGTGTTTATTTCAGAGTAATAGGATTCTACAGCTGCTGCCATCTTTAAATCGGCCAAAAACCTATGCATTTTACCTTTGCACACAGGAAGAGGCAGAGTCCACCCGCCAGTTCTGTTACAGACGGTATAGTACATGCCGTCAAGTATAGCGAAGCCAGTTGAACAGCCAAAGATGATTCGATCATAATATTTATTTCCAGAAAGATCTCCACGGAGGACAACCAAATTGCTATCCTTTTCCAAAATGACGTCAGGACACGTAATATCAATTTCTGAAAATTGAAAATGAAACGTTTAAAATGTCAATATTGTACAAAGGTGCGTATCCATGTTCTATTCAATAGAGACTTTACTGTTGTATATAGCTTAAAATCTCAGCGAAATCTCGTTTTAATGAAATTTAGGAGATATGGATTTTTACCATAAAAGAATAACATAATATCATGGGCATTCAATCTCTCTAGATTTATTTAGTTATTTTCTTGTATTTAATTCTCAAGGATTCTGAAGTTTTCTGAAAAAAGGTCGGGCAATGTCACTAACAATCCTATAACATAATCCCAGGTATAGCAGAAAAGTTATAAAATAACCATTACCAATACACTCGATCATTGGTTTATCCCACTTTCCATTTGCTAGGCAGGTGAGTACACGCCCCCCTTGTTTCATATATGGTTTCCTACAGGAGGTGACTATGTTATCACCAACTTCGTTTCCGGTAAGGCGTCCATCGCCAACCAGAAATCCGTATTTTGGGAGGACAAGATCAGGGCAGTCCCCTGTATTTGACACTACAATGAAATAAAAGTGTGTATACACACAGCGTGTGTCCCTTTTCAGACCAATATATTATAGCATTTTTCATGTTGATTCACCGTATTGTGCTGCCATCTTTCAATGGGTTTCTTATAGGTTTTGTAGGGTAAGGGATTGCCTTTCATTTCCTATAACTTGGGGGTATTTAAGATAAATTTTGGGCTTCATTCAGTAGAGAGTTAGATCGGGGGGAACATCACACATCATTTCTTTTCATCTTATTAATCTCATTTTCATTCTTTCTTTATCTTTGAACAGTTTTATTTTATACTGAAGAGTGTAATTGTACATGTTTAGTCTTTTACTTGGAATAAAGTATAGTTTTATGAGTATATTAATTCTGTGTTAATCTTGTCTTTTTTACATTACAAGACCAATCCATATTATTTTATGAAGAACCCACAGAGCTATTTAAACAACAAAGCTCGAAGCTTCAATATAATAGAGCGGTTAAGCTACACGTTTTGAGAGGACCTGTACGCGAACGTGTAATAGTATAACCCCAATGCAATATAACTGTCCCATTCTTAAGTTTTCCACTGCCCTAATTGCATTTGTGTCCTCATGTCTACAGTATGTCCCTGTTCGGCATCATTTGAAACTGAATGCTCAATCTTGTATGAATGTAGTAGCTACAACTATTTTTTCATGTATTGTAATGACTTTAGAATAAATGAAATTAATGACCCTTGGGTTTGTGGTCTTGGATTTCGATAATGGTAAGTGATTTCTGGATAGGGTATTATATATTACTGTTTCTTTTCACGTTAGATCATGGTTTGGGATAGTTGGGGTATGTTTTCCTTATGACCGATGCACTCGTACATGTTTTCTTTTTTCTTGCTGTGTTTTGCAACAATGTTTGGCCCTTTCCCTTTGGCACTTGTACTTGTACATGCATATTTATACATGTAACACCGTTTGCACAATCGGGCAGTAAATAGTAAAGGAGTAATCTAGGGACTAATCTAGTCGCGAAAGGACGTACACTTTCTCTTAAAACGCGAGGCTCAACCTTCCTAATTTGACGAGATATACGTACATCGACAAACAGGCATGGCGATGTCCCACACTAGTCCATCGGTGCCATTCCCGGGAAGTTCTATGCTGTACTTTTTGAAACAAGTCAATGTTGGAGTTCCGTCCAGTGTATATCCCGGATCACAAGCAAACGTGACTGTGTCACCAAATGTGTTTTCTTTAACTTGACCCTTTGTAACGAAACCATGTTCGGGAACAGTTAAGTCAGGGCAATTTGTGGAACTCGTTTCTATATTAAATGAAACAAATATATTAATTTGTAACGAAATGCTCGGGAACAATTAACCCAGGGCATGCAGTTAATTGAACTCGTTTCTGTATTGAACGTTTTTGAAACAAATACATTTGAAACGAAATGCTCGGGAACGATTAAAACGGAACAATTTGCTGAACTATTTTTATTAAAACAAATAAAATTTTAACGAAATGCTCGGGAACAATTTTAAACAATTAAAACGGGGCAATTTGTTGAACTCGTTTCTGTTATTTAACAAATACATTTTTAACCAAATGCCCGGGAACAATTAACACAGGGCAATATATTATTGAATAGTTTTTTAAATACCTTGTAGAATAGAAATCTCAATCGTTATTGCCTAGAAATGATGATATTCTTACTGATGCAAGTAGGCACTGCCTGGTTCCACGCACCATCCCATCTACACATTATATGTGAATGTCCCATCAACACCAACCCAGGCTCACATGCGAAAAAAACTCGGTCCTCGTATATATTATGAAGAAGTTTGCCTTCTGTGACTTTTAAACCTACATCGTTTCCCGGGAAAATGTCTGGACATCGACCTCCAACTCAAAAATACGATGTCATTATTTTAACAGGATTATAGAAAGAATGCTCATAAAATATGGCACCTTAGTGAACATGTTATATGAACTATATATATATATTATTATATCGGTCTAAAACTGAGAAATATTACGAGACTTGTAATCGCGAATCCAAATAACGGCTAGCGGCTAGCGGATTGATTGCTACTTGATGGCAAACCTATGCGATCACTGATCACCGTTCGTCGACTAAATTCGTTAAATCAACTTCAAAATGACGGGTAAATTTATGGAAATTGATAGGTTAATCCGGTAGCCGACAGCCGAAAGTTGCATTCGCGAATAATAAAGCTTCATTTGAAGCTTCGTTGAAATGGAACAAAGCTTATCGATATAGTACTCTAACTTACGCTTGCAATCTGAAGGTTTACTGCTCCACTTCCCCCCTTGTACACAGCTGACTTTCAGTTTGCCAAGTGCTTTATAATGCTTCTTACATTGAAAAGTGGCGGAATCTCCGACTTTATTGCCCGTCAGACTCCCAGCTATCAGTTCGGCGTTTTTGGGTGTACTCAAGTCATCGCAAGTGTCTTTTATTTCTTAAGAAATAAATAAAATATTTAATGGGTTAATATAAGTAAGATTTTAGTTTTATTTTTTAAGTATTTTATATGCTCCTCCCATCCTGTACGTGATGAAACGAGTAATGTCAATTGGAATATTGGTTTAGAAAAAGGCCATCAGACCAAATCCATGAAAATGTTAGCACCACAACCTTTGTAGAATTGTATTTGCATAGAACAAAAGGAAAATTATATAAAACTGCATGTATATTTTGCCTACATAGTTACTTACTCGAGCACTTTAACTGCTTTCCCTTCCACTTTCCCGATGATTTACATATCATCTTGGTCGCTTTTGATGGTCCATATCCAGGTGCGCATCGGACATTGATGGCGGCACCACAATGCGTGCTATTGCTAGAGGCCACTGTGTTCGCTGGTAACTTAAGTTTCCCACATAACACCGCTTTAATAACCGGTAGAGTGTTATACTAACTGAACAAGTCAGCCACTAGATAGCTTATCTCTGGACAACTCAAATCCTGGACAATTCAAGCCATAGACAAATATGCCTACTCAACCCCTAGACAACCAATACCTACACAACTAAACCCCTAAAACCCATATGCAACTCAAGCCATTCAACTCATCCCAATGATTCTTCAAATTCCCACAAATGCCAGAGTTGAGTTGTCCAGGTGTTCATTTGTCAAGGAGTCGAGTTGTCCATGGATTGAGTTGTCGAGGGGTCGAGTTGTCCGGGGATTGAGTTGTCCATGGATTGAGCTGTCCAGGTGTTGAGATGTCTAGAACAGAGCGATTGCATTGCCAAAGAGTTGCGTTATAAAGGGGTCGAGTTGTCCAAGTGTTGAGTTGTCCAGGGGTCGAGTTGTCGAGGGGTCGAGTTGTCCAAGTGTTGAGTTGTCCAGGGGTCGAGTTGTCGAGGGGTCGAGTTGTCGAGGGGTCGAGTTGTCCAAGTGTTGAGTTGTCCAGGGGTCGAGTTGTCCAAGTGTTGAGTTGTCCAGGGGTCGAGTTGTCCAAGTGTTGAGTTGTCCAGGGGTCGAGTTGTCCAAGTGTTGAGTTGTCCAGGGGTCGAGTTGTCCAAGTGTTGAGTGGCCCAGGTGTTGAGATGTCGATGAGATGAAATTAGCGGGGTTGCGTTATCAAGGGATCGACTTGCCCTGGGATTCGTTATTCAGTGGCTAAATTGTATGTAAACCATTACAATACAAGCATGATTGTCATATACAAAATAGGATATGGATTGTTTTGTATTTTAATGGTCCTCTTTATTCTATTTCTATTGCACTAAACATAATGACATCATTATAGCCTATTGCTTGAACTGTTTGCTATGTGTCTGTCTCCTCATCATACCACAGTAACTGAAGCATCACGATTTTAATTGAATAATTAAAACATTGATCATTCATTCTAAAATACACATTTATCCTTTGATGCTTACCATCACATTTGGTCTTTATTGGCGCCCACTGCCCTCCTTTACAATTTATTTTCCCGGGACCAACTCGTTTATAGCAGTTTTTACATTTCACTTTTATTGAAGAACATCCACTCGTTGAACATTTTGGTTTAAGACTTCCGTTTTCAATTCCAGATGTTGGGCGAGGACATAGCTATTGCAAAATATTAAATTTTATTAGCTTATAATACCGATGAGAAAGTCATTTTCGAACCTTGACCTTATGAAAATTGATCCTGAAACCACCTGCTTGAAATAAATCCTCTGCCACATTTGCTCTACGGCGGCCGTACGGCGGCTGTAGCTTCAAAACATCAATACAGAAAATCTACATCGTACTGCAGCATATTTCTCTATGGTCGTCGTACAGTTTGCCGTAGATCAAATGTGACTGAGGCAATAGCATTATGCTTTGTGGAAATCAAATCAGGTACATTTTGGTACTCACTTTTTGCCAAACCTTCTTTCCTAAACGTATGAAACTTGACTTGAACGGAGCAACTTACAGTACAATACTGAACATAATGCTCTAATGAATTTAAACATATTGAACCTTATAATGCAGAGGATGTCCCTTTATGGTATAAATACAAAAATGAACACTATATTATCTTTTACTATTAATGCTCATTTCGAGTGTCACTGTTAACTTTCTAGCTAAACAAATATGCCAAATAGGTAAATCCACACATATCATGCCAAAACATTTCAAGACTCGGAAAGACTTACGTTTATCACTTTGATGTCAAAGGAAACTGCAAGCGTATCTACCTGGCAAGACTCAGAAAGAATTAAGTTTATCACTTTGATGTCAAAGAAACTGCAAGCGTATCTACCTGGCAAGACTCGGAAAGACTTAAGTTTATCACTTTGATGTCAAAGGAAACTGCAAGCGTATCTTACCTGGCAAAACTCAGAAAGAATTAAGTTTATCACTTTGATGTCAAAGGAAACTGCAAGCGTATCTTACCTGGCAAAACTCAGAAAGAATTAAGTTTATCACTTTGATGTCAAAGGAAACTGCAAGCGTATCTTACCTGGCAAAACTCAGAAAGAATTAAGTTTATCACTTTGATGTCAAAGGAAACTGCAAGCGTATCTACCTGGCAAGACTCAGAAAGACTTAAGTTTATCACTTTGATGTCAAAGGAAACTGCAAGCGTATCTACCTGGCAAGACTCAGAAAGACTTAAGTTTATCACTTTGATGTCAAAGGAAACTGCAAGCGTATCTTACCTGGCAAGACTCAGAAAGAATTAAGTTTAACACTTTGATGTCAAAGAAAACTGCAAGCGTATCTTACCTGGCAAAACTCAGAAAGAATTAAGTTTATCACTTTGATGTCAAAGGAAACTGCAAGCGTATCTACCTGGCAAGACTCAGAAAGACTTAAGTTTATCACTTTGATGTCAAAGGAAACTGCAAGCGTATCTACCTGGCAAGACTCAGAAAGAATTAAGTTTATCACTTTGATGTCAAAGGAAACTGCAAGCGTATCTTACCTGGCAAAACTCAGAAAGAATTAAGTTTATCACTTTGATGTCAAAGGAAACTGCAAGCGTATCTTACCTTGCAAGACTCAGAAAGAATTTAGTTTATCACTTTGATGTCAAAGGAAACTGCAAGCGTTTCTTACCTGGCAAACTCAGAAAGGATTAAGTTTATTACTTTGATTTTAAAGGAAACTGCAAGCGTATCTTACCTGGCAAATTATGGAATTAAATCCAATCACAAATATTAAACCAACAGCGATTTGATGCATGTTTACAAGAGCTATGTTAAACTGTTATGTGTAGAATAATTATCTCGATCGTGACTATTAAATTCATTGAATCCAATTCGCTGTCTGAATTAATAGTTCAATTCATTGTGTGTAACCACATATCCATGATATCGTGCAAACTATCACGCCTTGTAATTGGAAAAAATGAACGGGGAGCAGCCCTGAGAGAAAATTAAAAAAATATAACTGCAAGAGTTACTTTTCACGAGAAAGTTTACGAATAGATCGCGAAATGAAAGGTGCACGGTATGGTGAAATCTGTAAGGTATTTTATGATATTTTCTTGTGATACGTTTCTAAGGTGTGATATCTATTCAAAAAAGTTACCAGTGTGCAAGTTTTGTTTTTTTATAATTGTTCTACCACATTTCTTTGTACTTTTTATTTTCATTTTAATAAATAGGACATCTATTTTACATAGTACAAGATAGAAATATCATAATCATTTGTCCTTATACTTTACAGTAATTTACACTTTCTATAAGCAATGTTCAAATATACAACACTAAAATTATGTACATCTCTTCTAATCAGTAATACACTTTGATCATGTGAAGTTTTTAACATACAATCTACATTTTTATTTTTTTAGTTAATCATTTTGCTAGATATCAAGCAGTGGATGCTACATGACCTGTTATATAATAAATACTATGACCATTATCATTACTGCAGAATGTATATGTTGCTGCTATTTTTTGAATCAGTTGTCAAAAGTATTCAAAATTATGCAGGATCGAAGGGGAGTAATTTTCAGTTCACTGTAATATTTGATTATTATTTAACACTATTTTGTAACTCATCTTAAATACAGCAATGACATTCATTTAGTGATGAATTCATATGTTCATTTATTACAGGTCGTTTTGACTTCCACTCCTCGATTTTCAACGAAAAAAAGAAAGAGTTTTGTACTCTGGTGGCGTTGCGCCTTTTTAAATAGATCTCACATCATCTTAGAAGGACATCAGTTAAAGAAAATCGTAAAATACCTGACAGATTTCACCATAGGCCTACCTATTCATTTAGCGATTTATTTGTAAAATTTCTCGTAAAAATAAATCTTGCAGATTTGTTCGGCTACTCCCTCCCCCCTCCCTAGGGGCAGTGATATATTCAATTTTTGAGCAAAAGATTACTGGAATGTGATTCTCAGAAGTTTTAAGGGCGGTCCTTGAAATCAAGAAGGGGAGCGGGCAAAAGTTTTGACTGAAAAAATAATGCGAAAAATGAAGGCCTCAATTTTGAAGTTTGAGGCCCAGTTCAACAAAGGTGATCCAATTTAATTTGAAAACAAAAAACACGGTTGTATTGCCTTATTTATGTGGGGAGGGGCATTTTTCTGGGGTGGGGGTTGGTGGGCTATCCTAGAGGGGGTCCTGGACGCGTGTCTCGTCTTCCCCTCCAACCCTATATCCGTCAATGTCAATATTAAAAAATATCAAGGGTTACATGACTTGTTACAAAAGAAGTATTGACTTCGTTAAAAGAAGGGCAGAAAAGCTCGAAACTATTTGAAAATAGGCCGTGGGATGGAAGCAAAGACGTCTATCCACACGGTGATCCATGGGTTATGAGGACGGAAGGTTGTGGTGTGATCTGTGAGCTAGCAAATGCTATGGAAAGCGATATGACGTCATAAGGTATACTAAAATCACGGTGTTAATTCTTAGAATTTGCATTACGTCACACTTAGATCTCTTCAGATTGTTGTTATGTTAAACCAAAACACAAAACTGGATAGGACAAATTGAATATCGTTCATATTTTTTACTATGCTCTGAAATCTGAAGTCTGTATTTCCAGTCAAGCGTGTCTAATCATGGGTGAGTATAATTTAGGTATATTTGTATCTTTTAGAGCATATTTGGTCTTATCATGGATGCTCATTCTGGATAATAATCATAATATACGTCCATGGTTTGAAAAAGACACAACATTTTTATATCAAGACATGACGTCATGAGAAAATTTCGATCTAAGAACCTGCATGACGTCACTATCGGATTTTTTCATATTGTTGTCATGGTGGTGTTGCTATTGATGAATTCGGAAAGAATAAACAAAACGGAGCGGAGCGTATTTTAAAGTCATTGCTTTCAGCTCCTCTAGATCGTTCCACAAATCACTTATGTATACTCAAAATCACTTAATAATAGCTACAAGTTAAAGTATGCATCGCCCAAAGGTTTCAGCTCCAAAATATCACTTGTTGTTTTAAATTAAAACAACAAGTGATATTCCAACGCCCTTAGCACTGTGCTTAGGACAACACGAATGTTTCCCTTTCACTTCGCAGAACTTTTAAAAACTTGTTTCACTTGTGAGGTGTTCCACTTACAGAGGTGTTTCGCTTAACAGCTTCTATTGTATGTTATTTTATGATTTAAACATTTATATGCATTTCAGAATTCATATGCATTTCAGAGAAAAAGTCAAAAGCAATGAACACCTTTGATGAAGAGTTGACTGAAAGACTACAACCATATGTCAATCAGATGCAGAGGATTTTAGATGACCTAACGGAGAAGCTGTCTGAAGATATAACAATGGAGTGGATCCAAGAAGGTGCAAATGATGTCTTGGAGGCCTTGCGAAACACAAGTTATATCGAGAATCCGAACTAGAGCCACACTGAGAAGAGGGGAGTACGTGTTGGTGAAAAGTAAAGTGATGACAACTAATCACTCGATCCATCCACCATTAAAACGAACGTTCAATCATGCGAGACTGCTCGCCATCCTATCCTAGCTCCCCGAATGATATTCCAGATCTCCTGCCAATAGCCTCATCAAGTCATTGATCCTTCACTGGCCTGTGCGAGAGACCGTGTCCTTAAAATTACCTTAAATATACGAAAATCATTTACTACTAGTATGTATTTTCAGTAACGGCTTCTCCACCGTGACCATTACAATTTTGTTTACACTTGTTGCATCAAATAAAAATCTAGTCAAATATGTTTTCTACATATACATTTATTTGTTTTTTATTTACAAGTACGGTAAAATGACCTGTGTCCGTAGAACACGTTTTGTACACGTCTAAATGTGTTCCATCATTTGGAAGGTGTTTCATTTGGAGAGGTTCATTTAAGTCAATTGTTCATGATGGACGTATTCCAAAGACAAAGGTGCTTCACTTTACTAGTTTTACTGTATCTTACCTGTCAAATCCCAATTATACAGAACTAATCAAATTTTAATGTTGTATTATGGAGCCTAGGCCTTAATGTACTATAAAACCTTTCTAAGTGGAACACGTTTGGTACCTCCAATAAGTGTTGAACTTGGGAGGTGTTCTACTTATAGAAGTTCATTTATCATTAAGTCAGCTGGTCTATGGACTTTGAAAACTGAGTGATCCACGCCGGACTGACAGAGGTGTCTTCTACGACTAGTCCAGGTTCCACGTTATAGGTTTCATTGTAATTATTTGATGTAGGGCTTTAAAAGTGACGAAACATTCATAAGGACTTATGATATACAATTAAAATTACATCATGCCGTACACAGGTACATCTTTGGTTCACATCGAACCTTCCATCTCATATTTTCAGTCCATTTGGTCATTCTTTGCTGCCACTTATTTAGCTAAATCGACTTATATTCTAGATGAATTAAATATTGTTCTACATCACGCATGCGCATATTGAGATCAATTCAAAATGGCTTCCGGTCGGAAACTGAGGGAAATATTTGTGGACAATCTCTGACAAATACCGGGATAAATCCTGAGAAAAAAGGAGAACATTTATACAGGTAGGATACACAATACTTCAATACATAATACTATTTTCAGTTATAAGGTGTGCGTGATTCATGATTAGACTATGTGAAATTTTTGTCAAAACAAAAGCTTGGAATTTTTTGGGAAGAGTCAAGAAATTTAACAATCTAAGAAATCTACAACAATAATCGATAAGCTGTAAGTCGTATATTTCACTTCGGCATATTTTCTTGAATTTAACATTAAATGTCACAAACTCTCCCAAACTGCAGAAAACTTTACACCGTAAATCTTATTTACCAAAATGAGTGTCTCCAAGGCTTCATACCAGCGTATGGATAAGTTTAGTGCATTTGTCACGAGTTTGAGCTCACATTTCACTAAAATGAAGTAAGAGGAATCTCCGCCAGGTTTGTTTATTGTGGTTAGCTTTTATGACGTTTATGATTAGTGTGCAGAAGTCGGGTAATTTGGCGGCGACTTAATTTGGTCGACTTAGGTCTCGGGGTTGATCTAGTTATCAGAAATTTACAGCAAACAGGAAATGAAAAAAACATGTAGATTTTAGAATTTTTTGAAGTAAGATAACAGAGTTCTGCTTTGATCTTCAGTCAGTTGTACTACTCCCATATAACATTCACCTGGTCAGGATCACAATGGCCATGGTCAATGACCATTACCATGCTGAAAAAGTTTTTTTCAGCCCTCTGAAAATGTGACTGAAAAAAAGTTAAAAGTTTGTGTTTCAGAAAGGTCACTATGACTGCTGTGATGAGATAGATCTACTCGTGAATCAAGATGATTCAACATCCACAAGGAAATCTTTGAAATACATGAAAACAAATGAAAATGACCACTTTTCCATATGCATCAGCTATATGCATCAGATTCTGACACTGATTGTACTACATTGACAATTCAAATATTGTATATTTATGAGTTATATTCCTTCAACGTCATAAAGATTAAATGTCCAGGAGATTCCCCACTTATTCTTCCAAGAGATTTTACTTTCCATAAACAAAGGAATTGAAAAGTGGAAAATTATACTCTAAGATAGATATTTAAAACAAGGGGTTCTGTCCTGCCAAGCATTTTAGCTAATCAGGCATCGGAAGACAGAGAAATATTTAATCATTGAAAAATATGTTGAGGTAGCCTATAGATTTCTTGTCACTAATGAACTGTACAATATTTTAAGAAGTTAATATTGAATGAAATGATGAAAGAAAGTTTTACAATTTATTACATAGAAGGAATGTTAAAATACTCTCATAAGAGAGGGTTTGTATGCATGTAGGGTTGTGCTGACATTTTCGCATTTTGCCTTGTAGATAAAACACTTAAAATGACAATAAAATACTTTTTGAACATCTTATGACTCTGACTACATTTTATTTGCTTAAAACTCTACTGAGTACCACTTATAAAAACAAACCATGGTAACTAATAAACAAAAGAACTCTGTTTACACTTTGGTGAATTAGTTTTAAAATGTCGCTTTGACATTCCCCACGTTGCTCTGGACATTTTATTTTATTGAATCAATCATGAAATAATATATTTTACAAGACAAAGATAAAATATTAAACCTGGACACTTTGAAATCTCTTAGATACAGCACCTTCAAATAATTCCTACTTGACAATAATGCTCCTCTAATAGTTCAATGCGCCTCATAAAATGTTACACTTAAAGAATTTTATAAAAAGTTACAAAAAATTACAAAATTCAAAAATGTTGCAACCATTAATAAATACAAAAACAAAGAATATGTATATAAAATCAAAATAAAATCTAGAATTTCTCTAAAAATGTTGATAGAAATAATTTGAATTGGCAATACTTATTTATAGATTGTATATGAAGTTCTCTTTTAGGAAGCAAAGACATGCTCTTGAATAGAGTTCCTTGACATTGAAGCACATAAAATTATTAAAATAGAGTCACTGCACACAATATAACTATGTGTATAAAAACAATTACCCTATATTGCTATTTTGATATTTGTGTCAATTGAAAAGTAAATATTTTTAATTCAACCATAAGTATGTTATTAAATATCCATCCCAAATTAATTTGATTTAGGATGGAATCTATTCCCAATAATTTGAAGTACATTTATGAGTTTGTAAATTTTAAACAAACATATCAACAGGTTTTATATTTGGTTAAATCATTAAGTGATAGTTATTGTCCCATGATTCATGAATGAATAATACATATCTTGATGTTGATTGGTTAATTAGAGGTCACATGATTAGCACAATGCAAAGTGGGTACTAGCTTTCTGTGATGGAGTCATCAGCTAAAATTAATCAATAAAATTTGATCAGAACTAGGTGATACAAGTTTTTCACATTTATTTTAAAATTTTCTTTTAATGAACTGACTTTAATTTGGGATAAGTCTGCTGCAAAAGATGATTTAAAAAATCTTTAATCTAGTCATGTGACACATGTTTGGGAATCATGGGAAGAGATCTATGTGGGATAGGTAATTATATATTATATTAATAGTTAAATTAATTAGTTATTATGTCACCACCACAAGTGGTTGTTATTTGGTGGTTGGCTTCTGTATGAAATGGCAGGTGGTGACATTTTGCTGTTAATGCCTTGTTAAGAGTTGTTTTATACACCCAAATCATTTTTGAGAAATATTTAAAATTTATAAATCAATGTATCTAATGACAAAGTTGGAAACATGTTGCGTAGACAATAACCAGAATGGCACAACATCTTGCAAATATTTTGACTGCCTTAATGTGCACAGATCTTAACCTCTGGAATCCTAGACTCTAAAATCGGTTGAAACCAGAGAATTTTTCATTTTTGCCACCTTTTGACATTTAACTATATACGCATACAATTTTAGATGCTCGACTTAGTGACATTAGTCGGCAGAGATCATTTCTACACATTTTAAAACAATTTTTTTTGTAAATTGGTCGAAAATTTTTCAAATAAGAGCAATTTTAGTGAAAATAATTGTGACGAATTTTCTCGTCACTCTGGGTTTCAAGGTCATTTCTGAGGTGACGAGAAATTTCGTCACTCCAGGTAGTCAAGAGGTTAACTATTATGGGTTATTTACACCCTTCAACTGTTATTAACATAACTATAGTTAGCTGTCTGTACATGTTTTTTGCAGTCGTCTTGTGTATGTTCTATATGTATTTCATCAAGAATGTATATAAAAAACTGACATTGATTTGATTTGTTTAGTTCAAATATTGAAAGTCATGTTGTACCTAAATGAATCAGTGGGTGTTTTGTATTTACATGTAGGTAGTTTTACACACCTGTCCCGACTACATGCACATGTACGTGCGATTTGATTATTTTGAAAAAGTTGTTTCTCTTAGAAAGTCTCTTGACATTTTAAGTATAAACATTCAGGGGTTTCACTAGAATTTCTCACAACAGCCTAAATAAATGAAAACAACAGGCAAAATTAGTGGAACATCTTTGGGAAAAAATCCTGTGGAGAACACTATTCAGTACATGTGAGAGTGCCTACTTGTTTTAATGCTGGGAAGATCACTGTCAAATCTTTGATTTCACTAAGTGATCTCCATAAGTTTTGCTCGATCCATCGTAAATCTGACAAAATAAGTAGATGGGGATGATGCGAATCTCAGGCCTGTCAACTTGGGAACACCTAACATGAGTGACTTACAAATGTTGAACATCTTTGCTCAGATTTTGGACACCTTGGTCCAAATCTGAACACTTTGGTCACATTTTGAGCACCTTTGTTCACATTTTATTGCATATAAACTAACTTTGGAGACACCTCAAATTTTTGCGATCACTTCGCTCGCGTACTGTTAACGGGGGGGGGGTGGTAGGTATGGAATATTTCAACTAAAATGCGTGACATATACGGTATCCGCGTGAAAAGTCAGATTAAAATGCATTTGTTTTTTTTCGACATTCGGTTTTGTGCTGTATCAGCGATCATTTTTCGTATTTGCGTGACATATTCTGTCAGGCTAAAAAACTGGCGTGACTTCAAATTTTCCAACAAATGTGTGACAAATACACAAATTGCGGGACAGTTGGACGGCCTGGAATCTGCAAGATCTATATTTTCATGAGAAAGTTTACTATTAAATCACTAGATTTAAACTCTGTCCCAGACTGTTTTAGTTTATGAGTTTTTATCTTTGCAATTAATTGATTTATTTTATGGATTTTCAACGGGGTGGCATTTTTAAATTTCCAACCAGGTGCAGCACCAAAATGCTCCAAATCCTAGATGTTACCATAGTAATCTCTGTTACCATAGTAATCTCTGTTACCATAGTAAACGTGATATGTTTTGGATTAACATTTTTCTCTTTAATTTAGTGCCAACCTTCATAGCATACTGATGAAGAGATACATATCAAGAAGACACGACCAACACTGAACACTGATTCTTTCAAGGTAAGGCGCTTATCCATTCAACTTGAAATTCTTCCACATTATAAGAGCAGCAGACTTTTGCCAAGATCTGATTAGGTTTTGGGCATGCTGGATATAATATGGCAGCCAATTTGCTTTTTTAAGTGCGATGTTTATCACTGTGTGTCAAACTAAAAAAGCCATCTCATCGTCAATCTAACAAACAAAAAATTTAAATATATCAGATTTATAGATGGCAGCATGTACATGTTGACATATCTCAACTCGATAAATCAGTGACATTTGAACCTGTGTGGTTTTGAAATATTTTCTACATATGCGGAATTACGTTAAATGTCTGTCCTTTCAAATATTTTTATCATAAATTTTTTATACAACATTCCTGATGGAAATAACTTAGAAAAATGTATAACGGGACTTCAATAGTGAATACTAGATATTAAAGAATTATGGGATTTTAAGGGAGTTTTTCACGATCAAGTTTTGATTTTATAAACGATTGCTCCTCCTGTGAATTTTTTGGAAGGTTTTAAAGATAAGTCATGAACAGTTGCAGCTTGATGTAAAAATCTGAATTGTCTGGTATTACTCCACCATATTGTTAAAGTTGGGAATGAACCGAATAAGTCAGTTGTAGATAATTTGAGCATGGGTGAACTTGTTTGTTTAGGTAAGTCACTAATTCTTTAAAAATAATTTGAATCATTTAAGATTTTTTTCTTCAATAGGTCTTGTATTTGTTAATCTGGCATTTAACCGAGATTCAAAAAGTCGAGAAAATGTTACCTTCAAATCAGGGGGTTCGAGTGAACCCTTCTTGGTCAAAAATCCTTTCAAAATCATGCAGCTTTTCACCATTCTATAGAAGCACTTTTCAAGTGATTGAAGGACAAAGTTGGCAAATATGAGTATTGAACCCCCTTGGAATTTTTTTGAAAAGTTAATTCCCTTTGACAAAACTGAGGCCAAATCAAGGATTAAGAATCAAATGGTTCAATCTCTAGTGCTAGTCTTGAACAAATGATGTACTGACTTCCAACATTCCAGTTTTATTCTGTGTTCATTTTAGACATTATCTCACTGTTCCACAACTAGTTACTTTGACTGAACGTTACAAGATTTTTGTTTTCTCGATTTAAACTTACTTACAAGTCAAGTATCAGATTATAATTTTTTATAATTAGTCTAGTTTCTTCGATTTGGAATTTGTTTTGTAAATGAATTTGCAATTCATATATTTAGCCCCTTGCTTTTGTTCCATCGAAGAAAGTCCGTTATATTACCAATGTACTCATTTTCATATGGTCATAGGGCAAAGCTCCGCCCTGACGACTGATGCCTGGATAGTCCAGGTCATAAATTATTTCAAATCTACCTCGCTGACCTTTTCTCAACAAATCATCGAACTGGAAGGAACAAGTGCTAAATGCGTGCTCATTAACTCTGTGATGATGTAAGAGGAAGTGACCATATATAGGAAGAGTCGTCTGTTTTTGACGATAAATTTTCATTCGGTCGGTGAGATCAGAGAATTTTATTGTAAATTAGTGTGAAGACGGAGCTCTCTTTTAAGAAGTGAAGTCGAATGAATGCATTTAGGGTACCCATTTCAAAATCTAAAAGGATTGCGGCCCCTGATTATTTCAATGCCAAGGAGATCAAAATAAGCAGCTCACTTTTCACAACTTATATGTAGCTTTTCATTATTTCAAATACTTATCTGAAGATTGACCTTTTTCATATATATCAGAAATAATTTTTTTATACTTTTTAATCGTTAAATCACATAAAGAGGGCGCTCAAATAAATCTTAAGATCTAAACTTTATATCTAATCTGATTGTTCAGTTGACTTGTTCACTTTTGTAACTTGTATTAAGTTTGGTTTGTAGATTGTAATTTCCTAATATAACATTGCCAAAATGCTATGGGCTATTACATGTACAGCCAATATGCCTTTGCACAGTATAGTACAGCATATGATTGCAAGTCAGTGTTACTTGTTCAACGGGAATGATTTGGGAAATTGTGCAGTAATTTCATGATGTGGCTCTTTCAGGTAATTGTGAAATATGCCTTTGCAAAGTATAGTACAGCATATGATTGCAAGTCAGTGTTTCATGTTTAACGGGAATGATTTTGGAATTTGTGCAGTAATTTCATGATGGTGGCTCTTTCAGGTAATTGTGAAATATGCCTGTGCAAAGTATAGTACAGCATATGATTACAAGTCAGTGTTTCATGTTTAACGGGAATGATTTTGGAATTTGTGCAGTAATTTCATGATGGTGGCTCTTTCAGGTAATTGTGAAATATGCCTTTGCAAAGTATAGTACAGCATATGATTGCAAGTCAGTGTTTCATGTTTAACGGGAATGATTTTGGAATTTGTGCAGTAATTTCATGATGGTGGCTCTTTCAGGTAATTGTGAAATATGCCTGTGCAAAGTATAGTACAGCATATGATTGCAAGTCAGTGTTTCATGTTTAACGGGAATGATTTTGGAAATTGTGCAGTAATTTTATGATGGTGGCTCTTTCAGGTAATTGTGAAATATGCCTGTGCAAAGTATAGTACAGCATATGATTGCAAGTCAGTGTTTCATGTTTAACGGGAATGATTTTGGAAATTGTGCAGTAATTTTATGATGGGGGCTCTTTCAGGTAATTGTGAAATATGCCTTTGCAAAGTATAGTACAGCATATGATTACAAGTCAGTGTTTCATGTTTAACGGGAATGATTTGGAAATTGTGAAATATGCCTGTGCAGAGTATATACAATTATGATGTCACCATGACATCCAAATATAGTAAATTATGTAAATTGATCATTCAACGGCTATATCAGGCCAATATATTTCAGATGCTACCATAGCAACAAAATCACATAAGAAAATTTTATGTTAATGTTATTTCAATAACGGGACATGAAAACAGTGATCCTTAAACAAGGCAAATGAAGGGTGAATTGAATAAACTGATACATTTAGCTTTAATTTGGTATATGATTTGTGAGTTCTTATCGACTGGGTCATATGAAGCACTTTTGAAACCTTTGGCACACTAACTAAATAGCGTAAGAACGGAGCTTTAAGAATGCTGGAATTGATCTTCTTTTTAGGAAAAAATTAACTCATGGAATCCATGCTGTAATAAATCATACTTGGAAACAAGGGGTATGGCAATTATTCAGATATTCATAATTTATTTTATTGATCCCATGATCGGTGCCATTAGGGAATACAGACAGCTTTATTCAATTAATGTCTGGTAATTAATATAATTTATATAAGCCACTAGACGCAATCTTATCTGATATGAACAAAGAATTTTTTCTTCAAAACACAATGTATTACTTCGTTGTTTGAATCTGAACAACAATACAATATTTTACTTGGCTCGGTGTATTAAATGCTGATGTTAGCCAAAAAGGCAATATGCTATTTTAAAGTACAGTAGTGATTTAGATTGCAACGTATTATTTGTTGAAATACACAAATTGACTTCAGTTAAACAGATAGCAGGATACAAATAAGTGAAGTAATTGGAAACTTAACTAGGAGACTCCTTAAGGAGAAAATGGGAGCTCTAAGAATGCTGGGATTGATCTTCTTTCCTTAAGGAGACAATGGGACAATGTTAAATAGCCCAGGAGACAGTTTAAAGCATAAAGAGCCGATTTGACTTTTAATTTCAAATAACAACAACATATAGAAATAGTGTACATAGGATGGATGGTAGTTAATGGTAAAGTGCCTAAATTGTAATATTTGGGGAATTCAGCCGTAATATAAAGGCTACCAGTAGCATATGCAGAGATTACTTTGTTGTAAAAAGGCTGAACATAATTTATAATGTTTCATATGGATTAGACTTTGTACAGTCTAAATACCAACGTGGAAAGCCGGACTAATGCTCTCTAATAGATTAGTTGATTAAGTAGAGCTATATTCAGTCAGTAAAAATAAAAAGGACATTTTGTAGGCATGTAAGAGATCATAGCCTAGTATCAGAACATTCCTTTCAAGAAAGCCTATCAGTATTAGTTTGATAAAAACAGAGCTGATAGGAGTATTAGAATAGGTTGCTGGACAGATTAGATGAGTTGGGAACATTATATTAGGTCAGCGAAAATAAAAAGGACATTTTGTCGGCATGTAAAAGATCAGTTCCTTTTGAGAAGGCATATATTGATACATGTACTTTGAAACAGAGAACTGATCTAATACGATATGATGTGTATCATAAGGATTGCTGGATAAATTAGATGACTCAGGAACACTATATAAGTCAGTAAAAATAAAAAGGACATTTGTCGGCATGTAAGAGATCACAGTCTACTGCCAGTTCCTTTCGAGAAGGCATATATTGATACATGCAGTTTGAAAAGAGAGATCTGATACGATATGATATGATATCGATAATGGATTGCTGGATAGATTAGATGACTCAATGGAACTTTTTGAGCTGCAAATTAAGAAAGGGAATATGCCAGGAATAGAGTTTACAGGTAAGGGGAGTGGTTTATCAAGATGGTACAGATTTTATTTTGATTTTTTTCCTAACATTGGAGCATTAGTGAGTGTTCCATCTACTTAAAAGTTTTGAGTCTTGGCCACTGCACATACATGTACAGTACTTGAGATGAAAAGAATCGTGAAACAGTTGCATGTTTTGATCAACTTTAATTACCGTATTCTCTGTAATCACCGCCCACTCTCTAATAAGCGCCCACCCCGCTTCACAAAGTTCAAGAAACATCGAGGAATCATAATAATCCATAATGAATGAAGGAATTGTTCTTTATCAGCATTCAGAAATTTCAAAAGCTACTGCGCAGATGTTCTGCGCATGTCAAGGTCGTGAACTTTCTGGTTTCTTTTTAATGTTTCTCGACTTTTACACGACTTTTGCACGAATAATGATGATCTGTCATCAAATTAGAAATAATGTATAACTTTAGATCGATATCCAGCAGTCTCTAGTGGAAATATTGAAGGTAATCGGCGATAATGACAAAGTGGGCGCGTCGGAAATAAATTAGACATAGACGGGTCTTCAACCACTGTCAATATTGTCTAAGCAATCTTTACCGTATTCTCTCCAATAACAGCACTTGTCATATTATTATAAAAATATGTTGAAGAAAATGCTTTCTTGTCAAGAAAAATTGCCATACATGAAATTCCTCGGGATTTCTGATTTCTTTCATACATGGGCGCTTATTAGAATGGTCTAAATAATGTATTTTCAATTTTCTAAACGCCCTGGGCGCTAATTACAGAGAATACGGTATGTGAGTTTTGTACCCTAGAAAAATCGTAGGTAGAAAACATTCAATGATTTTGCTACTGTTGCTTATTTTGAAGTCCCCCTCCCACTCCCTTCTTTTTTTTCCTACTCTATCGATCATTATCTTAATATTGAGGAAGAGAGGTGGAAAATTGGGGTTTTCAAAGGGACTAATGCAACATAAAGCAGGTTTTCAGTTTAAAGTACAATATACAATTATTGACCTCTCCAGAGGTTTACTGTCAAAATTATATCCCGAGACTGTAAACCGAGACCGTAGGTCGAGGTTTACAGTCGAGGGATATAATTTTGACAGTAAACCGAATGGAGAGGTCTATAATTGTTTTGTTAGTCCGAAGAATATCTTAGATTTTTCTGACCCTTGAAGTTGACTTGAAGTTGGATCCAGACCCTCGAGACGTTCATGTTGTATTTCAGTATATCGGCAGTAAGTTCACTCAATGGAGTCAAATTACTCTCCTGGGCGAAGTCCACTAAAAGCTTTGTACAAAGTTTTAGATTTTTCTTCGTATTTTGACTGTCTTTACTCTCTAAGAGAATAATAATATCCTCATCTTCAACATTTTTGAAACGGCTAGTGCTAGCGGCGGCCATTTTATCGTCTGATAATGACGTCATTTTAGTGGAATGCTGGGAATATTATTCACCGGCAATGCATTGCGTGGTGTACAGTTAAAATTATTCACCGCTCGTTGACCAATCAAAATCGAGTATTTCAACTGAGGTACTAACAATATATAATATTGTGTTAATCATTGTGTCAGAAAATATGACACTAGTTTTTTACTTGAGTGAGGTAATCATTGCTATCTAACAGAAATAACATTTTTGAAGTACTTGAGTAGGCTATACATATTTGATATTGATAAAAAATCTGAATGCGGAGATAAGATTGTTCATAACTGAGTCAACTATTCATTAGAAAGATTGGATCATGAATCGAGCATATAAATTAAATACGTAATTGGATATGGATAAGAAAGTAAAGTTCGAGATATATCCGAATGTTCATTGCTGACTCGACTATTGAGAAGGATTGGATCATGATTGGAGCATATTTATATTTTAGTAAGGAAATAACTTTACATATATTTTATTTTATTTGTATGTTTAACTTTAATTAGAAATAGCATTTTTTAAGTTCTTGAGATTGATATGTATTGGATATTGGTAACAAAGTAAAGTTAGTGATATATAAGATTGATCATTTGCTGACTCATCTATGAAGAAGGGACTGATCATGAAAGGAGCATGTTTAGATCTAGGTATGGAAATAAGTGGTGACATATCGTGTCTCTAACTTTTTCGTGGATCATTTAGGCATTTTGCAGTCAGCATTTGGCATCTGTAACAAATGGCAGGTGATGATATTTTGCATCTTAATACCTTATATATATATATATGTTATACCATGATTTTATCAAATATGGAATTTTGGAATTTGTTGTATTCCTGAAAATTATTTCTTATACTAGGCTACTGTTCATGAATCTGGGAAGTCTTGGTGTAAAGTAGGTGTTTACATCTGTTTATCTTTATATCAAGTGCCACTTGTTAACATTGCTAGTAAATTTCTCTTTCCTCACCCCCCTCCCACTAAACAAAAATAAAAACAAACCGTACTTGATATTTCAAGTTGGAATACATTTTCAAGTTGAAATATAAACAGAAAAGTTTGTATCGACTTAGCTAGCCTATCTGTACTGTAAATTGCAGACTATTATGATTTTAAAATTTTGGGGAAATTTTCGGGCTAGATTTGAGCCATCCATGTCTGTTAATATGATTTACCCACATCCCTATGATGTTCAACATAATTATAACTGAATGTTGGCCAAATATGAGTTGGACAAGGTCAGACCATGTTGGCTTAATTGATTTTATCTTGGCATACCTTGAGATCAGGCACCCTTAATAATGCATAACATACAGCTGAGCCATGATAAAGCTCCCAGTGTGAGATAATCTCGGATATTATGATACCCTTTACAAGAGACAGTTTCCTGGTTGACACTCTTATGATAACCCATGAACCATGTAAACTCAGTGGGGTATCAGGACCTTTCGTTAGCTTTAAATAATGGGGTTGCAGTAAAACTTTATACCCTGGTACCAATCAAACAAGCTCTATACCCAAACACTTTCCCATCTGAACAGCTCTACGAATGAATGCTTTTTTCAGTACCATAGAATACAAGGTGTCTCAAAATCAAAAAAATTTACCCAAAAGTATATCAACAGCACAGATAAACCGATCAATATTTTCAGATATTTTTTGCATTTTCATGTCGCCAAAACATGAAAGTTTTCTCTCCAATACACCATTTTTATTTCAGTCTTGCCTTTTTGATGCTTTAACCCTTTACCTTTTACACCACACAATCAATGTAACCTCGTATTTCGATTGACAGCCTGTATCCTTACTGTTACATTGTTCATCACATTTGATAATAATATCTGTGGGATGTTTTGGATTTCTCTGGGGCTATTTGAAGGACCATTTTTATGCTAAACCCAAGCTAAGAGACCTTGAACAACTTAAGACCAGCATCTGAACAGAAATCAAAACATTCTACGAGAAATATCAAATGTGATGAACAATGTAGTAGCAAGGAACTTCTATAATCGAAATATGAGTTTACGTTGAATATGTGGTGCAAAAGGTAATGGGTTAAAGTATCAAAAAGGCAAAACTGAATTAAAAACTGTGTCTAGAGGAAAAAACTTTCATGTTTTGACTACATGACCATGCAAAAAATGTCTGAAGATATTGATTGGTTTGTCTATGCTATTGATATACTTTTGGGCACATTTTTTTGAGACACCCTATACATGTACCACATTAAAGAAACTCAAAATGCGAACACCTGCTAATCTAATCTGCATACTTTTGCCTGGTTCCAGTAGTGTCCAGATTAGACAGGTTCTACTGTTATATATCTGTAAATATATAAGCATTTAGCTATTTGATGCTCTGTGATTGGTTTAAATCCTTGCTGTTAAATATTCGGTTGTAGTTAGAGGGCGGTGTACTATCTGATGAGATCAGGGTATTATATCAGGTAAAATCTATTAGAAAGATTTACTGGCAGGTTATTTTGTCTAATTTTGTTTGGAAAACACATAAATACTTCCAGACCTTTGCTGAATGTCTTGAGTACCAACTTACAAGGAACATTTTAAGGCTTGTTGAATGTTGAAATTGCAGTGAATTGTGTTGGAAAACAAATGAGTATACAGTATACAATAAATGTACATGAAGTATAACAGAAAAAACTGTTTTAGTGAACCCCAGTCTCTATTGAACCCCAGTCTCTATTAAACCCCAGTCTCTATTGAGCCCCAGTCTCTATTGAACCCTAGTCTCTATTGAGCCCCAGTCTCTATTGAACCCCAGTCTCTATTGCGCCCCAGTCTCTATTGAACCCCAGTCTCTATTGAGCCCCAGTCTCTATTGAACCCCAGTCTCTATTTAGCCCCAGTCTCTATTGAACCCCAGTCTCTATTGAACCCCAGTCTCTATTGAACCCCAGTCTCTGTTGAACCCCAGTCTCTATTGAACCCCAGTCCCTATTGAACCCCAGTCTCTGTTGAACCCCAGTCTCTATTGAGCCCCAGTCTCCATTGGACACCCTCATTTCTCTACTCTTCTGACTTCTGCATAAATTACCCTCTGTAGTGAACACAACCTTTTTTCTTGACAATAAATGTTGAATATACACAGATTTTACTGTACTTTTAAAGTTTTTGGATATCAGGTTATGGAGTGCAAAATCCTTGTAACACTCATGTAATATGATCAAAGCACATGATAGCTTGAGAGTGGATACAGATACAGCTGTCAAATAATTTTTAAATACAGTTAAGATACCATTGTTATTATAATATCCAAGTTTTATTCCAAGATTAAAAGGGGAATCTCTTTTAAACAGTACTTGAGTAAAAGCCAAATCCTAAATTTAGATTGAATAAATAAGGATCTATGAAAACAAAAATTTAACATTGTTTGGATGTATATTTTTGAAATGAGATGAAAGTGCACCTTACTTTATGAACAACCCTCGTATGAACATTTTGAATTATAGGACATTAAAGTTCTAGATTATATAATAACATAATTGTTAAACCATATTGATATTGCAAAATTATATTTACTTTGCCAAATTACTGTATATAACACAATTTTTCTGTATATTTTCAGGAATTTCCACCTGCATAGGGTTTAACCTACAGCATGAAGAAACAAGCAAAGACGCCCGCGTCTTCTGGTAAACCACCTCCTTCAAGCAGTAGCCAATCAAAAGCCCCATTGGAAAAAACTAACCCTGACCCTACAAATGGTCACAAGAGGGCGCCATCTGTTGAGAAACAAGTATCTCCTATTGGATCGAAATTATCGAAAAATCTAAGCAAGAGTCATGACAATTTAGCGAGTACTTTACGTCGAAAAGCAAACATTGCATCGTTGATGCAAACTCGACCTACGTCAAGTCTTGGGATACAACCTGAGAAAGATCTCCGTGGAAACAAGGAAAATCTGCAGTATAAATCAACACCAAGAAAAATGCAACGAAATGGTGCTCCAATACGTAAGGCATCTAGTACGCAAAATATGGATAAAGTAGGTACGCCAGCAAGTGAGAAAACTCCAGTGTCGATACGAAAAGCTTCTAGTACTCAGAATATGACCAAGAAAGGGTCAACGCGGCAGAGATCTTCTGCGCCCGCTAATGTTATGGCTTATAATGCTGAACTTTTAGCCAGTTTTGAAAAAGAAAAAATGGCTCTAGAGCGACGCATCTCTGAACTTATCCAGATTGCAGAAACTAGGAAGGCAGATACTGAAAAATTGAAATATGAAGTAAAAAATCTTCGCGAGCAAGTCCCATCTAAGGATAAAGTTGAAGAGATTGAGATGACAAAATCTGAAAATAAACAACTAAAAGATCGTCTGCTTGAACTAGGAATAAAAATCGAGCAGACAGATGCCGAAAAATTATCTCAATTGAATAAAAATAAATCAGACGATACTGACAATGCTGATGATTCAGGCGATCATCGTAGATCTGATTCAATCGAGAAATCCAACACTGGAACAGGGGATTCGATCGATGATCTCGATAGATGTACAATTGGTACTCCCGATCATCCCTCGTCTATTTCGCTGGATAATTCTAACTGGGATAAACAAAGTAATAAAAGTAGTGAAGCTACGAGTGAGATATCGGTTGCGTGTTTGCACGATCGGATTTTACAAATGGAGGAGACGCATTATAGCACGAGCGAGGAGCTTCAAGCGACAATACAAGAATTAACCGAACTACAAGATACTGTTAACTGCCTCCAAAATGAGAATGATAAACTGGCAGATGAGAGAGCCGTACTTTTAGAATCATTATGCTCACAGACTGAAAAACTTGAAAATGGGCGAATGCAAATTGAGCATTTGAAAAATCTCCTTTGGGGTGGGAGCGATACCACCTGTTCCCCTGGGAATTTATCCGAGAGAGAACTCCAGCTTATTGAGTTGATTAAAAGTGCACAAATTGAGCGTGATGAGTTATTTCTCAAACAGGATGAATTGAGTAGTGCGTTGCATCATTACGAAAGAGACAACAACGAAATGCAAGATGCAGTCACCGCACTGCGCGATAAAGTCCTCATTCTTGAATCTAAAAATGAAAGCATCTCCGCAGATAAGAAAGTACTCGACAAACAATTATTGGAATATAAAGAAACAATTGCCAACGATCAAGTTGAGATTCAACGCTATAAGACTCTTTTGGAAAATGAGAGGTCAAAGGTCGTTGAATTAGAGCAATATCGTAATGCGACTGATAAATCTGAGTTAGAGGAGTTACTTGATAGTGCCAGAGAGGAGAAAGACAGGGCAGAAGAGAAGCTAGCTGATGTACAAGAGAGTCTTGGTAAAGCAATTAACTATTTGTTCTCACATTGTTTATGATGTGCTTGTTATATAATAGGTCATTTTTGAATGGCCAAATTTTTCAAAAAATTTTGTTTCTGAAGCATATTATGTAACAACTTCAACTTCCCTGATTCTATGCTTTGTGTATCTAAAATATGAAAAACGTTTTTATTTCTTTCCAGAACCAAATATAAAAATTGTTTACCTTATTTGTTTCTAAATCAAAATATAAAATGTGTACCTCATTTAGAGGCAAATGTATACCTCATTTTTTAGACATCAAATGATATATAAAACTCTCATTTGTTTTTTAGATTTTAAATGGAAAAACTCATTTGTTTGTGAATGTCAGATATATGATTTTCCCGAATTTTTCTAGGCCACAGTCAATGTGAGGTAGACAAACTAAGGGAAGAGCTATCTGTACTCGAACATGAACTCAACGTCATCAAAAACAACGCAAAAACCGAAAAGAGTGATTTCCGATACAAACTAGAAAAGATGAGAGAAGATAGGAGTGAACAACAGGTGTGGTTTTTTTCCTCTCCTTTTTATGGCACCATCACTTATAGTAATAGTCTCCAACTTTTTGGGGGATTGTGTTTGGTAGTCGACAGTTGATGTTTGGCGTTTGGCATATAGTGGTTGGTGATCGGCATCTGTAACAAATGACAGGTGGTGACATAATGCATATTATTGCCTTGTTAATGATTAGATAAGACATACAATAAAACCTGATTATTACAATATCTCTCTTTACCGACATCTTTTTCAAATATGGTCCCTTTTTTGGTCCCAATTACATCATCTCCCATTGATGTATAACACCTTATTGTACAGATTATTTTGTCAAATTGAGAAATTCAATTTCCCTTCTAAAAAACTTGTCACTCACTCATTCAAACTCACTCAAACTCACTCAAACTCATCCACTTATGATATTGAGTGTCATGTTTGTACCTTGCAGAATGAGATGGATGCATTACGTGAACACATTGACCAATTAGAACAGGACTGTGATGGCTACTTAGAAGAGAAGAAATCCTACAATACATCTGTGCATAAACTAGAATCAGAACTGAAGCTTTATAAACAGAAGCATCGGGACCTTGAACAGGAGCTTATTGATCAAAGGGTAGGTGTCAATCATATATTTGAGGGGTTGGATCATATACTGAAGCTATATAAACAGAAACATCGAGACCTTGAACAGGAGCTTATTGATTAAAGGGTAGGTGTGAGTCATATATTTGAGGGGTGGAGTCATTTTTTTGGGGGGGGGGGGGGTTGAAGAAATTAGTCATATTTTGCACCTTTTCAAAGTGGTATATTGTCATCATCTTGTGCTGCTTTGATGTAACATTTAATTGTATTTTATATGTTTCATAACTCATGACACTTTAATAAAATATATAAATAAACAATGTTCATCATTTCATGCATTCATCAGCATTCTTTGAAGAGCATTGATGAATATTAATGCATGATAAATTTGAAAATTTGGTTGTTGATTGAATAATGAAAATTTCTATTCTTCAGAATTCAAAAAATTAGAGCAATCCTTCAAATTGATGTGCATGCTTCTGTGCATTTATGCCTATGGTAGTCAACACATGAATCTTGTCATCAAAATTCCAGAAAACGTTTACACAATCAGGAGCAAACTTGTGCCAAGATCTGATTAGGTTTTGGGCATGCTGAGTAGATAACTTGCTTAGTGGCCATGTTAAACTTTTACATGAAAATGTGTTATTTGTCACTCTATGTCTTGTTTTTGGTGATCATGTTTAATGGGATATTGCTCATACATGTATATAATAAACAACATGTAAATGCTATTTTCAGATCAAGCATGAGGAGGAAATATCAGACTGGAAGCAATTCCAAAATGACCTGCAGACAGCTGTTGTGATTGCCAATGACATTAAGACAGAAACTCAAGAGGACATGGAGACTCTACAGCAGGATAATGCTGGTAAGGGGCCTAGTTATGTTTTAATGTTCAGTGTTCTACAGCATGATGATTCATATTGATAGGGAGGTCCTTAAGTTACACGTTTTAAAGGCCTTATTTTTTTAATTTTAGGCCAAATTTTGAAGAAAATGGGCCTCAAATTTTCAAAATTTGGGCCCACTTTTCGGTTTTAGGGGCCCAAAATTTTTTTTTCTTTGACCTAAATTTTGAGCCCCCCCCCTGTTGGTTCCTGGATCCGCCACTGGAAGCTATAAGGAAAAAAGTTGAAATTAGGTTCCTGGAAAACCAATTGAAAGGAGGATCCACAGTATTCCCTAGGTGTCGTAATATTTCACATTCATGTATGAGTTTTCTAGAAATAGCATGTAGCTTAACCTCTCTATTGTATTTTCCCCTTGGGATGAATTCAATGAAGGCTCAGACTCTCCTCTTCAATGGTATCACAAAGATCACATTTTTGTCTAAATTGTTAAGATTAATAAGTATAGTGTGCAGACAGTATAAAATTATAGGATCTATAAATGTAAATATTTTAGTTGTTATACAAAATAGATTTTATTTTTGAAGTCTAGATCATACAATGATAACATTTCTTGTGTATTCCAGATCTGAGAGAGAAGGTTGAAAAGCTTTCAGCTGAGTCTAAATCCCTAAAAGATGAAAACGAACGTCTTAAAGCTGGCAATAAGTTAGCTGACAATACGGGAGCACGAGATCGAGCAAAAACTATCCTTGATCGTGAACTTGCTGCAATCAGAAGCCGTAAATTAAGTTCCACATCAGATGGGAAAAAGAACGAAAATGCGAGTGTGAAAACTTTGATCGCAAATCTTGAGGACAAACAGCCCTTGTCGCCCACAATATTGTCTTCTCGGGAAGGGTCTTCAAGGCGAAGTTCCGTCGATAGCAACATCAGTACAGGAAGTCTCAAAGTGCCCGATTCTCCCTGTAGTCCAGTGGCACCCTCTACCGCAGAGCTACGTAGAAGTAGCGCACCGGGTGATACTCATTTGAAATCAAAAATTAATATGAGATCTAGTACCGATAGTAAACCTCCGATAACACATCGTCATACATACTCTGACGCTATCTATGAAAAGTCACCCAAAGGAAAAGCAAAGCCCGAAGAAAGTAAGCCAGTGACACCTATTGGGAAGACTTCAAAGTCAGAAACAGATGGAGGAACACCTAAGAAATCACCAGCACTGACATCTATACTTGCAAACAAACCCCAACTTAGTTCAGTGAGACGAAATAGCATCAGGTAATTGCATTGAAGTTATTTCAGTGCATTTTTATATGCTCCAGTTAAATTAATTGATGTGTATAATTGTTCAGCTTTAAAATTTAATGGGCATTCTGGGTAAATGCAATTTTTATTTCTGAAATGTCTAAATATACTATTAGTTTGTCCTTAGAAAAAGAGAAATGTCATTTAATCATAACATATATTTTAACGTCATTCTTCTTTACATTACAGCAACTGTCATAAGTATTATTCCACTAATTTTCACAATATTAATTTCATTACATTTTTATCGCACTTTGAAAAAGTGCTATATTGTTGTCGTCTTGTGCTGTTGGGCGGGCGGGCGTGCGGTCGTGCGGGCGGGCGGGCGTGCGGGCGGGCGGGACATAAACCAAATCTTGTCATCAAATTTCCAGGATAACTGCTTACCTGTTCAACTTGAAATTTTTACAGATGCAAGAGCAGACTAGTACCAAGATCTGATTAGGTTAAGGGCATGCTGGGTAAACTACGTGGCGGCCATTTTGAATTTTTCAAAAAATCTTGTCATCAAAATTCCAGGAAAACCACTTATCCGTTCAACTTGAAATTTTTACAGATGCAAGAGCAGACTATTGCCAAGATCTGATTAGGTTTTGGGTATGCTGGCTGAATTACATGGTGGCCATTTTGAATTTTTCAATTTGGCGGCCATTTTGAATTTTTCAACTTGCTCCAAATTGACCAAATTTTTTTTTAAAAAACATCTACAAGTTCTCAGAAGTTCGAATCTGACCTTAGATTTTAGATTTGACCTTTCATTCACCTTCAGTGACCTTGAAAAGGTCAAAAAAGTTGATTTTCTAAATTGATATTTTGGATTTAAATTTAGGTCAGCTTAATTACAAAACACCTACTGAGGTCTGAAAAAGTGAAATTTTCAAGGTCGAAGGTCAAGGTCATTAAACTAGGTCACAAATGATGTTATCCAAGTTTCTCAAAGTTTGAGACTACAAATCAATTCTTGTCATCAAAATTCCAAGAAAACCGCTAACCTGTTCAACTTGAAGTTTTTACACATGCAATAGCAGACTAGTGCCAAGATCTGATTAGGTTTAGGGCATGCTGGGTAAACTACGTGGCGGCCATTTTGAATTTTTCAACAAATCTTGTCATCAAAATTCCAGGAAAGCCACTTATCCGTTCAACTTGAAATTTTTACAGATGCAAGAGCAGACTATTGCCAAGATCTGATTAGGTTTTGGGCATGCTGGCTGAATTACATGGTGGCCATTTTGAATTTTTCAATTTGGTGGCCATTTTGAATTTTTCAACTTGCTCCAAATTGACCAAATTTTTTTTTTAAAAACATCTACAAGTTCTCAGAAGTTCAAATCTGACCTTAGATTTCAGATTTGACCTTTCGTTGACCTTCAGTGACCTTGAAAAGGTCAAAAATTTGATTTTCTAAATTGATATTTTGGATTTAAATTTAGGTCAGCTTAATTACAAAACACCTACTGAGGTCTGAAAAAGTGAAATTTTCAAGGTCGAAGGTCATCAAATTAGGTCACAAACAATGTTATCTAAATTTTCCCAAAGTTCAAGACTACAAATAAATTCTTGTCATCAAAATTGCAGGAAAACCGCTTACCTTGTCAACTTGAAATGTTTACAGATGCAAGAGCAGACTAGTGCCAAGGTCTGATTAGGTTTTGGCCATGCTGGGTAAATTGCATGGTGGCCAGTTTGCTCTTCAAAGTGCGATATTTATCACTGTGTGTCTTGTTATTATTAATTGTTGTAACTCTCAAGAATAGCTATTGTAAATTCACTTTATCTAGATAAAGTAAATCCTGTATATCCAAACCTCTGTTTACTGTGAACAGCTCTCAATGTGAACACTTGTTTGGTTCCATTTTTGTGTCACCACTACAAGTGGTGACATATTGTTATATTTTTTTTACTTTTTTGGGGTTGGTGTTCGGTTGTTGGTGGTTCTGTTCAGTGGTTGGCAGGTGGTTTAGTTGTTTATTTATAAATGCAGTGAATCCAAGAAAGCTAAATAAGAAAAATAAATCAATTTGTACAATAAATGATTTTAGATGAAATAAAACAATAATGTTTATTCATAATATATTCTGATATTGCAGTGAAACTGAGAAAGACCCGCTTGCAGAACTAGTCAAGAAAACTGGGGGCTCAAAGCGCAATGCTCTCCTCAAATGGTGCCAGAGGAAATCTCAATCATATACAGTACGTTGTGTTATTCAGTTGTGCTAGTTATCTGCAGAAATGCCAAATTAAATAGACATTAAAGTGTCCAATACTAGTACTCAAAAACATCAAGTTAAATAATGGCAAATTAGACAAACATAGGCAAACATAGCAAAACAACAATCAAAATGTTTTACACATTATGAAAATTCAGATTTATTGAAACACATGTACGGATCTTTTTGTAGAATATCGATATAACAAATTTCTCAAGCAGTTGGAATGATGGACTTGGATTCTGTGCAATCATACATTCCTATCTCCCTGATAAAATACCATATAAGGAGTTAAATACAGAGACAAAACGGCAAAACTTCACATTGGCGTTTAAGGCAGCTGAAAGTGTCGGGATTCCTTCTTTATTGGTAGGTTTTGTTTTGTTTATGATATTTACATATGGAAAAATGAATGATTCTTGACAAAGGTCCAGTTTAAATCTTCAATAATATCCTAGGAAAAGTGATTATCGAAAAACTCTAGGGATGTATTTTCATCACACTTTGAAAAAGCACTATATTGATGTTTTCTTGTGCTGCTTGGCATGCCCACATCTGGTAAATTAAATTTGCTCTTCAAACATGTCAAAGTGTGATATTTATCACTTTTTCTTGTTATAGGGTATAACATAAGACACATTCCAAAAATTAACATATAGGCGAACTGGATGAGTGATAGATTAAATGTGATTATTATGTACTTTCAGCAAGTCAATGATATGGTTGCTATGGAGAGACCAGATTGGCAAACAGTTATGGCGTATATCACCAGCATTTACAAACACTTTGAAATTGACAGCAAATGATGTGTCAAGGTCAACAATGATGTGTCAATATTAACAATTGATGTGTCAAGGTCAACAATTGATGTGTCAATGACAACAGGGGAAATGATGCGCATCAGTGATTAATTCCATACAGCCTCGAGACGAGATCGGTTGACCCTTATGGTGTATATAATATAATAACAACACCATCAGGAAATGATGTGTCAAGGTCAACAATGATGTGTCAACGTCAACAATTGATGTGTCAAGATTAACAATTGATGTGTCAAGGTCAACAATGATGTGTCAACGTCAACAATTGATGTGTCAAGATTAACAATTGATGGGTCAAGGTCAACAATTGATGTGTTAAGACCAACAATTGATGTGTCAATGGCAGCACAGGAAATGATTCTGTGATTTCACAAAAATACCAGATTGGTTGACCTTTATGGTGTATATTACCATAACTACACTGTCAGGAAATGATGTGTCAAGGTCAACAATTGATGTGTCAAGGTCAACAATTGATGTGTCAAGGTCAACAATTGATGTGTCGGATTCAAAAATTGATCTGTCTTGGTCAACAAATGCTGGATTTAACTCTACACTGGCAGACTTTTACGACAATTATATTACCAATATTTATATACACAGAGGTCAACAATTAGTATGCCAAGGTCAACAAACGTTAAGTCTGTTAAATTATACTGTGTAGAGGTCAGCAATTGAATTGTGCCTGGTGTGCTTGTCATTTTAATGTTCCGACAAACGTGAAGCACAAATTGTATCTAGGTCAATGGATAATGTGTAAAGGATACAGTTGCTATGGCAACACTTAGATCTATCAAACAATCATTGTATTGTGAATTTCAATGTATAATATGTGAAGGTCAACGAAGGTCAAGGGTGAGGAGCCACTATACTGCCAAACAAATAACAAATGCTATATATAGTAATGTATTTGCTTCAACGAATGATGTGTCAAGGTCAACAATGATGTGTCAAGATTAACAATTAATGTGTCAAGTTAACAAGATGGAAATGACACATTAAGGCATGTAAGGTTCTCAAACAATATTTATTAAGAGGTCAACATAATTGCCACTTTACGAAACATAACCATATTTTAAGAAATAATTATAACCTGCAATTTACACCATTGAAACAAACAAACAAACAAGCAAACAACCTTTTCTGTAAAAATTAATGCTTGAAACAAATCCCTCATCATCTGTAAATAAGTGACATGGCAATTGTAAATTTTTAAAAAATGAACGTCCTCATAGATTTTAAAGATAATTTATTCACTTAATTTATGTTAGCAATATTTCCAAACTTATCATAGAAAAGAAGATCTGTATTAGGTTATTGAGGGTGAAAGTCATTGGGTGTTTTAATCTTATATTTTTAGAATCAGTTTTAGGGAGGCCCACTGTGAGCCCTGTTAAGAGGACATTCATTTGTAATATCAATTGGCCCTCTTGTGTTGGCGTCATAGTTGCATTATATCCATCAACAAGGCACAAACACAAAATGTAACCAAAGTGTAACCACCTGGACAAGTGTAACAGTTGTTACAGATGTGTAACAACTGTTACAGATGGTGGATATTTGAACCAACACTTTTGATAGTGACATAAACACTAACAGATGACAATACTTGTGCCTGAAGCCTGTTTAAGTGGAACACTTTTGTACTTTACAACTGTGTTCTAATTTGGCAGTTTTGAGATGTTCCACTTGGAACACATTTATACTTTAAAATTGGGTTCTAATTTGGAGGTGCTCCACATGTAGTACAGAACACAGAGGTTCGTTTTATGCTAAGTTTAAATGTGTTACAGGACTTGGGGGAAAAGTGTTCCACTTTTAGAGGTCTTCTAATTGGTAATACTGTATATGTTGTATACTTCATGAAATAGCTAACCACTGCCACAGATCCGGAGCCAGATCCAGCCCCTATTGGTAGTAGGCTCAAAGGATATATGAGTGTATCTCATACTTGAGTGGGTTTGGGGTAGATATCACCTGGGAATATATATCGTATCTGAGGAGCGGGCAGGATATATTGTATATGTCCCGCTCCATGCCAAATGCGGGCAGATATAATATATCCATCCCGCTCCCGGGAATTTTTCAAAAGTTTAAATATCAAAAGTTTTAATTTTTTAATTTTAAAATTTAATTTTTTTAAGTTTAAATGTTACAATTTCATTGTATTGAACAAAAAGAATATTACGAAAATGTTAAATGTAGATATATTGTCATTTGAAAAGGGTGAAAAAGGTTATATCTTCCCTAAACCCACTCAAGTATGAGATACACCAGTTATGCACGGTCGGTTTGGATACATGGAATATCCCTTGGGATATACAATACATCTTCCCTCGGTCCATTCGGTCCCTCGGGAAGATATATTCAGATATTGTATATCCCTCGGGATATTCCCTGTATCCAAAACCTCCCAGTGCATAACCCCTATATATTTATTGAGCCTAGACACGGAGGAGCTTATCTGGCAGAGGTCCGTGACCACTGCTAGCTGTAAAATGAATCACGAAAACAAGCTTACGATACAAACTATCCAAATTATATTTACAACAAGCAAGATCATTAACTTGTGTTTTAATATATATTTACAAGGTGTTCAAAAAAAACGCAACCCAAAGAAATCGCTATATCTTGGAAAATACTAATGCAATTATGTTCATTTTTTCAGGAAAGGAAGAAGAGACTGTGTATGTGTAGCTCCTGTAGTTGGTTAGTTATAAAACATGATGCCTTAGACACCTGCTGAAAAGACATTAATATTGGAAAGATACGAAAAACGCAGTCAGGGGTGACCGCCACAGCAATAAAACTGAATAACTTTCTAATCATAGTGTTTTAGCTCTTCAAATTTGGCACAAATCATCCTCATTTAAAGTATGGTAAATCTGGAGAGTGAAATCAAAATCACTCCAGGGACTTTACAGTTATGGTCGAAATGCGTTCAAAACGCCCTGGTTCAGGCAGACTTAAGAACGTATTTTGACCATGACTGTAAAGTCCCTGCAGTGATTTTGATGAAACTCTACAAATTCACCACCCATTGAATGAGGATAATTTGTGCCAAATCTGAAGTGTCAAAACACTATGTTTAGAAAGTTATTCAGTTTTATTGCTGTGGCAGTCACCATTGACTGCGTTTTTCGTATCTTTCTAATACTAACGTCTTTTGAGCAGGTGTCCAAGGCTTCATGTTTTACAACTAAATAACTACAGGAGCTCTACATGCACAGTCTCTTCTTTCTTTCCTGAAAGAATGAGTGCAATTGGATAAGTACTTCAAAGATATAGCGATTTCTTTGGGTTGCGTTTTTTTTTGAACACCCTGTATTTATAATGACAAAGGTCCAAGAAATATCATCCTGACCTACTGCTGCAGCTTCTTTATTAATTCATCTCACCAATGTACCAGGTGAGGTTAATATGCCCAGGTGAGGTTAACATGACCAGGTGAGGTTAATATGCCCAGTTGAGGTTAATATGACGAGGTGAGGTTAATATGACGAGGTGAGTTAATATGCCCATGTGAGGTTAATGTATCCAGGTGAGGTTAATTAATGCCCAGGTGAGGTTAATATATCCAAGTGAGGTTAATCTATTAACCTATTGTCTCTTGTTTCAAGCTGAGAATTATTCAACTGAATGAAATTTAGTTAAATCTTAGGTCACATTGGTAAAAGTCACATTTGTAAAAAAAAGTCACATTAGTAAAAAGTCATCTAAAATATGTCTATCAATAGTTCATAGTAATACAAGGTGGCCATAAAGTCTCTTTACATACAATACTATGTATAAGTGTAGACATTTTATGAACACTATCTGTACATTGTCATATTTGGCTCTAAGTCTGAACTTGTTGTTGTCTTAGCACAAAGTGTTGGGCTCCATCTAACACTGAGCGAAGCGAGTGTAGTATAAATGCATGGATCAACAGTTGTAGATTTTTTGCTTTTTTATTTTGATACAGTTTATAGACTTGTTAGCAATTGTTTGACCACAAAGTACATGGATAATTTGAAGGCCTCGGTTACATTGGGAAAATCTGATTTTGTACAGATATGAAATGACTATAAAACTTGGTGGAATGTTCATTAAGATTACCTAGAGTAGTTTCACATAAAATTCTTTTGTATGGTTATGATTTCAAAGAGAAGTACAGGGAGTTTTCTGTGGCTTATTTATTAGTTTAATCTCCTTCTCACTGTCATCATGAAGGCTTGCGAATTGACAGCTTGTACGCAGGACTTTAAGAACTTAAAAATGTAATAAAGCTATTGTTTGTAATTTTCCATGATTTATTTTATACATTTATATACTCATTCTGAATTCTTGGACTTTTATGAAATTATTTGGTTTAATTTGGCACCTGCTTTAGTTTGGGTAGTCTTGCTTCAAGACCCCCTCCCTTACTTAAACAACCTGGTGAAGTAGATAAGGGAGGGGGTCCAGTCCAGGGTCTTGAAGCAAAACTATGATTTGGGGTTCATCAACAAGATCTCCAGTGTAAATACATGTATGTGTCAGTTTTCAGTTTACAATATGGTGTTTTGGGGGATTTTCACAACATCCCATATTGGGTCTAACTTTCTAATATCCCCATAATTGACCCAGGTTGGGAAAATTGTAAGAATCTTTTGAAATATCCAAGAAATGGTGAAAACTAGCACCAAATTAACTCTTTTTACAGTTTGTAACTAATTAATATGAGTTCAAGTTTGTACAATAATTTGCAATAATGTACATGTAGTCTCATTTTTTGTAATTGTATACTTATGTACATTTTAAATACATAAACATGTACAACTCTAAAATTCTTTGTTTTACTTTGAAACGAAAAGCGTGTTTCATGTATGTATTACCCACAATTCAATCCACTGACCCACAATGCCATCTGCTGTATTTTTTTATCGCACCCTTTGGGTGGTATATTGTGATCAGTTTGCTAGGCGGGTAGACGGGCGGTAATTTTGTCTGCCACGATCCCCGGGCCACGATACATGTGTTTTGTAATGTAAATTGCATACGAGCGAGTAGCCTAGTAGTGATACGTGCAGTGAAATATGTTATTGCGATAGTGTCATGTTCCTGTTATTTCAAACCCTGTACCATTTGTTCATCAATCGTTTTGTGATATTTTATAGTCACGAATTCGCGATACACTATAACATAAACTTTCATTGTCTATGGCTGTAGTTTAACATTTATTACCTTCTAGACTGATATAACGGATTTGAGTGTAACCCTACACATGGCTCTTTGATGAAAGCACATCAAAGTATTCATTTGAGATGGTATTTTCAGTTTTATTTTCTTCGATATATTAGACTTACTAGTATTATTGATACATGTTCGCATTAGTATATATTCTGCCAGACCTTTGTGGCATGCTTTGATAAAATGAATTCACACTTTAGCTAGGGAAAGTGTGGCCAATTCCAGCCAATCAGACCACACCATTTCACGTAACTGCTTTCAGTAACATAACCAATAACGCATTTGCTGTATGGTTGTCAAGGTGAGGAAATTGAAATTGACGATTTGCCAACTTGACCCTTGCAAAAAGTTTCATGCTGAATATGTTCTTTTAGGTGATTATTTAGAAAATATTTTGCAATGTGTGAAAAGAACCCAAAACTCAATTTATTTTGGCTGCTTCATTCCACTCAGGCGTTAATTCCTAGACGCGGGCCTAAACAACACCCTCGATGGAAATGATTCAGTATGCAATGCATGAGTCTAGGGCTTAAATCTCTAAACAATCACCTCTAGATTATGTAACTCTCGGGTTTCTAGCCTGTGATACGCGATATAACTAATATATGGATATGATACATGATTCTTTAAAACTTTCGATGACTGATTGATTAATAGTTGTTCATTGATATGGTTTGCAGGGGTTTGTGAAATGATATATGCCTGCTGAGTTTAATTGTCCAGATGGGATTTTTATATGAATTTTACAGCTTTTTATTAAGTTCGAACAAATCTAACAATGATTTGGAACAATACGTTAATGGTTTATTGAATGATCGTTCGATGTATTATAGTGTATCGTGTTCCATGTAGGTTTGAAACTCGTGAATTAAGCATTAAATTGAAAACGTGTAGATTATCTGGTATTTCAATATGATAATAATAGGGTCGTTCAAAATGTTTTACACGAAAACCTTTTAAAGCAAGGACATTCATTTTTGTGATGATGATAACGTCATCTAATAATATTTATGATAGATCATATCTAGAGACGTCTACTTAAAATTGAATTTTGCATGGTGGTGACTTTGCGCTTTTTAAATAGATCTCAGAAGCATATCAGTTCAAAATATCATCGAATGGTGGGGTAAGGAAAACACTTATGATAAAAGTGGCGATGTAATTTGACTTTATTTCTTACAACTCCAATTTTTTCTCGATTACAATAGGTCGAAAACTGACGACAAAGTTGACTACTTTTTGAGAATCATCATTCCCATGTAAACCAATGCGAAATGGTGGGTTCGGGGCAAATCAAAATATATTCAATAAAAGATCCATCAAAATATTTTTTATAGACAATTACATTTTCTAACTTTTTATCACGCTAAGCATGCCCATAGCCAGGATTTGCCAAGGGGGGGTTCATTTTTCAAAAATTTCCAGGGGGGGTTCACATTTGACAATTTTGGCCCAAATATGGCTAAAATCACTTGAGAAGTGCTCAAAATGGTGAAAAACTGCATGATTTTGAAAGAATTTTTGGCCAGGGGGGGTTCGCCCGAAGTATTTAGGTTTCTTTGTGAACATTCAAGTAACAGAGCTTCAAAGTCATTGTTGGAAATCAATTTTCGTCTCCTGTGTTAGGGTTGCCAAACTTTTGGAGGAGAGTGTACCTACCAAATATGAACACGTTTATTTTTATCATAGTTATATTATCATATTGTGCAAAACTTTTTGAATAACCTTAATTGCATGTATGTTCACACGTATACTTGTACGGCAACGTACAGTAAAAAACGTAGTGTATTTCTGGATTAGAATAAATACAGGGATATCAGGTCATTCCTTTGTATTTTCGGTTGGAGCTCGACGAGTAAGGATCACTTTGCGGAGCAAGTAAGTTTTTTGCAAGTTGCTGTACGTCATAAGTTTTTTTCGTTAGAACATCAGTCATGCATTTGCATTGCTTGGATCGTATATCATATTATCTTGTGTTTTCTTAACAAAATGATTAGGTTTAAAATGTTTCGATTTTTATGTAAATCCTTTCAAGCATCTCAAGTCAACTCAGGTTTAGGCCTACAATAAATACAAATATTGCAAAAACTAAATCATTTTGTAATTGGTACATGAAAAAAAAATACTTCTTGTGTTTTAGGATGAAACAATTGATCATTTTGTCGTTGCTTTCTGTCACATGTGCAATTGCTTTCGGCGAGGAAGGCTTATATAGAGAAGGGAGACAACTGCAACAAATTTTTAACCAATGTACTTTCTTCGATAAACTTGCACGATTGGCAAAGAGTTACAGAACGCTTCCAATTGCTGATTTGATTTTCGAGGCTACGGCTGTTTCTGATTTAATGCAGAGATACAGGGCGCATCACATCCTTAAGACGTATGTAAGCGTTTTTAGGAAATTCGTCACCCCCAACGTGAAGCTATTGGCGGGTTTCTTGGTTGAGTTTCACAGTGCACGTCCTAAAATGGTAGACGCCTTGGCTAAAATCACATTCAATAATGCGGTTAAAAACAAAGGTCTCGCTTTCATGAAGGTTTCGCTTCCATTCTATACACACGGATCTGAGATGTTAAAATTTGAAGAAATTTCAACATTTGGCTTGGGAAGTGTCCTAAAATCTGGCGTACAACTATCAAAAATGGTGAAAAAAGCAATGAAAATATCCAATTCCAACGAGAAGACGATACTAAGTCAACTAAGCAAAAGCATTTTACCACTGACGAAAACTGCGAAAACGGGATGGAAAGCTTATGGCCGAATAAACAGCGGATTCAAGAAGATATTAGCATTAATTAAAAAGGCAGGCGGATCTAGAAGACGTAGTGTGCGAAGTACAAGTGGTAGGTATCAAATCACTACTATCCAAGAACGTATATAGTTTATAACATTAAGAAAAAATCGGCCTTAAATGTAAGATTGTCATCAACATTTTTCTCTGTTTCAGATGATTGCATCGACTGCATGTGTAAGGTAGGCTTTAATATCATATGTTATAAAGGAAGATATATCATCGATATTGTCGTATGAAAATGTACGTAACTGTTATTTCAACTTGACCCCCCTCATTACGTAATTTCTTGTAGGCATCTGGTTGCGAGAAATATCTTGGTAAATGTACCAACGACGGTGGGACTTGGAGATGTGGTCCAATGTGGATAAGTGAGGCGGTTTGGAACGAATGTGGAAGACCGAAAGGAGGTAGGAAAAATAAATTTTTTAGCAACACACAACATAATCTAGTGATATCTCTGTGCACAGATCAAATGACAATGAGGAAATATATTGAGGTTAAGCTGAACTTCTCAAAAGATTTCCAAGATGGCCGAAATAGGAGGCACATGTTTTATTAGTATATTTTGTCCATCAAAATTTATGTCTTTCAATCTGACTTTTTCTCAATTTTGTTGGTTCTACCTATCATTATATGACCAGGCTCACTGAGGTAATAGAACAGACAAACGGAGGAAAAGAATACCTTGGGAAAGGTCCATGGATAATTCTTTTGAAACTTCTCAGAAAGGTCACTAATATAAGCCCCTAACCTATCGAGCTTTAGAACTTTGATTTTTTTCTTTAAATTGAAAAGATAGGCAAATGAAAACTGTTCTGAGAAGCGCATCTTTCCCTTCTTTAGGCCGCCAATTTTGTCGGAGGCAATGTTTCCTAAATGCGTCGTTCGTTCACTTTTAATATTTGTTTGAAGAATATTTTGTGGAATTTTCAGAAATTTTGGGTCCGCGGTTTTCACGTATTATTCCTTTGACAATATTTTTTTTATCAAACTTCAGGTTTTATTGTACTTTGCAGTATTCAGTTTTAGTATTTATAATGATAATATTGCATAAAAATCTATGAGACAAAAGAAATGACTCCCCAGGCAGAGTTCCAGTCTTGGATATTTTTCAAATATTTTGTTCACTTCCACTTTACCTTAACGATTTGGTCCCTTTGGCATTGTGAACTGAAACACCATTGGCCAAATATTGTGCCACAAATCAAAGAACATCGGTTATTTATATACTTCGAATCGTAATCAATGTGATGCTTTTTTCGACATAATGAACGTTCATCTCTATTTCAGATTGGAAGTCCTGTGCGAGGGATTCTGTTTCTTGCACAAAGCAGTGTGTGAGGAACTACCTTAATAAATATAGAACACGCTGCACGGGGAAACCTGCCGACCAAATTACTTGTGAAGAAGATGCGAAACTTTATATGGCAGGTCCACCAAATGGATGCAAAAGTACAGCGTCCTGGGCAACAAATTATTGGAACTCCGTTAAAGAATGTTTACCCGTATCAAAACCATGTAAGCAAACGTGTTTCCATCTTTATAAGATATGAGGCAATATTGGAGTAGAGAATTAATCAAACTGTATTATATTGTTCAAAACTAATAGGCGTAGCCGGGGGGGGGGGGGGGGGGCGATAATGCGATCGCACCCCCACCCCTCATAACCAATAAAAATGAAACCATGAGAAAGAGGAAGAAAAGAGCTTTAATGTCAATATTAGACGTAATTAAATATGTTTATAAGTGTAATCTTATTTTAATTAATCTTCATTAAGTAAACAGAGTATGTATGATGTATGAATACATCGAAAATTCGTAAATCTCAACATTTTGTTTTGTCAATATTAGACAATATACGATATAATTTATCTATTTGGATTGTTGATAAGACTTCAGGTTCACTTTTTAGATGAACGAGAATCAATAAATGGATTGAACTGTGCGGAACCTCAGTTTGAACCTGGTTGCCCAAAGTGTGGTGACAAAGGGACGTGTGGTAAAGTACTATCGAGGAGGACTTTTTGCAAGTGTAACCCAATGTATTACGGTGAACTTTGTACATCCCGGTACACAAGTAAGAATTGGCTTTAAATATAAAAAACGAAACGAAAAATTAGTTATGCATATAATGTAGCTAAAAGATTATGATAATCTAAATCTGTAAAAGTCTCGAAATCACATAGATCTATTTGTTTACACGTTCAGTAAGTATAGGCTCATCCCGATATTAACTACCGAATGAAGAAAGATATTTTGGTTAAGGAAATGATATGGCAGAATGTGAAGCATGGGGAGACGTGCATTATGTAACATTTGACAACGCCACGCTTGATATTCAAAATGAGTGCGAAGTTCAACTGGTAAACGGTTTTGGAATAGAACCACATTTTGAAGTTAGATTATTACCTTATAAAAAAAGTCCAGGTGCTGATGTTTCTTTCACTAAACGAATTACCATTATTACAAGAGACAAAACAAAACAAACTTGGATCGAAATACTTCATAAAGACGATAAGGGGCACCACGTAAAGGCAAGTACATAATTATATGCTTGGATCCTATGGGACAGGGACCCTTTTGTTTAGTGAATTAGTCAATCGTTTTTTATTGACGAACAAGTGCATGATAGAGGAGTAGCAGTGGAGGAGGTGGAGGTGGGGGCCAATTTCTTTTTTGTGCTTGCTGGGGAAATGTTTAGTGCAGGGGCCTTTCTTTACTTGATGCCTGACACGACAGGCTGACAGGGGGAACAGTTTGGTGGAGAGGGCAATTTCTTTATTCGGTGCTTGATACAGTGGTAAAAGTTATATAGAGGGGGGAAATGTAAACCACTTTGACTTATTTTAACCCAAAATGTGATATGTGAAACTTATTTTTTAATCTGAGTTTATTTTTCGTGAATTTATATAAAACTAAATTGTAGAGGTACCGCGTTAAATGAGCGATACTTCACCAGTTCACGCCAATGAATAGTATTCATCCTCACGAGTATTTTGTCCAAAATCTAAGAAAATTGGTTGATAGATAAGCGAGAAATTAACACAACCATGCTTGAAAGTGGTTCAGAGAATTTCACACGATTCTAACTTGAATTATGAATGTTTTCTGATCATGAACACAAGTGTGTCTTTTAGACCCATTCTTTATCTTCAAAGAAGTAAATTAAGTTAATCAGACCTAGGTGATATTAAAGAGGCAATGGACCAAACAACAAACCTTTTCAAGATTGTAATCCATAATCATAATCCAAGATATAACCGTCTGAAATTGTTTGCGATAACCAAACCGAACCGTTTAGTTAGAAACCAATTGTTAATCAATATTTATAACATAATATATTCTTCTTTTCGAGCGAGTTAGACAACCAACGAACATTTTAAAATTTAGTATATTCAAAAATAATATTTTTTATTTGAAAAATGGCGAGAAATTTGAATATTTGAGAAATTAAAAGCTGACAATTATTTTCAATTTTTTTTCCAAAATCTCTAAAATAACTTTTAAAGTCGTGAAAATTGGAAACAAATGACGGAAACAACTTTGTATAGGAACTTTACTAATAATAACTTTTAAAATTATTTGATCTGAAAATGTAATTCCTACGTTTGGTCAGAGACATGTATTATGTCTCTGGTTTGGTGAACTCATTTGATTCCGAATTCACACGCAGTGTCTCGCAATAGAAGACTAGCACTGCTAGGGTGTATGATTTATTCTAAACTAATAGGTCAATGGGGTGCGAGTTACGACCTCTCAATTGCAAGAACCATACGTACACAGTGTTAACTACTTCATCGGAGGTGAGTCAGAACCGATAAAACACACAATCGGATTAACCACAAGGAAGAGTACTGATTTCGTCGAAGTTAACATCGAAGAAGGTGCCGGCTTGATTGTGCAGTATGATGGAAATCCTGCCAACGGATACGCTTATGTTAGATTAACAGACAATTGGAAAGGCAATGTTAACGGTAGGTACGACCAGATGGACTAAATATTATTTTTCTGAAATAATACTGCCGAAAAGATAGCTGAGAACATTTTTGACCGATCGAAATGATTAATTTTTAGGTGTTTGTGGTAACTTTAATGGGAATCCAAATGATGATTTACGAAAAAAGAGCGACCCTATCTATGTCAACAGAGGCAACGAGGATAACTTCGGCCTTTTAATTGGCAATAGTTGGAAAACTTCTCTGGTGTGTAGAGACACTGTAAAAGACGATTCCATTGACATGGACCGACCTTGGAGAGACTTAGAAGCCGGGCGAAATAATAAGCGCAGAGATATAAACAAATTGAAGCTGACAAAACTTTACTGCCAGTACGCGGATTGTGGCGGGGAGACTGGGACTCACAAATGGGAGTCGTGTGTTGCTGACACGTATTACGCAGTTTCAGTTGAGCAACAATGTCATATACTCGAAACGAGTATATTCGCCGCGTCTAGATGCTGGAGAACGGAATTCAATTGTTCGGCTATAGTTGAACAAGGACAGAACAGGTTAGTGCAGATCTATTTTAAGTGGCATTTGGCAACTTTAATGTAAACTTTATATATACAATTAATATATTATATACACAGATTTGCACTTCTCCAATTTTACAAATAAAATACTGAATGACAATATAATTAAACATCACTATTAAAACGTTACTTTATTATTTACTTCAATTGTAGGAAATAGATGGATTATCCAGAGATGAGAAGAGAATTAAGATGTTTCGAGAATTTAATCATCAATAAAATGTAGCATGAAATCTATAGATCAAATAAAATTTGAGTTCAAAGATTCTACATGGCTATTTATTTTTAATATATTTTGTTATAGTATTTAGCCTTTTGCGGCAAGCCATTCTTATATACCTCTCACCAGCAATGGACAAATTCTACAGAGATATATTTTATCAAGCCACACTTTGACTGCAACATTTTTACTAGTCTGAAAAGCATTTGTATGGAATGTTTCAAAATATGTGGATTTTGCAGTCCAAAAATGTCTACCCTATTACCCCAGTGCATCTCCTTTGACATCCATGGAAAGTAGGATGGGGGGTGGGTGATCCAGAGTTCAGTCAATCCCCATGATAAGGTCAGCAAGATCCAAATCTGTTGAGATAAGTTCCTTTGTAAGTCCCATAGCATCAGATAGATGTACTGCTAAGATATGCTTGCACTGAAAAAATTTAAATATAAAATTTGCAAGGTCATAAAATATTTACACACATGCCATACATGAAGCTCATTGGCTGGGGTTTTCACTTTTGACAAATCAGAATGCTGAACGAGTGACATGGCTTAAGTTTAATGAATGCACGGTTTTGACTTGATCTTTTGTACATTTCATACTTGGCTGGATTAAATGGGTCCTGTAGAATCATTCTTAACACCACGCCCGTAGCCAGGGGGGTTTGATGAGTTCAAGCAACCCCCCCCCCTGGCCAAATATTCTTTCAAAATCTATCATGGAGTTTTCACCATTCTTAGCACTTTTAAGTGTTTTTGGCCATTTTTGGACCAAAATTGTAACAAGCCCACCCCTTGAATTTTTCAAAAAGTGAAACCCCTTTGGCAAATCCTGGCCACAGGCCTGTAACACACTACATGTACATGTATTTTAAAAATAGTAACTAATAACATACTTATTATCTCACTTTTTTAATAAAATACTGTTTTTTGAATCAAAATGTATTAAGCCCTTTTGTGTAAGAGCCATCTATTTAACATTTTCAAAGCTCTGAATGTCATGTCTAAAATGCTACCATAGTCAGTTATTGACAGATGGACTTACCATAATATGATCTCCCCTCTTTATGACCGAGAACTTGTAAGCAGGGCAGCCACAGTAGTCACATGACAGAAGGCAGGTATATGGAGTGCCTGAGCTGCCCACAACCTACAAAGACATGAACATAACATTATAATATTGGAAGTTAGTCTAACCGACCTCCCTCCCTCCCTGAGAGAATGGGATCGGGAGGGTAGTAGGGCTGAACGACAAGGTGGAACCAGAAATTTTAGATTTTTGATACTGTTTGATGAAATCTAACCAGGCCTGAAAATTGAATCTAAAAATATTGTAATGGAAATTTTTGTAAATTCTCAAGTATGCGTGAGACATTTGTGAGGCATAACAAGCGCTAGCCCATGGAGGTTGATAGTAAAGCAGGGGAGTATCCAGCAATTGTCAAGGGGGTGCGATTTTTTGGGTTAACATCACGCGAGCGAAAGGAACCCCAAAAAGAGGGGTTCACCCCTGGACATTTTTTAAATTTACATTGTACCTGTACAGGATATATGGTGCACTATAAGCATCTATAATTTGCTAATGTTTTTCAATATATTTTACAAAATTGCTTTTTTCTTTTTTGTGGGGATGGGGTGGGGGATGTGATCGCATCCACCACACCCCCTTGTTACGCCTATGTAAACCATACAAAATGAACAAAATACTGAGTTGTAGATACATGACATGTGATGAAGAACAAACTTTTCTTTATCCTCGGGTGAGGCAAAAATGAAATAGACTAGGAGGCAAATTTAAATTTAAGCTTACGAAGGGTAATACTTCATGTACCTTTTGAACTTCATTTAGTAGTTAATAAAATAATCAAAAATTTGAAAAATATATCTCTGCCTCATCATGGCTACACTCATAAACATGTTTGATGTTTTTGCAATTCCTCAAATCTAACCTGATAAACACATCTTCCACTTGGACTCGTTACCATGGTGACGCATCGCCGTTCCACCAAGTCCAGGGCTGGCAGTAAAGGAGATTTGAAAACAAAGTTCAATGCAGAGAGTAAACTGTCAGGAACTGAAAATGTAAAAGTTGGCTAATTACTTAGTCATATTATACAACAAAATGATGGAGCTCTTTCGAGAAAATATGTTGGTATCTGGCTTATCATCAACGATGTAAAAGTACATTATTCAGAGATCTGAATCCCCTCTGTATATAGTTCAACGTCGTTAAACTCAATAACGGCGTTCTTTACTTTTAGGAATTTTTTCTTGGGGCCATTATTGAGTTTAACCTCCATGCTATTCTTTCCTTTGATGCAAGTTGTGGATCTATCGAAACCACTTTTCCTCGCTAATATGACACTGATACTTAACAATAATATAAAACCATATTTCATCAGGCGATTTCACATAATATTATTGTGTTAAATGTTCATTTTTAATCGTAAAATGAGTCTTATTCTTACCAATTTATGAGACGAATATTTCAACCGGCAATGTCTGTCTGTGCGTCGCCAAAGTAAACTTGGTCAGCGAAACGAAATTGTTCTTCAATATTGATATTTATTATAACCATCCAGTATGACATGAATCTTTGCTTTATTCAAACAGCGCGTGTATTCACCCAAGTTTACTCTATTGTTATTTATAAAAACTTTAAAAAGCAATACTCGCAACATTATTGATGCATTTGATTACTGGTAATTTCAGCTCAAAGAAATATAGATGTCATTGATTGTGCTAGATTGTGATTGTGTTGAATAATTGTGCCTATGTGTTTATGGTTTTCTGCTTGCAAAAACGTACCTAGGAATACACTCAATTGTTTATAACTGGGATCATGTATTTTACTCAGCATACATGCTTTGTAATAATTGTTACATTTTAATAACTTCAATGTTTATCGCAAGCCTCCTACAGTATTACAATATTTTGTACTTATATATAGGATAACCGGGGTTCGTTTCGTTTTATGAACTTGTTTCGTTCAGTGTTGCTAACGGCGGTTTATTCCTGAAAGGATTTGCCATTTCGATGTTACCGGAACCAGAACAGAGTTTTCTAAACTAAGAAAAAGCCTTCTCCCAACATTTTCATAATTATATATCGATGAGGTTACAGGGGGGTATGTGATGATTTGTATTTATTCATAAGGTATGTATGCATGCGTTGATCACATTATTTCTGTAACGATACCATCTTATTACGGTTAATTCGTTCCGCATGTCGAAACCTGCTGAACGATTAAATGATCGCATCAAGGGCAAAATCATCATGGAAGTTAGACCTAGCCGGGGCCATAAGACATGTCAGATAAGAAACGAGGCCCAGGCTAGGTCTAATGTTGTTGGACTACTCTGTATAGTGATATGTCGAAATTATACAATACAGTGATATGTCGATATTATACAGTTAAAATGGATTAGATCAAGGACGTCAGGTTGACGTCTTTGATTAGATCTAATAAATCAAGGACAGGACTTGAGAAGTTTTTTTTTATTCACAGGCCTACAAAGTACATGTACAAGTACATGTAAATAAGCTAAACATGTATTGTATTAACTGTATCTCACAGGTGCTCCCTGAGTAATAAGAGTGTTAGGCTTCCCTGTAATCAAATAAATCATATGAGCACCGGTGTATCTCAGATCTTCTTCTTACATGTATGAAACAATTATGAATAGACCTACACCACAGGCAATGGAACATTGAAATAATCCCCCCCCCACTCTCTGTACATAGGTAAATAAATATTTACCTATGTACAGAGGTAAATAAATATTTACCTATGTACAGAGAGTGGGGGGGGGTTATTTCTACATGTATGTTCCATTGCCTGTGGCCTACACTGTAGTCTAAGATCTGTTGAACAAAACAGAAAGTTCTATTAGCTATGAGAGATATTAATTTGAACAAAACATGTACAGAAAGTTCTACTTACTGGACTGCTTTTGAGTGTATACTTGCTTTACCTCTTCAAAAAGCTGTTTCAGTGATTCATTTATCACCGACATCATTGAAGTGTCATGACATTTCTAGGCAATATTAAATTTAATAAAAACTTCTTTAGTTTTGATCTCTTTAAATTTGGCGCAATTTTTACCAGAACGAGGCTATCATCATTTTCTTAAATACACAAATTTCACTCTTATAAATTATTTGACTTACATCTAAAACAAATCCAATACAAATGTAGAACTCTAATAAACATTAATTCTTGCTGATGATAGTGGTATAAGTCCCATAATAAAGCATTTAAATTTATCTAGGTCAAGGTCATTTGAAATAGGTCAAGATGGCGGCCGAGGTTGAAAGTTTGGAAAATATTCTTGAAAAACATGTTCCTGCAGATGAACTGAAGGAAGTATTCCGTATATTGTACGGCAGGCAGTTGGAGTAAGTATAGTGGCTGTGTTTGCATGTAGTATTTTGAACTTCTACTGCTTTTTATAGCCCAAAGCTCACAAAGTAATGAGCAAAAACTTTTGAAACTTTTTTTTGTTTGTCCATATTTTTATTATGATTCATATATGAAGTCTAACAGTCTGAAGTCAATGTAACCGATCACATTGAAAATTGTCAGAGTTTACACTCAAAGAAATTCAGAATCAGAGACACGTTTCTGCTGTCAACTGTACACTCTTCTTGAAAATACCGAAGCTGCCCGACAAGTCAGTTCACCATTATGCAAATGAAAAAAGCATGGAGATCTAAGAGTTCTGCTTAAAGCACAACTGAAATAGCTTTTCTCAACTTGCAGCTACAAAAATGCGGTTTTCTCCATTGTAAGCCCACCGTAGCGTTCTTGCGATAGCCATTATAGAATAAGTGTTTTTTTTGTTTGTTTTTTATTGAATCAAACATAAAATAATACATTAAACAAGGCAAAGATGAAATATTAAACCACTTTCACACCACCTCCATTCATTCAGACATTCGCAACAGTCATACCCAGAGGTTCTGGTATATATATAAACATGGTATTTTCAAATTGAGTCACGTCCAAGTTGGGATTTACCTCATTAAATTGTTTTGCATACATGTATATATAATATTTGATTGCTAGTGATAGCCTGTTTAGCAAAGTGTTTTCATTATTTACAGATCTTCCGAACACCATATCATGGGCATTAAAATTAAGATTTACATTGAATAATTTCCCCAAATTCTCTTTAATAGCTTTCAAAAAAATCTGAACCCGCCTACATTCCCAAAACTTGTGCTTTAAAGTGTCTCTTAATGGACAGTTACTACATCTAGCATCCTGTTTAATTCCTATCTGCGTTAAGTAAGCATTTGTGGTACAAATACCATGTAGAATCTTAAATTGAAGTTGTCGAATTTTATTTTGTTTCGTGCAGCTATAAGCCATTTTAAAGTAATCTATTCTTCCTAACTCACGATCATGTTCATTTTTATACAGTGGTTCCAAATATTTGTTTCTATTTAATATTTTTTGAATTGACTTCACTGTTAAACCATTCAATGACACTGGTTTTTCGCCAAGTGTTAAATGCACAAGATCCGTTTGTAGGCTCGGTTCAAAGACTGAAGTTAAGTCTCGCTTCAATAAACGTTTCCACTCCTTCGGTACAGCTGATATTATAGCATAATAATCAATAAAATTAATTTGTACGTTGTATTTTGCCTTAAAATCATAATACTGTAAAAAATGTCCCTGGTCATTTAGGAGGTCATTTACGTAAACGACCCCATTATCCATAAGATGCTTATTTATGACCTCTTTGTTATTAATTGGGACAAATCTATTATTCCAGAGTATTTCACTTTTAACTTCAGAACTAGTTCTTGGAGCTTGCATATTCCTTATATCAGAGTAAATTTGTAAAATATTTGAGTAAAATTCTGGCACGTCGTGGGCTATTGTTTTAATATCAAAATTACATTGTATAAAGAACTTAATTCCCCCAAGCGGTTTAAAGTACAATTCTGGAATAGATTTCCAATGACTTTGTCGAGGTTATATTAATCCTTTTAGCCACATCAGTTTAAGTGCTTTTTTCATTGAAAACATGTCAATCATTCTTAGACCACCCTCGTCGTAATCACCAATTAAAGTTCATCTCTTAACTTTTTCCGTTTTTCCACCCCATAGGAATGAATAAATTATCTGTTGTGCCTTTGTTAATATATCATTTGGGATATTTGTCATTGACATGGAATATACCAGTTTAGAAATACCAAGCGTTTTGATTATCAGAACTCGACCATATAAAGTTAAATTTCTTCTTGACCACATTTTCAATACTTTTTGAAGCGAGTCTAATTTCTTCTCAAAGTTAACAAAATCATTTGATTTCTTATTATATGAGACACAAATTCCCAGAAATTTACTTGGATCTTTAACCCATTTTAAACCGTATAACTTATCCTCAGTTTTAGATCTTTATGAACCAATATACATACATTCTGTCTTTTCTTTGTTAATACATAATCCAGAAATATCTTTAAATTCATCAAAAATTTTTAAAGCCAGTTTAAGAGATTCTTTGCTATCTATTGTCAGTGTTGTATCGTCAGCAAATAACTCAATCTTTTGCTCATTATTTCCCAAGCGGATCCCTTTAATAGCCTGATCTTGTCTAATTCTAATTGCCAGGACTTCTATCACTAAGATAAATGTCAAACAACTCAAGGGGTCCCCCTGCCTACATGATCTTTTAATATCGAACCAGCCAGTTGATCTATTATTATTCAAAACACAACTCTTTATATCTGTATAGAATAATTTTACCCATTTAATTAGTGTGTCCCCGAGATTAAAAAGTCTTAACACATGTTCTATATAATCGAATTCAACACTATCGTAGGCTTTAAAAAAATCGACCATGCAAATAATGCCTGGAATGCACTTTTTCTTAGAATATTCAAGAATATCCTCTAGGTACCGTATGTTTTCGCCAATAAAACGATCTTTGATAAAGGCTGTCTGGTCGGGCCCTATAAGTTTCGCCAAAATAACACTAATACGGAGCGCAATTGATTTAGATGCAATCTTATAGTCAATGTTAAGTAACGTGATTGGGCGCCAATTTTTCAAAAACCAATGATTTTTGTCCCCCGTTGGTACTAACGAGATAATACCCTGTCTTTGACTTACTGAGAGGATACCCTTTTCAAATGACAAGTTTGGAGACTTAATAAGCATTTCATTGATTTCATTCCAAAAACATTTATACCACTCTGTACTCAACCCGTCACTTCCCGGGTTTTTCTATTTTTAAATTTTTTCAAGGCCTTATAACATTCATCGACCCTCAGTAAACCTTCACATGAAGCCTTTTCATGTTCATTTAACTTATTTATGTTAAGATCTTTCTCAAAACTAACGAACTTTTGTGTGTCAGCTTTAGCCTTGGAGTCATAGAGATCTACATAGAATGCTTTAATTTGGTTAAGTATTTCTGTCTCATCTGTCACCACATTACCATCAACATTTAATTCAGTTATAGTTTTCTTTGAATAGTTTGATTTCTCTAAGTTGAAGAAGTAGTCTGTGCTTTTTTCCCCTTTTTCTACCCAGTCAGATCTTGATCTCTCGATGGCCCCCTCTGCTTTATATTGATATATATCATTTAGTTTACATTTTGCATCGTCATATTCTCTACACGCTTTTTCATTCAAATAATCATCCTTAACTAGTTCAGAGTCCAGGCTTTCAATAATTTTCAACAACTTTATTTCCTCTCCCCGTAGTTCCCTTGCCTTTTGCTTTGAAAATTCAATTGTTTTTACTCTAATCTGATATTTCAAATATTCCCAAAATTGAATATCATCAGCGTTATTCAGAGTTGTTTTAGTTTTAGCGATAAGTTCCTTAATTAACTTTTGATATGCTTCATTTTCTATTAATTTGTTCTTAATTTTCCAAAAACCCGGCCCTCCTTTGTGAGTGACAGATGAGTTAATGCTTAACACAATACATTTATGATCGGACTTAATTGATGGCACTATTTTGCTTTCTGATTCTTTAACCATATGTCTTTTAATAAGCCACATGTCAATTCGACTTTTACTGACAGAGTTTTGCATATTATCCTTAGCATAAGATTCGTATGTATATTGGATTTTTGTGGGATTTTGGTGTCTCCATACGTCAATTAAGTCAAAACGATTCCTATACTCAATCAAAGAATCTCTAGATAGGTCCTTTTGTTGACTTACTATAGCCCTAGAATATCTATCTACCTCTCTATTTTACACTACATTAAAATCACCTCCAAATATGACATTATCAGATGCAAAATTCGTGGATACAATCACTGATAGTTCGTCAAATAATTCTTTCCTAGCATTATCTAGGTTTGGAGCATATACATTAATCAGTGTATATTGTAGTCCACCAATTTCAATCTGTACTACAATAAATCTACCATTGAGGTCAGTTGTGTTTTTGACAACCTTACAATCAAAATTATCGTTAAACAATACAGCAACACCTCGTTCACCTCTTTTTCTACCATGTGATAAGATAATATTTTTGCCCCATTCATTTTTCCACTCATCCAAATCATTCTCACACGAATGTGTTTCCTGAAGAAAATAGATATCTTTCTTCAGTCGCTTAAGATACAAAAAGACACTCCGTCGTTTGACGGCTTGACGTATACCCTTTGTATTCAGGCTACATAGTGTAATATTTACAGGCTTATGAGCAGAATGAAATTACACAATTTAAAAACATGGACATCAAATACAAATCTACATAATTAAAAGTCTCATTTCTAGCATAATATACAAACGAGTTTCCCTCATATGCATCCATTATTCCAGCCACACTCACAATCATACATAAACATACATTCATAACTTTCCATTTAAAAATGTTCATGTACACAGGTTATAAAGCCTTTATGTGCTGTACAAGCAAAGTGAAATAAACGAAAATCGCACAACACAAAAGCACAAAAAACTATTTTTAGCTTTATACAGCCCAGTAACAGTACCTTACATTGATTGGCTTCTATGTGTGCGTTCTCGGTATTCCATGTTTGGCCCGTGTTATATGTGTAAACACCTGAGGATTACAGTCTACTGCACAGTGCAAGTTACCTTCCAAAATGCCACCCAGTATAACTTGTGTACGTGTAACTTATATGGATTTTCTATTGAGCTGCAATCGCTTGTTTGATCTAACATAGGTATTTTGTAGTGCGCAAGTATGAATGATATCCTGGGTGAAAACCTAATATATATTCATCATCGATAAAGTTATCCTACAGAAAAAACAAATGTTAAAATAAATGTTAGATAAGTGCTAACGGTCATAGATAACGAAATAAAACGAACTGATAAATCAAATTGGCCCCCACGTGATTAGTAACGTCATATATAGCTTTGGTTTATTGGTTCCATAGTAATCACAATGTCACGGCAACCATAGAATTGTTGTGTAAACAAATAACAAAACATTTTGGCATTATGACGTCATGATCTAATGGACCAAAACGGGCCACGCGGGGACCAGTGAGAGATCATGTGGGGGCCAATAACGTCACAACCAATTCGAATATTGCTTATTAAGCAGCTATAACGATCGTTAGAGTGAAATAGTTTTCACACTACTGATGAGAGAACATGTCCAAATACATCTATCAAAAAATTATATTGATTCCTTTAGGTTAAAAATACCATTTCATATCTGCTTTAATGCTTTGATCTTCAGTCAGTTTTACTCTTCCCATATATCATTTACAGGATAACAATGGTCATGGTCAGATTGTCCCCAAACAATAAAATAGCTTTTCCAGCCCTCTGAAATTGTGACTGAAAATGGTTAAAAGTTAACCTTTCGGAAAGGTGAACTGAATAGCATATTTTTAATTTTTCAGAAAACATGCCAAATACATTGCTTTAGATAATGCAAGCTTGGAAAATTTAAATATTTATATTTATTTTCCTTCGTGACCACCATTTTTGTTTTGAAGACATTTTTTATGTAACGAGTCTGTCTAATTTTAATTAATGAAGAATTTAAATTTGTCCTCACATCCTTGACTGTCCCCTGATGGACAAGCTTGTTTTTCAAGGCCACTTAACTTCTCAGAAGCAGCTACCAAATTAGCCACTGACAGAAAAGTTGAGCTGAAGGGATATGCATTTGCAAAGGCTCCTATGCAAACTGTAGCAGCTAGGATTGTAAGGGTTGGAGCCATCCAGAACAAGATTGTGCTGCCTACGACTGCCCCGATACAAGAACAGGTAAAATCTCATTGCTTTCCACAAGATTTTTTTTCAAATGGATGCTAAATTCTGAATTCACAATTCACCAAAATTGGTCAAAATATGTCTATTTTGCATGATTTTTCTCATTTTCAAGTGGGTGCAAATGGATTTTCAGGCGGGTGCAAGCCTGTTTTCAAATTTCAGGTGGGTGCTGCGCCCACTAGCTTAAATACTGGGGAGATCACTGGATCTATAACTCACAGCATAAAATATAGGGATAAGCAGTACTATGTAGATTTTCTGCATCGGTTTCGGCTTCCATATAGCAAATGTGACTGAGGCTTAACACAAAATAATACAAAAATACATTTTCAAAGCTTTGGTTTACATTTCAAAGTATGTTAAAAAGCCCTCACGAGGGTGTATTAGGTATCATTGGAATCATTAGAGTGACAATTTTTTCGCTAAAACCACAGGCTGGTATCGAAAGATTTGTCCGCTGTGACGGAGCATGCTATTTTTCATAAAAACACTAAGAATGCTTCACGATTTATTTTTTAACTCATATGTTTCGTTATATCAAAGATAATTACTTACTCCATGCAATGGATATATCATTTGTGTGTAACCTTCACTTCTGTTTGAAGTCTAATAACAATAGGAGTAAAATCTATTGAAAACGGCGCCAGAGTATCAAACTCTAAAATGTACCATTTCTTTTTTAATTTTTTAATGGCATGATATAGTGACACGATAATATTAACATATGTTTTCACCATAACTCTGAATGTATTAATGAAATATTAATGCATTGGGTCTTTTTAATTTTTTTATAAAAAATAATATTAATATTTTTTGTCCGCTGTGACGGAGCATTTTCACAGTTCACATTTGCAACTGCTCCGTCACAGCGGACAAAAAATTAAACATTATTTTCTATAAAAGAATTAAAAAGACCAAATACATCAACATCTCATTTATACCTTCATAGTTATGCTGAAACCATGTGTAAATATTATCGTGTCACTATATTGTGCCATTAGAAAGTTAAACAAGAAATGGTACATTTTGAAGTATGATACTCCTGCGCCATTTTCAATAGCTTTTCTTCCCAGCGTAATTGGACTTCAAACAGAAGTGAAAGTTACCCTCAAATGATATATCCATTGCATGGAGTAAGTAATTTTGTATGGTATAACAAAACATGGGAGTTAAAAAATAAATCGTGAAGTATTCTTAGTGTTTTTATGAAAAATAGCATGCTCCGTCACAGCGGACAAATATTTCGATACCAGCCTGTGAAAACATGCCTTGTTCAATTTTAAGAAAACCCGGAAAGGTTCTGGTCAAGAGGCCAACTAAGAAAAAAGTGATAAAAAATCCTTGGGGGAAAGATCTCCCAACTATAAGGGTTAAGATTATGATATACTCATGCTAATTCCAGTTGGAATCCCTACATAGACGCCTTGGTGAGGTGATAGATATTGCTGGCGAGAGTGGAGTAAATGTCCTCTGCCTACAAGAAGCATGGAGTGAGTACAGATTTTCAAAGATTTTATGTCACCACAGCAAGCTAAAAGTAACCTCATAAACAGTGTAAGAATATGGTGATAAGTTAATTCTGTGAATTTCGTATTAAAATCTCTGTGGTTCCAATTAATATCTAACTCCCAGGATTTTTATTGGGCCTCAAAAAGAATTTCAAAAATTCTAAAATGTTACATCTAACTTTTTCAAAATCTGAAAATGTTGCCATAAACTGATGTTGCGATAAGAATAAAATGTTTTGCTAAAAATGTCAGCATATTGTAGGCCAAGAAATCCTCTCACATGCAAAAATCCTGGTTTAAGCATAGTAAAGATGATACGTATTTAGTGTATAATGTTATACTGTATTATGTGATATTATGTTATGTTATGATTGCATAGCGATGCCCTTTGCATTCTGCACACGAGAGAAACAACCATGGTGTGAATTCGCTGAATCAGCAGAAAATGGTCCAACTACCAAACTTATGCAAGAGGTGAGCTTAAATAACATGAAAAAGTTGGACAGGGTGACACTCTTTAATTGACCATACTGAACACTATAGATTCTGATATATATCTTCAGAATAAAATACAGTGACCCTCAAAGATATTAAACCTCTAACAAAGATAGGAAACCTCTAATTATCTCTAATAAATGGTGGCCATTACATGACGTTTTGTTGAAGTTTTATATGTGCAGCATGGAAGCATATTACACTTTCTTATGACAATTTGGCTATTGAGAGATAATTTTGAAACTGGTGGCCATTTTTGTGTGTGTTACTTCACAATTTTTGTTATGAAAAAGTATTTGAAGGAATTGTTGTAAAAATGGCAGCCATGGGTGTTCGATGGGATTTGCTACGCTTTGGCATTGCTGTTATATAGTTTTGGAATAACCTTTCTTTAGAGGAATCTTTTTGTGTTTAGTTGAGTAAGCAGTGCTATGTTTTTATTTCAATTTTCATATTTGGGTTAAATTATGTATTTCCTACGTATATTAATTTTCTGTGTTGCAGTATGCTAAGAAGTATAACATGGTAATCGTGTCTCCAATACTGGAGAGAGATGAGATTCATGGTGAAACTCTTCATAATACAGCAGGTAGGAATGCCATTGATAATTTGCATAACTGCATACTTAATCTGAAACATAGGATCAAATTCTATACTAAGGGCTGGAAATGTAAAAAAGTCGCTCCATTTTGGTGGAAAAGGGGTTTGATTTCCAAAGATTTTAGAATTTTGCATGCATTTACTTTTTGCTAATTTTGAGCAAAAGTTAATGTCCCCAGGCTAAATAAAACTTTAACCATAATTTCTCAAACAATTCTCTAGTACCAAAATTCAATGTAATCTTGGTTCACACCTTGTCTTTGACCTTGCCTTGGGAATACAAAGGTGTTTGGTGTTTGGCAGTTGTTGTTCGGAGTTGGATGTCTGTAACAAATCCAAGTGGTGATATTTTGCATGTTAATGCCTTGTTTTCTCTTTCTAGTTGTCATCTCTAACACTGGTGCCGTGCTAGGGAAATCCAGGAAGAACCATATACCAAGGGTGGGAGATTTTAATGAGGTAAGACAAAGAGGTAACGTGTAGAGGTGTCATGGAACAAAAAAAATGGTTCGGTTCAGAACATTTCGCTTTAGAATGGAACAATTTCAGAATGGTTCAGAACAGAGTGACTGCGTGTATTACATTAAAATAAGCTGATTGACTAGGTCTATCTTGTATTGAAAAACTTTTCAAATCTCATCAATGTAAAAAATGAGCAGTATGCGATCTATGAACTCCTGTAGCAGAAATCTCGTCACTGTGTGTAGTCAAGAGGTTAAGGAATTAATTTCAAATTAGCAAACATTGTTAATTAAATTAGTCTATCCATGGAATTTATGACACTATGTTTTACATAAAGAAATAAACAGTGGAAAAGGGTGAAAGTGAATATTAAAGGAACAAATCCTGGAAGTTTCAATTGGCATATGATCAAAACACTATACTGGGTGAAAAGAAGCAATAATTTTATTTCTTTTCTTTCAGTCAACATATTATATGGAAGGTGACACAGGGCACAAAGTATTCCAGACTCAGTTTGGTGAGTAAAAAAATCTGGGAAGTACAGTTACTGTAAATTGCTTTAATTTGACGGCTGTTTTAATTTTTTGAAAAAATTCCCGGGATCTAAGTATCATTGAGAATTCTTGCAATAATCCAATTGTAACACCATTTTTATTACATTTAGCTCAAATATGAAGATAAAACCTCTCTGTGCCCACCAAGAGTAGTTTTTGACTTCCTAGCTGTTCTTCAACCAATATCCATATTTTACAGATGGGTGAATCCGCCAAATTAAGTAGTAGCCAAAATTTTAAAATTTGCCCAAACCTCCAAGTTAAATACAAGGGCCGATCAATATATTCGCTACTTTTTGCTTCATTTTCTTTTATATTTGTTCATTTCCATTGAAATTTGGCACAGACATGCAGTGAAGAATTCTGCATCTTTTGATACCATTTGTGAGCCATTTACTATATACAGCAAAAATTCTGGTTGTCATAGCAACGTGAGTAGCGGGTCACCGGAGCTGCCCATTATTTTACCGCAACTGCACATACAACAATGTCTTTATATGCCCATTTCTCCTTACGAAAACATTCAGTTTGGGTAATTTTTTATACATTGTTAACTGGACATTACTGGACACTGACCTTATATTCAGAACAATGCTTAAAGATAGCATCAGAGTGAATTTAGCGGAATCTAACTGCCAAGAGGAAAGAAGGGCAAATGATCAGCATATTCACTAGGTTCTACTCTCAAATTGTTGGTTTACAGCCTGACCTGACATCATCAATTGAGTTACGGCCAAGTTGAGACCTTTTGAACCAATATCTAATGAAGTAATAACATTCACAATCTTCTTCATATGTACAGGTAGCTCTTTAGTCCTCAACAGCTTCTTTTAATGTATGTTCCTTTTTCACTGGTCTAAATAGAAGCTGTTCTCTTAGCTTTGCATTCATCATGTTTGTTTCATGTTTGCAACTCAGTAAGCACAAGTCTCCCTTTGTGATGCACACACGGATCAACTGTGACCTCTTCATTGTTTCAAATAAATATCTGTGACATCACAAACATTGTTTTGAATATTTGGTTAATATGGAGTAAACAATGTATGTGTATAAAAAATTACCCAAACAATGTTTTTGTGTGAAGATATGGGCATATGAAGACATTGTTGTATGTGCAATTTGGGTAAAATTATGGGCAGCTCCGGTGATCCGCTACTCATGTTGCTATGACAACCAGAATTTTTTGCTATATATGGTAATTGGTTCACAAATGGTATCAAAAGATGTGGAATTCTTCACTGCATGTCTGTGCCAAATTTCAATAGAAATGAAAAATAATGAAAGAAAATAAAGCAAAAAGTAGCGAATATATTGCTCGGCCCTTGTAGCGCCAAATTGAAGCAGTATACAGAACTACCGCTTATTGGTGAACATATAAAACATTTGTTCCATGGGAACCGCTTTCTCCTTCTATGACCTTTAATCGCCTGGTTGAGAAATATAAATTTGTCATTCACATGGAATTATATACATGAGCTTAATTTATACCGACTTTTTAAATGGTTTCACCAGCAGCACTCTCCTTGAGACTAATGAGTGGATTTAGTTCCACGAATACTTTCAATTCATTAACTGCGATAAGATAGATGTCAGTTTTGTGTGATCTACAAAATTTGTATCTATCTGAAATGCCTGAAATAAGTTAAATTGAAAAATTGAAAAAAGTTGAGTAATGATTGAATATAAATATATATAATATATAATTTCAGGTAAAATAGCTATTAATATATGCTATGGTAGACATCACCCTCAGAACTGGATGATGTATGGGATCAATGGGGCAGAGATTGTCTTTAACCCCTCAGCAACAGTAGGTGCTCTCAGGTAAGTAATATATATATATTTTTTTTTTTTTTAATGTCGGTCCCGGGTACCTGTACCCCCTTCACGGAAATAAAGATATATCAACATGCATTACATATTTTGTCTTCAAATCTTCAGAGTTGATAGATAATTGAATGATGTATCAGTGGTAAAAAAATCAAAGAGATTGGTCCATAAAAAGCATCTGTGTAAAAAAGCGTCCATTACTTATTGATCACCCCTCGTATATAGATTTTTTTTTTTTTTTATTAAAATCAATGTAACATATTTACAGGTTGTAGTGTATGCAGTGATCTCTCCAGCATTAAAGCAAGTGGGCGCAGCACCCACCTGAGATTTTTAAAAACAGACATGCACCCTCTTGACTATTCATTTGCACCCACTTGAAAATGAGAAAAATCATGAAAATAGGCATTATTTCGGTTTGAATTGTGAAAATGAGAATTTTGCACCCACTTAACAAAAAATCCTGTGGAGACCACTAATAGATATCTATCCTGAGATATAGAGCAGGTTTAGTAATATTTGCTAACCTCTGCATAGGATGAATAGATAGTACAGTATTGAATGCTGGTGAGATTTGAATGACTTCATAAATAGCTGACATTGGCATTAACAATTTTTTGGCCCCTAAAACCAAAAGTTTGGCCCAAATTTTGAAAATTCAAGGCCCATTCTTGATAATTTGGTCTAAAAACAGAAATGCCAAATTATATCCATTTTTTGAGGTCCTACAAATTTTTTGGGGCCTTTAAATTTTTTTCTGGGCCCACAAAAGGGGGGCTCCATGGGCACCCCCCGGATCTGCCAGTGATGTTAATTTTGAAATTGTTTTAATTGTTTTAGTGAGCCAATGTGGGGCATTGAAGCTAGAAATGCAGCAATCGCCAATAGTTACTTTACTGTTGCAATTAACCGTGTAGGAACAGTGAGTATTTCTCATATATCTAATTAACATAACAACAGATGGATAGTATGACATATGTATGAACAAGTGCCAAATGGAAAAGATTAACTCATTCGCTATGAAGGACGTGATATGACGTCATAAAGCACATACGTTGACTACGAAGGACGTGATATAAGTATTTTTTGGAATCTTGTAACCATGACATCTTATAAAATGGGACTTAAAAACCTATTGATTCTGAAAGAGTATAGCATATGCTTTTACATAACACTATATATGTATGCCCATGTATGTACTATATATATTATCTCAGAGGTACCATATATGGCAGTTTTCAAAAATTCATCAGTATTGTAGAGCTTTTTGCCCCAGTATTGAATGAGTTAAGACAGTGAGTTTTTCTTATACATTTAAAAAAATTCCCGAGGCCACTTTTAATTGATACTGTTTTGAGTTCCTATTGAGTGTCCTAAGACAATGGGGTAAAATATTTCAATTCTAATTTTGGACATTTCTGTATCTTCAATCTTCAATATTTTGCATGTAACAATTTTATAGTTTATAACCTGTGATTTGCAGGAACACTTTCCAAATGAATTTACCTCAGCGAATGGCCAACCGGCTCATAAAGACTTTGGACATTTCTATGGTAAGTAAAGGATTGTCTCCACTGTGCGTTGTCAAGACTTATTCTCTTTTAATAAGTTATCATCGGGCCCGTAGCCAGGGGGGTCGATGGGTTCGAGTGAACCCCCCTGGCCAAAACTTTTTTCAAAATTATGCAGTTTTTCATCATTCTGAGCACATTTAAGTGATTTTGGCCATTTTTGGACCAAAATTGTCAAAAGTGAACCCCCCTGAAAATTTTCAAAAAGTGAACCCCCTTGGCAAATCCTGGCTACGGCCCGGTTTACATAAATATTATTTGTACACTTTGCTAGTCATTAATTCAAAACTTAGGTTAGAAGTGTCACATGGAAGTTAAATTATGGGGAGTTGGTAAATGAAGTTTTGATTAGTGAATTCAGATTTCCTTTTGAAATCAACTTCAAATTCTAAATTTTGTTTATATGGGGAGGTGAGGGGGTTTAACATCATCCCTAAAGAAGATATATTATGTAAATGGAATTCAAGTAGTTTTTAACAAAAACATGTTCTGGCATTTGATTGCATTAGTGTATCACATCATAAATGTTTGTTTTTATCACACCCTAAGGTGCTATATTGTAATCAGTTTGCCGGGCGGGCGGGCGTCCCGAATAATCTTGTCTACAGGTTTCCAGCCAAACCGTTTGAGGGATTCATTTGAAATTTTCAGGGATGTTTCTACCTATGAAAGTTTAGAACTGATTAGTTTTTCGGCATTCTGGTAAATATTAAGGCGGCCATTTTGGATTTTCCCTCCTAAAATCTTGTCTGTCAAGGCTCTACAGGTTTCCAGCCAAACCGTTTGAGGGATTCATTTGAAATTCTCAGGGATGTTTCTACCTATGAAAGTTTAGAAATGATTAGTTTTTCGGCATTCTGGGTAAATGTTAAGGCGGCCATTTTGGAATTTCCGTCCTAAAATCTTGTCTGTCAAGGCTTGACTACAGGTTTCCAGCCAAACCGTTTGAAGGATTCATTTGAAATTCTCAGGGATGTTTCTACCTATGAAAGTTTAAAACTGATTAGTTTTTGGGCATTCTGGGTAAATGTTAATGCGGCCATTTTGGATTTTCCGTCCTAAAATCTTGTCTGTCAAGGCTTGTCTACAGGTTTCCAGCCAAACTGTTTGAGGGATTCATTTGAAATTCTCAGGGATGTTTCTACCTATGAAAGTTTAGAACTGATTAGTTTTTCGGCATTCTGGGTAAATGTTAAGACGGCCATTTTGGATTTTCCGTTCTAAAATCTTGTCTTTCAGGGCTTGTCTACAGGTTTTCAGCCAAACCGTTTGAGGGATTCATTTGAAATTCTCAGGGATGTTTTTACCTATGAAAGTTTAGAACTGATTAGTTTTTCGACATTCTGGATAAATGTTAAGACGGCCATTTTGGATTTTCCGTCCTAAAATCTTGTCTGTCAAGGCTTGTCTACAGGTTTCCAGCCAAACCGTTTGAGGGATTCATTTGAAATTCTCAGGGATGTTTCTACCTATAAAAGTTTAGAACTGATTAGTTTTTCGGCATTCTTGGTTAATGTTAAGGTGGCCATTTTGGATTTTTCGTTCATAAAATTGTGTCTTTGAAGGCTTGTTTTAAAAAATAAAAAAGAATTTCCCATTGAGAGCAATGTTAAATTAAAACATTTTTTAGAAATAACTAAACAGTCAATCTTTCCAATTTTCACATATTTTGTAATACATCAGTATATCTTTTACTAGCATTTTTTCAGGAAAATCTGAATTGTAGAAAAAAACCCTGATACACTGTGAAGTAATACCTTAAAACGTGTCTCTTGAGGGTTGTTTACAGGTTTCATGGATTCATCCCAAAATTTTAGAGATGTTTCTATGGAAAGTTTAGAACTGATTAGTTTATAGGCAGTCTGGGTAAATGTTAAGGTGGCCATTTTGAATTTTCCATCCCGAAAAGTGTATTCTGTTCAAGGGTGCGATTCTGTTCACCGTGTGGCTTATTTGATAGTTTTGATACTGACAAAATGGAAGTTGTATTTTAAGATGAATCTTCTTTGTACTTTGAATGTTTTTGACATATTTGAACTTGATTTATTTATTTGTTTTAGGTACAAGCTATGTAGCAGCCCCAGATGGCAGTAGAACACCAGTAAGTAGATAACACTCAGGAATATGTTTGTATTGTATCTAGGGGAGATAGTACAGTATATTCAAAAATCTTGTTGAGTGGAATGTGTATGTTGGGAATATGTTTATATTGTATCTATGGAAAAGATAGATAGTATATCTGTCCCAGTCACTTTCCACTATTCACAAAAACTGAAAAAATGAATTTGTAGAATTGAAATAATTCAAATTTAAAAATTGCTTGGAATCTTAGAATTCACATGGAATTGGCCTTTTTGACTCACAGAATTCATCATTCAACTTGAAGAAAACTTGAGGAGTGTAAGGTGTATGCGATAAATCAATATGTAAAGTGTTTGCCTCTGCGTTTTAGGGTTTATCAAGGACAATTGATGGCCTTCTCGTCACTGAGATGGATCTAAACTTGTGCCGCCAAGTTAAGGATACTTGGGGACTCAGGGTAAGTCCTGAAATTATTTTAAGGGTCATTACAATGGTTCTCTTGGTTCAAGGTTTAAAGTTAATGTAACTCTGTATGTGCATAGATTATAGTCATGAAGTTTCATGTAAGGACTGAGGGTGATTTTCTATTTATTTATTTCATTTAAGTGTCATGGTTACAATAAATACACTAAAATGCAATAGTGACACTATATCTGTAATAAATTTTATGTAAAAATACTAATATCTCTTCCCTTGGGAAGCTTTTGTTTAAAACTTTTTGAACGACCCAAATGATATTGTAAATAATATGGATGAAAATAACCTATTTCAATTTTGTATTTTCTATTGTTAACAGTGGTTAATAAGCCCAAGGTGGGCTGGGTAAAATTGTAATTAATTTTTTTATTTTATATTTTATGATTGAATTGTAAGACTGACCACTATAAATAAATAAATAAACTATAAACTATATTCCATCTTATTTATTGTTCAGATGACACAACGTCTTCCCCTTTATGCGGAATCCCTCGCTGAAGCTATCAAACCTGACTATCAGCCACCTATTGTCAAGGAATAGAACTAATATTTTCACCAGACTATGGACGAGTGGACCAAAAACATGAGGACTTAAATCACTCAAAGGAAAGGGAGTGTACCTCCTATATACTGCTGCTGATAATTAAAACAGTGAGATTAAAGACTAAATCATGACTAGGCTGCTTAGTGAATAGGATTTGCAATATATAAAATTTGTGCAATTTATGTCACCACCAGTTACTGTGTTCTGGTTAATGAATATTTATTATTTACCATATACAATAGTGATTTATTACATTAGTGCTTAGTCAAGGATGAAGTCCCTGGACATCCATATTATAGAGTTGAGGTACGTTGGGGTCAAAAGGTCAAGTTGAATGTATGATCATTAATTATATTTAACAATATAATGAAATTAAGGCCAATATGAGCCTTTATTATTTGAACTTTTGAAACAGAGACACTTCAGGGTTTCAGATAAGGCAGTCTTTGAGATCTAGCAAAAGTGTGCCAAAATTAAGCAATTTCCATAATGGTCAAACCACAGGAACTTGAGGCAGAACTTATTGGTGCTATATGTAGGAAATGTGCCTTCATTTTAATGTGTGATTATGAATGTTATTTAACAAAATAATGAAATATCCCTTGTAGTTTTTAGCTCACATGGTGAGCTTTTGCAATCACTCACTTGTTCTCAACTAATTTTGTATGTTTAAGGCAGCTATTAGAATTTGAAATTTATTACAATTATCCAGATGTGCCAAAATATTATATATTGACTGAAGTGAGAACAATTATGTATTAATTATTATACGAGGGCTGATTCAAAAGTAATCGACAAATCGTTATATACTCCCATCAACCTCTGATCATTAAGGACTCAAAAATCTAGAAAGAACAAATTATGCAGCCCTCTGTTTGGAGGGTGCATATCATAATACTTGTATATTCAGTTTTTCCTGTGTGATTTGAGGATATCATGATTTCTTTGGGTCTCACTCCATGAAAAATAAAAGTGTTGGAAGAACTTTGTCATGTCAATGCCGTAAAGCAACTTGATTTACAAAATACTAACAATATATATTTGTAATGTTTACTTTTAATTGTTTTGTATAATAAAATGTTTACTAGATAACACTAGAAGTTTGTTGTTTGTATAGATCAAATGTATTATTTTCTGCAATTTTATTGATAGATGGCGTTCACAACTAGACTGTTATCTACTTACGTACTTATGTATCACCAAACTATTAGGTCATTCAAAGTTAAATATTTGTTCTACTTCACCTTTCTTCTACGGTCCACTGATTTTTCATAAACAAAGAAAACCAATGTGCCAATATATTTACTTATTATTCTAAATGACAATTGAAATTTAGGAATTTGACCTTAGATCATGTTATAATGAAAGAAGTTTCCAGATTGAAAACTGCACCTATTTCAGCTTCAGTTTTGTATTCATTAAAAAGTTTACACGAATCTTGATATTTTGACATTTTATCCGCAGTTAATCTGTAAGTTTTTTAATTTGTTATTTCTGTTATCTCCCATCTGAGTTCTGAATGATGATTATAAAATTGCGTAAACGCATTGATACATTTTACTAACAAAATATTTAAACAAGTGGATGTTTTAGAAAAGAAAACATAAAATTGTATGATGGTTAGTATCAAAACATTTCACAAGCAAAGTATTTTTTATGTAAATTGATTTGTGGATGAGCCAAATCGTGAATCTACAAAACCTTGATCTACGTGTATGTGGACACGATCCCTAATGGAGCAGCAAACTAACAAAATGGGGTCAAATATGAGATGAAAAAGTAATACGCGATGAGATATCGGGGGGCTGGTGCGAGACACCATCTCGTGTCAAAACGATATGTTAGGCACACCTGAGCGTATGATAGGCGTAGTTTCCTACTTAACATCGATCCCCGACCCTGGGGACCGGCGGCAGATTTTAGAGACTCAGGTGGAAGGGGATGAGTATCTAAAGTAGACAAATCACCCGAAGCCAACACACCGACTCCAATTGACTAAGTCCCATATTGCATTCATTCTATATCACCGTGTATATACTAATCGCTTGCATACGCCAACGATGTATAATTTTCCGCCCTACTGGTCATGTAGAATTTGAGTTTTCTTCATTATTTAAAATACAATCAATTATACTAGCAGTGGCGTAGCTACTTGTTCGCAACGTATACTCATGCGTAAATATACACTAAATTGTTCTTGAGAAAATGTTTGTAAATTGTGGGTGAGCTCGGACCATAAGTTGCTTTGACAAGTTTGATTATGATTGGTCGAGTGGTTGCTATGGCAACACAACTTTTTGCGTGCGAAAAATTGTAAATATTTCAGATAAATCCACCACTTCTTTAAAAGGTGAATGACTGCTCACCTTTTCGAATTACACCAATCAACATGAAGATGACTTGAAAAACATATTAAAGGTGTTTTCAATATAACAAAATGATTAATTGAATGATATTTATTACTCTAGTCCATATTCCTATTTGGTCACTACCGCTCTCAATACTCAAAAGTGGGCGTGGCACTTTTAGGTAACAATCTATGTAATTTCTAAGTAATTTCTGTTATATGCCTCCTATCAAATTCATAAGCACATGCGTAAATGTACACTAAATTGTTCTAGACAAAATGTTTGTAAAGTATGAAAAATGAAAATAGAAACATACACTCCCCTCCATAAGTTTGGCAACCTTACAGCTCCCCCATTGAACTACGTGTTAAAGCCCCTTTATGTTTGAATTTTTATTTCCATAACCTGCGAGGAAAATACTTATAATATTGATGGAAATGTAATTTGACTTCATTTCCAATGCCTTCAAATTTTCCCAATTTTTTCCTCAATTACAATAGGTCGAACATTGCCATGCCAGAGAAACCCAAATATATTGCAAACTATTTTCTTCTTTTCACAACCTTTATTTTAACTTCACAAATTGTGAAAAGAAGAAAATAGTTTTGTGATTTAATAATCAAACATGAAGAACACGTTTAACAAAATATATTTAGTCATAGACTAGATCAAGATGTCATAGATAATAGTTATCATCCTATTTTGAGCAGTAAAATGTCAGAATGTCTCTTTCAAATGTATATTAAAATGCATCCTCTGCGTATCATTGCCTAATAGTTTATGCGAGGTTGACAACAGAATATCAAATTTCACTTCTAGTATTATAATGGTACGAAGAACTTTATGAAATTGACTACAAGATTGCACCATGAATGTCGTGCTAGATGGTCTAGATCTTGTGCTTGTTCTCCCTCATTTAGGCTATGTCCATGCAGACTATGCCCATATACTCTGCGTTTGTGTCACTGCGTGGACTGCTCACACAGTTCAAAAATGACAAATGTTTATATCCATTACGCAATCTGCTTAGTATTTCCCTATTTAATTTGTATTTTTGCTTATTCTAGAGTTCTTCTTATCCTTGAAAAACGGCAGAATATGTTTGAAAATGAAATCATGAAGCGTCACTTTGTGAAGGCGTGTAAGAGAATGGGCGTCTTGTTCATAGCGTTCACGATCTGTTATCTCCCCTTCACCATCTATACTCTTGCCGATCCCTATTTAAGCACTATCCCCACATGGGCCATCCGTATCTTGCTCATAATCTTTCATAGCCATGTTGTTGTGAATCCTCTTATTTGTCTAATCTCGATGTCGGATATCAACGAGGGCCTGCGCCGTATGTTGACCGGAACCCCACTAATGACTCATTCATCTTTTTCATCAGCTCAACAACACGCCTTGAAACACCAGAAAAGCATGCCAACGACGGTGGCAAAAGTATGTCATCCGACAAGGTCACTGGAGTAGACCCGTCTGCAAACTCTTGGATGTAAAGGACTGAGACTGTTGGATTTTGCTGTGTGACAAAATCAATGGAATACATCCGACAGTAAACTTGAAAGGGGAAACAATATAACAACAGCATGAATAATATGAACACGAAAGGAAATGTAAGTGGATATTAGAGAATAAGAACAAAAAATGACCACTTTAATGAACAATGACTGTTACTATATATAACTCAAGCTTCTTGAATATGAGAGCACAGCTGACTATAACCTCTTAAATGTGAGAAGAAGTATGACTCTAACCTTTTGAATGTTGAAATCTTTTGAATGTGAGAGGACAGATGACTACAGCCTCTTGAATGTGAGAGGAAATAGGACTATAACCTCTTGAATGTCAGGGGACAGATGACTCTAACCTCTTGAATGTGAGAAGAAATACGACTCTAACCTCTTGAATGTGAGCGGAAATATGACTCTAACCTCTTGAATGTGAGAGGAAATATGACTCTAACCTCTTGAATGTGAGAGGACTGGTGACTATAATCTATTGAATGTGTGAGAAAATATGATTATAACCTCTTGATTGTGAGAGGAAATATGATTCTAACCTATTGAATGTGAGATGAAACATGATTCTAACCTATTGAATGTGAGAGGAAATATGATTCTAACCTGTGTGAGGAAATATGATTCTAACCTATTGAATGTGAGAGGACATATCACAATAACCTCTTGAATGTGAGAGGAAATATGATTCTAACCTATTGAATGTGAGAGGACATATCACAATAACCTCTTGAATGTGAGAGGAAATATGATTCTAACCTATTGAATGTGAGAGGACATATCACAATAACCTCTTGAATGTGAGAGGAAATATGATTCTAACCTATTGAATGTGAGAGGACATATCACAATAACCTCTTGAATGTGAGAGGAAATATGATTCTAACCTATTGAATGTGAGAGGACATATCACAATAACCTCTTGAATGTGAGAGGAAATATGATTAAAACCTCTTGATTGTGAGAGGAAATTTGATTCTAACCTATTGGATGTGAGATGACAGATGACTATTATATAATCTCTTCAATGTGTGAGGAAATATGACTCTAACCTCTTCAATGTAAGAGGATTGGTGACTATACCTCATGAATGTGAGAGGTTAGATGACTGTAATCTTTTGAATGTGAGAGGTTAGATGACTGTAATCTTTTGAATGTGAGAGGTTAGATGACTGTAATCTTTTGAATGTGAGAGGTTAGATGACTGTAATCTTTTGAATGTGAGAGGTTAGATGACTGTAATCTTTTGAATGTGAGAGGTTAGATGACTGTAATCTTTTGAATGTGAGGACATATGACTCTAACCTCTTGAATATGAGGGTAAATAATTGAAATCTAATCAATGTGTGAGGAATTATAATTGTAAAGCAATTAATGTAAGATATGATATAATTGTAAATTATTTAATGTGAGATGAAATATGACATTAAGATTTTAGACGTCAAGGGAAATACGACATTATGGTATTGAATTCGGGGAAGTTAGACTGTAACCTCTTGGATGTGAGGAAAATATGACCATATTTTGAATTGGATGTGGGGAGTTATCCCATGATACTATTAGTTTCTGGTGGATAACAACGAAGAATATTTTTGATATTGAAAAAGTCATATTTCCCCTCCCAATCCCTCTCATAAAAATGGCATTTACCTGTCAATCCCTCTCGCTAATAGTTAGGTTGGTAAAGCAAGCTTAATTGTAATCTTATGAAAAAATGATATTCTCCTATCATTGCTAACACCCCAGTCACATTTGTCGCACGGCGGCCGCAAGTCGACCG